AAGAGAGCTGAGACAAAACCACACAGCACAAAGATTTCTTCATGAAAATTTGACATTTTAATGGAAACTAAAATTGTGAACACTGGAGGTTTTCTTTTTTTTAATTGATTCTATTACATTGTTTGGAATTTGAGGGTTATTATCATGCTTTAAAAAAAATGAACATCGTAATGTGACACTTTTGTTAAATTTGAAACAAAAAATTAAATAAACCAGGCTGCTCACTTAGAAACGTAAATGCCAACCTGTAAGACATTTGAGAAAAAAAATGCAATTGCCTCTTTTTTTTTCTCTCTCTCTCTCTAGAGGGGGCAAGAGATGCAGAAGTGATGAGAGGAGGAGCAAAACAAACAACAAAATAAAGTATCAACAAGCAGACAGACAGTCATTTGAGATGACACAGGGAAACAGAAAGATGACTCAGCACAACAGATCCCCTCTTTTCACGACTCATTCCTGTAAAGACATGTTGTCATTGCTTTCTTTACTCCCCATGTGAGGAATCATAAACACTGTACCTCTCAGGTGTCACCAGAAAAAAAAAAAGAATAAAAATAAACAAAAGCCCCCAAAATCAAGTCGTTTTCACGAGAGGCAGTTTGAAGGAGGGACAGTTTCTTTTTTTTAAGTCAAGCACAAACACCGAGTCCAGCATTTCCCATTACAGACGATTGATTACTGGATGAAGAAGCAGCACTTTCGGTATTTTGTTTCATCTTTTTAAGATTCTTCCTCCGTCACACCGTAAAATAACACCCTCAAAGTGACATTCAGCTGCTACAGTAGTGACTCTTCTTCAAACCCCCCGCCCTCCCCCCCTCCAGACCCCGAGCTCAGCATGATGTCAGGGAGCTGGTTATGACATCATCATCATCTACGTCTCCTCCCTTTGTCCGTCTGTGCGTTTGCCATTCAGTAGCTGAATATCTGAGTAGTGTACCTTTGGCGAAAAAAAAGCAGATCCAGAGATGTCGGACCGCACGCGAACACGTCACTCCCCTTCACAACAAGATCACTACAAATTAAAAATCTGTTAACATGAACTCCGGGAGGCTTGCAATTCCATCACAACTATCTGAAGACATTAAAGTAATCTGTATAAAATCTGTTGAAAAAGAGTAACTTTAAATAGAATAACATGGGCGTTAGTGGGGTCTACATCAGCCTTAATCAGAGACTAAAACGATCTAAAACTCTTCAAAAATGAGACATTTTGATTTTCTGTATCATTTATTCCTTTTAGTCTCATCCTACGTGTGCATCTATGGATAAATTAGGTTATAACTCAAAAATAAAACAAAAAAAAACACTTTTAAAACATGTTAAAACATCAATTTGTTAAATCAAATGAATTATGTGCTACTTCAGACATTAATTTGACAAAGGACTGCTCATGAGTATACACATCAGCAAGCGGCTTGACATCCATCCCATTCAAACTGATTTTGGCTTTAGGTCACACACATCTGAACACAAGCCATGAAATATTTCAAAGCCCACAAAACACTTAAAAACGCTTGTTGCTTTCAGCTGCATCCATGTCGCTTTAAAAGAAGAAATTAGGATTAGAACTTGAACAGCGTTGCAAATGTTACAAAAACAACGAAAAAAAAATGGCACGGATATATGCTAAAAGCAGATTTTAAACAATCAAAATTGCTGTAAATGTTTTGTTTGTTTTTTGTTTTTTCTTTTCTTTTCACACAGGCACCTGAACATGAAACAACAGGGGAATGGTGAGGGGGGAGAGGGGTTTGAAATATATGAGGAACTTGCATATAATAGGAAGAAACTCACTACACACGCGCACACGACGACGAGGCCAAACTCGCAAACCTGGAAGCCAGCACTAGCATCCTTGAGGTGATTGCACATCCTGAGGGGGTGGAAATCTCAAACTCCACGTGATCAGGCGTTTCTGTCTCAACACATCAACAGTCAGTCAGTCAGTCAGTCAGTCACTCAAACCCCCCACCCCCCATCACTGATTAACCATCTACTCAGCTTCAAGAACCTGTTTTTGGTATGCAGGCTACAATGCTAAGAATAGCTCTATCTTTTATAGATGCATATTTAACATAGCCTTTTTGCTGTAATAAGTGCTTGACATAAAGAGGAGCCTTGGGGCGGGAGGATGTGAGATTCTCTGATTTCCCTGTGCAGGACCACCCTCTTTATAACATGTCAAAGTTAAAGTATTTTTTTTTTCTGTTGTAAGACTACAGTAACATCACAAGCTACTCAATTTAATAACCCTGTTTACATTTAGAAACCTAAAGATGTGTCATTGTTGATTGGAAAATTTGGCATTCTTGTCATGACAACCTGATTATGTCATCGTCTATGGACTATGGGGAAATTCATGGACAGTTTCTGGAACCGACCCATTAAACGTAAATTTCTACAGATAAAGAAAAAAGATCAGAAAAAGTCCAAACGCTTAAAGGCGATATCTCCTTAAACACTCCTGCGTCCTCATCGTCCACATCCGACACAATTGTTCCTTTTCAGAGGGCAGCTTCTGATAACACACTCATCCATCACATGCTGTACAATGGAAGCCAAAACAAAGCATCTTTAAATACCAGAGAGCTGACTGAGATAAGACGTGGAAGTTAAATGTCGGAGCTGCAGTTACGACTTTTCTGCAGAGTTGTCTAATCAGGACACATTGGAGAGAAGTGTACTTGGAAAAACAAATTTCAACCAGACACAGATAAGAACAGCAGTAATAAAGCAAGAGGTGCTTCGAGATGAACAAGAGGGGAGAGAAATCAACCAATCAGAAACAGCGAGAAAATCACAGTCCAGTTTACAGAGGAGACGTGAAGCAATGTGCTTTTTGAAAAAAAAAAAAAGAAAGAGGAAATTGAAAAGTAAAAACTTAGATTTTTAGAGCTCAAAATGATGGATGACAGCACCGCGCACGCCACGACTGCGTCCCTCACATGCAAGTATTTGGTGTTTAGTCATAACATCATATGAGGCTCTATAGAATAGGACTCCAATCAATCAACATTTCCAATTTAACATTAAAGGAGAGGGGCCGTTTGGCAAAAAAAACAATATTTAACATAGTCATGGCTTTATCAACACTACCTGAGTTACATTTAATATTTCTGTATTTATTTTTTTCTGAAAAGTAACAGCCCAGAGCCATTCTTTCGAGGAGTATTTCTTGTCAGTACATATAGATCTCTCTCTAGCATTAAAAGATAAAAGCAATTAGTTTACATAAAGTGCTATTAATCCACACATTAACCAAATCAAATCTTCTAGAGTTAAGAAACCAGACGGTTCCTTCGTTGTGTTGAATAAACCGATCCTGATTTGGAGGTGGTAATGAAAAGTGATGTCACAGCTGGCCAGTTAGCAGTTCAGCTAATTTGGGCTCCCTAGACTTGATAAGATCTTTCAGTACGAGCTCCTTCGCAACAACAAACTGAAAATGCACCTTTAAACATTTAGTATGAAAAAAACAAACCAACTACAGGCCACACCAGCATCTGATGATCTCGTAGCTCTACATAACCCAGTTTTTCCACACGGCGTATGGATCACACGGCGTTATTGCACACTGCTTTGCAAAATGTTAAATGTTATCCACAGTTAAACAATAAAGTACAACTCATCTTCACATTTCCACACAGTTTTGACAAAGTGGCTAGTCGAGGGGGGAAGGTAGGGGTAAAACTAGATTAGTATAGCATTTTTTTTTTTTATCGTGTTACTGTTATCATTGTGTGGCGATGAAGAGAGACCTTTGACTCATTCATTTCCACCAGTAAACATGCAGGAAATACAATGCCATAAGACAAAAAAGTAAAGACCCAAAGATGAGTCCAAAAAACAAAACAAAACAAAAACAAAGTTGTTAAATGCAACACATGAACAGTTTGTACACGGACAGCTATGCAGGCAAAAGAATCTGTATGAACATCCTGAGTCTTGCTGCTGAACAATGACTGCAAAACGCACAAGACCTTGTTGGTTATCTTGCTTAGAAATGTCACTCGCATAGTTCCTAAGCTCAAGATTCATATACTAGAAAGGTGTCTGAATCTGAATTCAGGAATAGTCTCCACTGACCTCTCAGCGTGCATGAAATGTATGAAAAGCTTCAACATTAAAACGTTTTGCCTTTAGCAGAAACCTGATTTGAAAACCTTTAGCGTTCCTGTAATGAACGGTGAAATGAAGGGGCGTAGCTTTCCTTCAAATTGGGCACTTGAGTACCTGTGCTCTGGGGTCATACTGTAGTGCGGGTCAACACTCATCACGTTAGGTCAGACAAAATGGTACAAAAGAAAAGCGAGCGTTTCATTTTAGGGCTCTGATTTCCCCTAAAGGATTTAAGACAAGGTTCTCCCTTCCTGGATGGGGCCTCACCTATGAGCTTCCTCTGAACTTACAGTTAAACAGGACTCCAAAGATCTTTAGTCCACAACTTAATTCAAGGCATTCTTTGCAAAGTGTTTTCTCCTTTTCTCCACCATGAATTCAAGCTTGTACACACGTGTGTATGTTTAACGTCGAACGTATCTACAATGAACTCATTTGAACTCATGAAGGAAAAAAAAAAAAGAACAAAAAACGGAGGCATCCCATAGTCAGACCGATGGCTGCCGCAGTTCAACAGGATAAAGGCTTAGGGAGGTGCAATCCATGGCACCTTCCTTTGTTGAACTCAGAACATCATCCCAAAAGAGCCATGAGACAAGCGACCATCACAGCTCCAAAGTTTGCAAGTGTCCGTTTTATTACGTTGGAGAGGCACCAATCAGCTCCTTGAACGTCCCTCCAGAGTGTGCAATCGTTTGTCTAATGCCCCCCCGAGGAAGTCTGTTATTCCACCTGCGATTCCAAGGAAAATCTGCCATGCTAAACTATCAATGTTTTCACAGTCGTCACTTAAATCTGTCCAACAGGGTTTATGATTTCCAAGGTAGATAACCGCAGCACCCAGAGGAGAAGAAGGTAAGTACAGTAGACCATCTGCCTCACTGATCAGGTCCATCCTTGGTCTCATCATAAACCACTACTCTTTTTGGATCTGTAGCAGATGGAGAGAGGAATAAAAGGCGTCCATTATTCAACAGGTAATATCATACATGCATGTGGTAGTGCTGATTTGAATACACTAGTTTTCTAGAAATAGTACACTTAGATTACATGGGATGTTCCTTCAGTATATCTATTTAACAACTGAATTGATTTTGTGCTTATTTACCTCTATATTGGATTTTTTTAGTCCCCTACCTGATACACAACCATCACAAAGTTTCAGATAACCCTGACCTTGTTATAGCTCTGTATCTGATTTTAGCTGTTGGTTAACTTATATAGCTAACATATCCTCAAACATTTCTAAACAAACATCTATTGATAATCAAAGCCTGTCTGAAATCATCAGTTTTTCATGTCCCAGCTGGCACGGCTGCAGTAGCAAAGGATAGCACACCAGCAGTAGGTCACACACCTTGGGCTACTTATGTTTCCGCTAGTAAGTAATAAACAAACACAGCCTTTAGTTGGACAAAGATTTGTCGTTAGGTTTTATGTTGCTGGGTGAAGTATAGGGCAACATGTCCTCCAGAGACAAGTTTAGAGCAGTAATGAAGCCTTTGTGAGGATGCTGTATGTGTAACAACTACCGCAGAGTTTTACTCAGGCATTTTCTGGAGTGATTCATAACAAGGAGTTTACTACCTAAGATCTTCAGTGAACTACTGGTTATTTCTGAACTCAAAGTCAGCTGGTACATCCACGTTTATGGTTGCTTCAATGTGATTTTTAAAAAACATGCTCTGACTGTTAATCGTCTGAAGGATGAGTAATGGACCGAGTATAACTCAATAATCTGAAGACATTAAAATGTCAATCTCTGAATGGATTCAATTCATCACTTTGACTCAGTTCAGGTCCTTCCTGTTTTGTATTTGAGTATCTGGTGCAGCTGAGGTATACAAAGCCCAGTTTCAAAGGAATAAAAAAAGAGTACAGACAGTGTTTAGAATCAAAACTGAAACTGTAAGCCCTTCAAGTAAGATAAGGTGTTATGTAAATTAATGTGAACATGAATTAACTGCCTTTATATTTCTAGAAAAACAGAGCTCAGGTCAAATGAACGGGCTGGTTTACCTTGTTTTTGCAAGTTGAAAATAGATTCCATTTCTGTAAGAAAGGAAAAACACATCAATTCAACATCTGCGATAATTTTCACATTCTTCCTTTTCCAGAAAACACAATACTGAATTCAAAAACAGTACACAGTCATACTAACTACATCAAACTTCTAGAGACTTGATATTACAACAGTTTTTAATCTTGAGGATTTTCTTGAAGAAATCTGAACTTTGACAGATTGCATTTCCTTCTACATGCGGTTGTCTCACTGATTATGTATGAGGTCGTTTTCATTGTTATAACGGGGATTAGTCTGTGCTTCTACTGAGGTTTTTGTTTCCAGGAAATGATACAACAGATCATCCAGCATTACTTATTGCAGCCGTACCTCACCCTCTACATTAGCCCCACCATGTTTTTTTTTTTTTTAAATCAGCGCTGTAATAAGTCACTGCTATTGCAACACAAACATTCATCTGCTGACACACAAACCAAACACTCTTGAAAGTCTTTCCAACGTTCTTTTTTTTTTAAATTTTGCAAAGATGTCATGTAGGAATAATTAAACAAGCAGCAGTGATCTGTTGGGTTAAAAGTTATAGACAGTAGGCCGCATTTTAAGTCCACTTAACGTCACAGCAGCATGGTGTCATGTTAAAAAAAAAAAAGCTACTCATGCCTCCAGAGCATGAAGTCAGACTAAAGTCTTACTGACTGACTTGTTCGCAGATAGAGTGACTTTCCTTTGTTTGACTGTTAATAAACAGTTTGCTCCTCTGTTGCATTTATAATAAAGTATCTGTTCATGTTCAGCTAAATGGAGTTTAAACTAGGACAGCGAAATGTCATCACTGTCCCAGTTTGAGCACTAGCAAAAGACTTTTTTCAAAGGACTGAATTTAACGCAAAAAAAAGTTACACAAACAATACTGTCTAATTTAATTTGACAGCGTACTGTAACCAGATGACTCTTCAGTAATTAATGAGGTAACCTCAGATTGACGGTGCTTATTTTAGTGGGATTTGAGCATGGTATAGACCTGGGACCTATTCTACGAAGCAAGTTTGAGCTAGCGAGGTCGCCTTGGAGCTACCTCGCTCAACATAGCGCAGTAGCAAGCAGTCTCGCTAAACGGTCTTAAGACGCTGGTTATCAACCTCGTAAGTGGATCCAGCTTTGCTATGAGCGCGTGCACGCATGTAAGGCGGAGCCCGCCGCATCTGACCAATCGCGAACATGGACCAGTCTGGAGCGTCAGAGCAGGCCGGAGAGTGAAGAACCGCGTACTTTACAATCGAGGAGCAGCAGACGATCATGAGAAAGTATGAAGAATTCAAATCTATCATAAACCTCAAAAGCAACACCGTCACCGCTGCAAAAGCACGGAAGGAATGCTGGCAGAAAATTGCCAACAGTTTCAATGCGTAAATATAGTGCCATTATCCATTATGCCATTATCACCCTGAAATAGCTAACTGTTCAACATGCGCTTTTAACGTGCACCAGACATGTCTAATTCATTTCCAAGATGAATTCATTCATTTGTTCATTCCTATCGTGTTTACATTTTTGTGCGATATGTAGGCCATATGAGCCTTTCATAAAGATGGTCATCCAGAAAAGTAAGTGGGTCCGTGTGGTCCCTGAAAACTCTTGCGCGCCGGAGTGCTCCTCGGACAACGCGAGCACCGAGGTCTATAGTGAACCCGCGTCGTAGAATAGGCCCCTGCTCTTTTTTGGAAAGCGTCATGGGATAACAACTGTTGTGATTTGGCGCTATAGAAATAAAATCTGATTGATTTATTCTGGACTCGAGTTAGTAATTCAGTGAAAAAGAAACAGTCTTGACTTTTACTTCGCTTTATACTTAATACTGTTCGTACAAAACTGAATGACTTGATCCCACATTGCATTCGGTCTCATATTGTGCAAGTGTAGTTCAGTTAACACTTGCTGTTACCATAATTAACCACCAGTGTCACCAAAGCAACCTCAGAACCAAATCTCCAAGACACGACTCTGACGGTTACACAGGAAAAAGAAAAAGAAAAATCAAGAAGACAGTCAAAATTACCTTTAGTGTGATAAGTGACAGCAGCTTTGATGTCAAAGGATCCCCAGCTACACCTTTTGCCAATGTCTTTCGGGTGGGCCTGCTCTTTTGACGAGCCAAACAATAGAGTGGTTAGTTGGCCCTTTGCAGGCTTAGCACCGTTGTCCTTACTGGGAGCAGACATGGCAGAGCCTGCAGCCTTGCCCTCAACTTTTGTCTTTTCCTGGCCACATGTAGTCAGCTTGTTCTCCTCCTCACTCATCACACAAGCAGAAGAACAAACATTAGAAACGCTGCAAGGTGCACAAGTCCTTTTCTCTGGGTCCTGAGCCAAAGTGCCAGGTTCCAAGAATGACGGGCTTACATCAAAGCAGGGCTGGGCAACTTTGGCTGTATCAGCCTGACACTCGCTTTGAGGCATGACCACAGTAGTTTTGTCCTCTGCAGGCAACTGGCCACTTCCTCCCTCTGGGCCCAAGTTGGGCTCATTGATGAAGGAAAGCCCCCACTGATTCTGGAAGATATCTCCCAAGGCTTTCTGATTTGTCTGAGCAGCCGGCGGGTCAAGGTGACGAGCACTAGGGAGCACAGGTTGCATATTTAAAGGGTAAATTAAAAGAGTACACTTTCTAAGCTCATATGCTTCTCCATCTACGGGACTAGAGCTACAATTACTTTCTAAAGGAGATGCTACATTCTCGCCACTTAGGATAGATGGGGCTGGTGGAATACTACTAGCAGCAGGAGCAAAGAAGGTACCCACTGATGGGCAGCCGTTTCCATTTCCAGAAACAGGGCCATTAGTAAAGCTAGCTGAGGTGATAGTTTTCATAGCAGACATAGGGACCTGTGACAGTCTAACAGGAGGAGGCAGTGCCTCTCCTCCACCTTGAGCTACTTTGTTGAGGTTTTCTTTTACTTTACTTGCATAACTGATCTTGGGAACAATTTTAGCACTGCTATTGTCCACAGGAAATACTGGAGGGGGCTTGAACAAAGTCCACGAGTCCTCTTTTGAAGGTGAGGAAAGCTTGGCTTTGTGCCTGTCCTCAGTCTTTTTACCAAAGGTGCCAACAGTTTTGCCATCAGAGTTTTTCCTCTGAGATTCACCAACTGAAGCCTCAGAGGCAGCAGCCCGCCGTGCTGCAGACTGAGCCTCTACTTTATTGGTGGCTCTGAAGCCATCAAGTCTGGAAGTCACTCCCTTCTCGGTTGTCTCAAGATTAAAAGCCCCATGATCCTGCGTAGTGCTGCCCTGCTGCATGTCTCTCTCCTTTTCTCTTATCACATTATCAGAGTTCTTGGCATTGTTGCATCTGGCCTTGCGTTTCTTCGGAGTAGTGTATCCACCTTCGGAGCCGCTGCCATCATTGTCCTTGCTAGAATAACCATTTGTAATTAAGCCACAGTTTACAACACCATTTTGAAGCAACACAGAGTCTTTTTTATCCAAGGGTTGGCCCTCATGATGATTCAATTCCAAGGCCTTGTCCTTGTCATTTTTAAGGTCCATACTCTTCTTATGGTCCAGTCCTTTGCTGCTCACTTTTGGAACAGTCGTGTGCAGTTTTTGTGATGACTTCGGCTTCACATTTGGATTACTGGTGTGTCTGTTACCATTGCTGTTGGGGGTTTGGGACATACCAACAGACAGATCAGACAGATGTGGATTCTTGTCCCCCTCCTCCTCACTGATGTTTACTTTTTTATTGCCTAAAAGAGGAAACAGAATTAGATGATACAGATAGAACTGACAACTCTTTTCCAACAATGCAGAAGAAAACTACTTGTAATGCAAAGACATTTCCAATGAGGTCTGCCTCACAATGATATTTAAAATGTCTGGAGGTATGATAACAAATTACAAATCTAGATATACTTTCTGACTAACAATAAACTAAACAATTCTGACATCTACAGAGACAAAGTTATCTTTTCTAGCCACACAGGTTTCTACAAGAGTTTAAATTTTAACCAAAACTATACATCACGTAATAAACTAAAATCCATGGCCTGTGCTTATTGTTAACTCTGACGCAGCTATCATTGGTATCAAGAGAGACATGAACTGAAAGGGTGAAAGTGCAAGATTAATGTACTGCTCCCTGAGTGTAATCAGTTATGAATCAATACTGTATGTTCTTGAGAATGTATGGTCCAATGTCAGAGCAGTTGCTACAAGCTATTGATGGAAACCTCACAGCAGCATAAATGACACTCACTTGGACTGCCAGTGAACCACAAATAGGCCCTTGCATTGCACAGAAGCAAGGGGGCTGCTGTGTCAACGAAGGCTGGGCAACCAATCAAATTTTCATTTCAACTATGATCTTGGCTTCCCATAATCATAAAAACTAGATTGATATTAAACAATTACTGTAGGGCCTGCCATGTTGATCAATGTGTGACCAAATTGGGGGGTGGGGTACAAATAAACTGAGGATGCCACAAACTGTGTTCAGACAAGAATGCTGTATCACCAACATGTTGTGCTACAGTAGTACAATCTATCATGCAGCTTTGGTGGGAGGGGGTGAGAGGATATCGTAAGCAGGTGTGTCTGTGTGTTAGTTAAGCAGAGGGAAGGAGTGATGAAGGGAAGGAGCATGAAGAGAGGCTGTGAGCATTAACCAGCTAATGGCTGTAGCTTCCCAGTGACGCTGATCCGAATCATAACACACAAGTCTTAATCATGACTAGGGCTTGGCAATATGGGAAAAAAATGATCACAATATTTTTTTTATCATATCAGTCGATACAGATATATATATCACGGTATAAAAAATGAAATTTAGCTGTGCTTATTGGTAGTATGTCTTTTGCAGTACAATAAGCTACAGCATCTGTGAGGTCTTGGTGTCTCTTCGATGTTTTGTCATAAGGCTTCACGTGTTAAAGTGCTATGGTTAGGTGTAGCAGGCAGCCTGCTACTACGCAGTTGTTAGCTACTTGGTGATAACTCATTGCATGATTGGTTCAGCACAAAGTGGACCCGAAGAAACTCCCTATTTCATTGGCTACTCGTATAGTCTACCAAAACATGGCAGAATGCTGACTCTTGAAAAGCATATTGACCATATTGTTTTTCAGATAAATTAATTTTCGATATATATCGTTATCGTTTTATCGCCCAGCCCTAATCATGACACTGTTGGCATTTGACTCTATATTCATCTACTTACATTATCTATTCTTCATTTGTCAACTTGTTTAACAAAGTATTCAGAAGGGTTAAGAGTGTTTTAGTTCAATGATTGCATGTGATGTCAAATCAATGAGTAATCATATTTAATATTGGTGGTCTCAGTTTGAATCCTTATAACCAGGATTACGGTTTTTGTCAGAATTGAGCAGCCCTACGGTAAACGTGGGTTTCTCATTAAATGGGGGGTGCCCCTTTATGTCTGTGGGCTCAGCACACTGGGGCTTCTGCACACCGCCTTGCTTTTCCCATCTTTCCCGTTCATATTTATGTGCTGATAAACGTGATAATCAAGCTTCCAGCAAACATAAGGTCGATGGTAAACATGTACGATCGGTTGCAGCAATCATATTTTTAACAAGTGGCTCTGCCCGAGTCGCTGCGTGGCTTCACGTTGACTGGACAACATGCAACAGGCCTGTCAGAGGAGGCTAGCGGCAGCTAATGTCAACTCGTCCGCCACCAACACGCCCTGAATGAAAGCACTCGCTGTCTGAGCCCTAATACAGCCAACTAAGCAACGCGCCGCAAGCTTGAGGAAGCCAGGCAACGACTACCAGCTTGGCAAAGAGTCGTTTATACACCAAAAAACGTTACAAGCCTGATAAATGTAGCATTAGCTCGCAGGGATATTGTAACATGGCCGACAGGAAATGGCAGCTCAGAACATTCCAGTGGAGCCGGCTCGGTTTCCTAAACTAGACCTGAGCGTGCCCAAATGAATCAAGCTTTGTCTGCTGTCGACGGAGAAACCTCACGCACACCAACACGAATTAAGCAGCCACACATATTGTAGCGTCTAGGTTCAAGGGAGTGATTTAGGAAAGAAAAATGGGTGGTGAAACCGGCGCACAAGGTCAATCCCCGATATGTCAAAGCACCACCCGCGACAACTGTCACGCAACGTCAGCTAGCCGACCAGCTAGCTGGCTCCATGGCTGGTTTTCAGCTCCGACAGCAGCAACCTGCCGCTCAAAACAGCTAACTACTCACCAGCTGCTTTAATGTCAGTAATAATTCAAAGCTGCAGCATACAGTTTCATAAAATGACAAGCTTTCTGGGCTAAAACGGCAGAGTTAAGAGTGGTTAGCTGAAGCTAGGCGGCTCGTTGACATTAGCTGACTAAGGCTAGCAGGCGTTAGCTCACTTTCCCGGATGGCCCGACCTGTTTTCTTCGTCTGCGTTTCCTGATGCTGGCGCTGGAAGTGGCTCTGATCATTTTTTAGACAAGTAGTATGTTGAGTGGAGTTTCTGTCCTCTCCGTGGTGATGATATTGCCTGTCTTGTGCCCGATCTTTGGGCTGTTCCTCCATTGAAGTTGTAGGATGTGGGACTTGTTCAGTGTTGGCTCGCTGTGTAAGTACAGAGCAGTCCAATCACTACCAGAGTAAAACGGAAGCTATTTGAAGCCTCTGTAAACGTCAGCAGTAAACGTCTAAAAATGGCTCTGTTTTGGGTGGTCACCGACTCTTTAGTCCGTGTCTACTATTTGAGCTGACTAATGCGGGAAATATTTGCAGGACTGTGCACATTTTTTAAGTCTAATTACACACTGAAATAGCGGATAAGTGACATTAAAAGTCTTCTCACGGTGGGCAATACCGGGGTGGGGTTCGTGTATGGACCCAAATCATATGACTGGAGGCGCTGCCACGTCTCCAGACAGTGGACACTTTAGTGGAGGGTCCTGGGGAGATAAACCCCACTCCCAAAATGGAAGCTTATTGCAGATATATTTTGTCTGTATTTAGAGCTCACTAGTTTTCTAATTTTTGCAGTAATTATTTCACGTGTGTTAAAAAAAAAAAAAGCAAAGCAAAGTTCATTTCATCGTACTACTATTTACATCTTGTAAAAATAGGCTAGAAAAGTATAATGTAATACCAGGGTAATACTTAAAGTATTATGAAAATCTATGTAACGTCTCTTTACACCAAGGATAATCAGTTCTTTACATTGAATAATGATAACCATGTCATTATTTCTATTCTGTACACATGTAAATTTGACTTATTTAAATATCTTGTCTTTTTTTTCTCAACTCTAAGTTGCTTTATACGTTAATTTCTCTTTGTATGACTGTATGCTGCTGTAAATTTGAAATGTCCCCCTGTGGGACTACTAAAGGAACATCTTATCTTATCCTCTTTGGCATACTCACACTCTTCATACCAAACATCTGTTGAAATGTATTGTCATTATGTATATTTCCCATCATAAATACCTCCTCTCGGATTAAAACTAGTTCACTTCTTCACTAGCCCAACTGAATCAGCACATCCAAGAAAACATGTAATCACTTCCCTCGGACAACCAAGCATGGTCTTAGCATACAGTGAACTTATGTACAATAGTAGAACTGTCTTGAAGCCTTCAATGTATATTAATAATAATAATACATTTAATCTATAGCATACTTTACATTTAAAATCTCAAAGTCTTTGTGTATGCCCTCTTTTCATCTGTTCAGCGACATTTAAGCAAAATGCTGTGCAAAATTTTGGATTCCCACAAGAATTATGGCACTGTTTAAGACTCGTTTGTCTCTATAATGTAAGTGAAACCCCTTCCTTGGATAGTTAAAGGATCTTTCTGTGATGTTTTGGCAAATGTTTTGGCAAGTAAAAGCATCACTGCCCTCTAGACTGTTCCTTAGAGTAGAACTGCCTACTCACTTTAACTGGCAGCTATAGCTGAGGCTGATATTTTGTGGAGCCTGAAAATGATTACTTCAGAAACATATGTAGAAACATAATATGAAATATCATATAATTTTGCACATTAAACCGTTGTGTAATTAACATACCAGATCATTTGTGTACTGTGAGTCCTTCATCTTCTAGCACACATCAAATGAATTTGAATACCAATTAAACTTTAAATGAAGTCATCCTACATGCAGAAATCCTTTCAAACAACAGAATATCCCTTACTCACACAGAGTCCAAAGCAGAGTCTGTTATACTGAACTATGGATATAGAAGCAACCGGGCATGGTGCAGGATTGCTCAAATGAAGCATAAAATGGCACACAGTGCCCTCTTGTGGTTATAGAGACCCAGTATTAGATTTAGTACACAGTCAATTATGTGAGATGCAGTAAAAATTACAGTGATTTATTTTAGAGTGAAAGGAAAGATCTGTAACATTAATGAAGTAAATATTGTTAAGTGTCTTTTAGTCTATATAAGATTAAATTTTTAGACATGTGTACTGTTGTGAAAAGAGTTTTTCAAAATCAAGTATAATAGTATGATTATACCCCTTTAGTAAATACAGGCACCTCAGGCATGTTCATAAAAATGAGCATTGTTAAGTTTATTTTTTATCACTGTTCCCTCAATACTGATCATTTCACCCCACCTTTACTTTCTTCTTGAAAGAAAAAAAAAATCAACACCATCAATACTGTCATCGTGCTGATGTATGCAGCTGTGCACCTCCTAATGTATACATATATGACAGCCACCTTTTTCAAGTTAAATATTTATATCTCATTTCCATCTTATGGCAAGGTATATTTTTAAAATGAGATCAGGTTTCCAGAGATAGATCTCGTCCCTAGGCATGTGTGAACAGAAACGCTGCTCCAGCAGTTTGTTAAAAATCCCCACAGTGTGTGGAAATGAGTTTGCATGGGAACAATGTGAGACAGTGGTGGCAAGGATGTTGAGCACATTTCCCTTATTAAAACAGTGCAGGAATCTTGAGATGACAAATTTAGTTAAAAACTAGCCCAACTCTGGTGACATGTGCTTAGCTTAACAGGAAACCACAGTTCTAAATTTAAAACTTATTGATGAGTGTATAGATAGAGTGTATTACTAATTTTAGATAATAATGTACATTGCAGAAGAAAACCTGACACCATCATAGCAAGGTTAAAATGATCAAATCTTTAGATTCTATCTTGTATATGATAAAGGTTAATATTCACTGTTTTAATTAAGACTTTATTTTATATTTATTAATGTAGATTTTCATGGATAACTTGAAAGGCACACAGCACCATCATAAGTTTTGCCTTCATAAAGGTCTAGTACCAAACATTGCTTATGAATATATAGATTTTTAAGTCAGGTCCTGCAAGATTTTCCATTTTTTCAACATTTAGCAATGATGAAACTATTGAAATAATGATTGAAAAAAAAGAGAGAGGGGGATTGTGTGTCATGCCTTATTACCAATACCAGGTGACTACCAAAAGTCTGGACATTTTTGCCATCATTTATTTTGGCAAGATGATCCCAATTTGTTCTCTACAGACAGGCTTGAAAGCAAAGGATAGACAATACAGTTTAAGTTCTGCATATGATGTTAAATAAAATACTCTTTTAATTAAGAAAATATCAATAAATCTAATATTTCTTAAGCCTACAAAGAAAATAAACTCTAGATTACTCTATCACAGCTCTTTTTCTTTTGAGCATACAACTAAAATGACAAACACTACAGTTATAAAAGTGTGTTTTCTGACTCTACTGATACCAAACCTGTCGCTCTGAGGAACCCTTGAACATGGCTTCAGTAAAGTTGGTGCACAGCTAATCCCCAAGCCCAGTAAGAATGTGCTGCAGTCCTAAAACATGTGAAACTACAGTTTTAGCAAATGCAGAAATGTTCACAGAAAATATGAGTTGATGTATGTAAGTCGCCCGTTGTGCACACATAGACTGAGGTGTGATACTTAAAGCATCAGTGCTGAAAAGGAGTGCATTTCTCCAAAAGTATTAGAAATTAAAAGAAGCTGCTGGACATTTTCTGTCAATGAATTTCTCATTGACACCGGGCATGCAGTCAAAATCCATCTGTCATAGCTCAGCTGAGGACTCTTAGCCTATGAATGTTCAGTGAATGGAGCAGAATAAAAAAAATTCCAGCATCTTTATGTTCCTCCGGCATGTTGTCACGATGTGGCGTGAAGATCCTCATGTCGTAGAACTTTGTAGGTGAGCCAGTAGAGGACATTAAACATGAGGAAACTCATGGGGAAAACTGCCCGGGAGATGGTATCAATCCTTTTTGCTCTGTCCACAAAGCGTCTGCGTATGTCATAGAAGCCCAAACCTGGAGGTAGATCTGCAAACACTGGAGTTGCATCCATTTCCGGTGCAGTCGAAAGTCCAAAACTCTGGAAGAGTAAACCCTGCTGCGCCAGCTCCTCCTCCTATTAGAAAAAAGAAACATCACAGATCAAGGATTTGCTGCAACAGCTTAACCCGTGTCTGTTTTATGTCTGAGCAGCTGATTGGCTGGTATTTAACTGAACAAAGTGACAGTACTCACCCGTGCACAGACGCTGCACCGCCGGTTCCCTTGAGGAGCAGTGTTGCCTGACATATTTCCTTTTGCTTTACTGTCACCACTTGCCTGCTGACGGGGAAGAAAAGGCAGCACATGAATGTAATCATCAAACAGACTTCATTGACTAACACAGCCCGTCTGCGCCGCATGTGTGCTCCAAATCCCGAACATAAACAAGACATCATCTGTTTCAACGAAGTGGATGACATTAATCTGGAATAAGTTAGAGGGAGTTTAAATGGCACGGCATTATCTTAACAAAGTAGCACAAAGGACTATAGCAGATGTTTTGTGTGTCATATTTATAAATGTTACAAAGACAAAATGAATCTTGCAGCTGCTGTCACTCTGTTACATATAAGATGTATTTTCTTTAAAAGAGTTTTTTCTTCTGTCAGATGTACTTTTCTTCTCCTGAAGAGGCTTAAAGTGAAGGTGCTATATGCCCAGAACATCCCTCCAGAAGTGGGATGAGGTGATGGTTTGAATTAATTACAGGTCAACGCTGTCTGTGTTTCTCTGCTGGAAAGCAACATGCAGCTGAGTCTTGCAGCTCGTGCAGAGCCAGGCGCGGGGAATAGCAGGTGACAGCCGCCCAAGGGGCCTGAGTGGGAGGGGTTGTTGCACTCACAGTTCTCTGTCGCTGTTGCTCCTTCAGTTTCCTCCTCAGTCTGAAGAACTCCTTGTGCTGCCGTGAAACAAAATTAACAGCCGCATACTCCAGCAGTGCAGCAAACACGAAGAGGAGGCACACCGCCATCCAGATGTCGATGGCTTTCACATAAGACACCTGAGAAAACAAAGAAAAAAATCACTGGTGAAGTCATTCATGGAGATCAGGTTATGTTTGGAAGTGGCATAAAAGATTGATGGAAACTACAATCTATCAGGAGAGTTTCATGTTGGTTTACTTTGTGCAACTTTGTTTGAATTAGACATTGTTGAGAGACATTCCTAAACCTTGAAAAGGTGCAGAAAATTCTCCATTTGGAGCAAAAGTACAACATTTTTAGAAAAACACTAAAGTGCCAGTTGGCCTTGCGATTTAGGCACACGCCACTTGTATAGAGGTCTTAATCCTTGTTGCACAGGTCACCAGTTTCACTCCAGGCCACAACCTTTCACTGCATGTTCTTCCCCAGTCCCCACATTTCCTGTCTCGCTTTAGCTGTCAAAAATTCTTAAAAAATTAACATCAAGAATATAAAATACTCAACATGCTCAATGGTCTCCATCCAAGTTACACATTTGATTTCTCAATAATACAAAGGTTTGTATGACAAAAATGAAAAAAAAAAAAACACTCAAGCAACACCTTTTTTAAGATATCAACATCAAATATTCATGACAAATGATATTGTATATTTCACAGTGAAAAGAAAGCAGGATGGTATTTTTTTTCCTGTCAGAGGATACTGGCTTGGCATGTACAGAAGTGAGATACAAGGAGATACAACTTGCATCTTTATCAGCAGGGTGGACAAAAATGAGCTCAAGCCAAAAGTTTATGACAGGAGCTCTAAGCAGCAAATGCTTTTTTTAAAGTTAAAATCAATAAATGGAAAATGACAAAAAGCTATAGGTGTTAAATCAATGTAGTTGAACAAAGAATACAATTACTCCACCTGAAATGTGATGAGAGCACAAGTACCACAAAACAGAAACACTAAAAGAGGGTATGTCACTTAAGTGCAGCACTTCAGTAAATGTATCTGCCCTTATAGCAACATGAAAAATAAAAAGAGACCTTAGATTTACTCCAACAGTCATCAAAGAACCTGCCTGCATAATTGATGCTGTTACTTTGATATCTGTATCTCTACAAAGTTAAAAGCGGTTCTTCGATGTGGAGTTCTTTTTTGATGTTGGCATTTCTTATTTATTATTTACATGAGATTGTTGTACTTTTTCACTACTTAACTAAAAATAGTCGAGTTTATTTCAGTGTTTTGTCCATTTAAAGATTTATCAAGAATGAAATTTGGGATTTGATCTAATAGAATAAGTGAAAAAAAAAAGAATCAGACAGCTGGATCTGGTGATAATGTCATTGAGCTCCAGCCTGAACCTGGTGTTGGTTTCTCCAATAAAACAAGTTTTTTAGTATTCATTTTTTTTTTTTTTTTTGGTCGATACGATATGAAATGAAACAATATGATACTATATGATATGATAAAATACAATGGGATATAAAATGGTACACTACAGTGCAATAAGTTATGATATGATAGGTCCATCTCTCATCTTTACATGTTTTATTTATTAATGTCTTTATGGTATTTGACAAACTCTTTAAATTCAATAACCGTTTTCATGTCTAAAACTAGCCCAGCCTTTATGAGAAACCCTGACTAACTTTCATTTGCCACAAAGCAAACTGTCTGACCTTTGGCAGGGAAGCCCTGGAGCCAGAGCTCTGCGTTGTCATGGTAAGCACCGTCGTGATCCCCAGCCCCACTCTGGCCGGCGCCGCATCCATGTTGATCCAGAATGACACCCAGGACAGGATGACAGTGAGCAGGCTGGGTATGTACATCTGGATCAGGTAGTAACCCATCTGACGCTCCAGGAAGAAGTTGACCTCGATGCAGGTGAATTTACCTATCAGAGGAGGAGATACGGGTCCACACTGACACTCTCATTAGAGGTTAAATGACAAAACCCACACAGAATTTTGACTGACAGGCTGTTGTGCGTCATGTACCTGTGTTGTAATGTTTGGTGCAGTAGCCGAGGCCTTTCTCCTCCTTCAGCACAAACTGAGGGAGCGTGAGATCATCCGCCACCTGCACCGCTCCCACATCCAGCCACTCAAAAATAAGATCATTCATGGTGTAGCCAACTAGAAGACAGGCAAAGGAAGAGTAAATGATGTGTAAAAACCTGTCACACAATCTGTGGTTTACGTTTTCAAGCTGAACTCACAGCTCTCAAGCTGCATTGTGCATGTCTGGCTGTCCATGGGGAAGTTCTTCAGATCCATGGGACAGGAGAGGGTGAGGGTCAGCCTGCGAAATAGACAACACCATATTATTGTGTGAAAAATGCATACTGGGGTGGACAAAAGGCCGGTGCATTAGACCCACAGTGGCAGCCATCCCTCCTATCACAGAAACCCTTTTTTTGTACTAATGAAAGGTCAAATCCAGTAACTCTGATCTGTCCGCCTTTGGATTTAACTATTCTACATGCTAATTGACAGCATTTTAGCTCAAAGGAGGGCCTTAAGTAAAATGTGCTGTAGACAGAGAGAGAATACACAGTATACATGAAAAGGCTCCCCCTAATCCCAAGATGCAGAAGCAAAACGGACTAGAGTGTTGTTAACAAAGACCTCACTAATGTTTAATAGACAGTTTCTTTTTCTACCGCTGCTTTATTCATCGAGTCATGCTTTTTTTTTTGCTGCTCATTTAAAGCACTCCTCTTCTCTTTATTCCAGCAAGGACAAAGTGAAGTATTTCACACAAATGAGCAACATTTCAGGGAAAAACATGAGTGGTTGCAGTTCAATGTCACTCTGAGATGTGTGAGTAGCTGAGTATCAAGCAATTTAAAGTCTTTTTTTTTCCAACTGCTCAGGGTTAAACCTAAAGTCAGGGTTTAATTTAAAGTTCATGTTCACTAGAGAAACTAGAGCAGCGTTTCACATGGCTCTCTGTTTTATATTCTAATGGTGAGTCCTCAGCATTAGGCTACAGTTCATCTACTGTTTGCATATCACTGACCTGATTTTGTTTCAGCTTGAAGTCATTGTTTTACACAAACTCGTTCACAGTGGGTGCTGGACAATAAGAACGAACTGAACTGGAGTGAAACAAATACGCTGCTGAGTCATAAACTCATCCTCTCATAGAGATAGAAGTTCATATTCAGTCTGCATATTGGCAAAACAAAGAAGCGAGTTTGTTGTTTGTGTCGCATCCTGTTACATGATTCAGCCTCATTTAGGGTTTAAAAAATCGGGTCACCTGATGCTGTAGAGGACGTTTCCGTTTTGAAAAATCCGGAGCAGTTTGTTGTCTGTTGTGACCTCATGAAAGTTTGCTCCCTTCTCATTTGCAAAGAACAGGTCAGGTTTCCAAATCGAGTCCAGCATGGAGGGGTCCAGGTCCAGAGAGTCATCAGGGTACTCCTTATACGCCAGGCGAGGGTCATTCCACTGCTGTCTCAGAAATACATTGAGCCGGTAGTCCTAACAGTGAAGAATAAAGTCACAATCACCGCTCAGAAAATGACTTGAATCTAAAGAAAGATCATACTACACTGATTTTAAGGTCTCTGCATTGGCTACCCGTCTCTTTTAGAATAGATTTTAATGTTGATTTATTGGTTTTTAAAGCTCTGAATGGCTTTGGCCCTTCTTATCTATCTGATCTGCTTTTACCTTTTTAACTAATTTTATATCATTAACTTTGTTTAGGTGTTTTAGCACGTATCTCTTTCTAGTTTTAATGACAGGATCGTCTTTTATTGAACTATTTTGGTGCTCTTATATTAGTATCTTTTACTGTTGTTTTTATTTCATTTTATTTATTATTTATTACATTTCATTCTATCTTACTTTGTTTTTAGATTCTTACCTAAACCTCCAGTGTTTCCTCATCTTGAGTTTTAAAATGGCGTTTCCTCGGTGCACACATTCCTGTTTCCACAAAATCAAGCCCCTTTTAAATTTATGCATTTTAATACTGTTTCTGTTGTGTTTAGATTATTGGTTGGGAATGAGGCGTTGGGTTGGGGTAGATCTGGATATTCTTTGTTTCTTTTATTCCTTTTTTTGTGTAAAGCACTTTGTGTTACATGACTGTGTATGAAAGTGCTATAAAAATAAAGACTGATTATTGAGTAATAAAGCTTAAAGCAACGACTGTAGAGTTCACTCCATACAGGATTTGTATTCAGATTTAAGGGGTTTGTCAGGTTAAATTTGACTATGATCATTTCATTGTAATAAATCTTGTAAAAGAGCCAAGAACAGGGGTGACTAACAAATGAACCTGCAGTGTCTCTCAGCAGGTGAGGAGTCTGTGCCCACGTGAATTTAGTGTGAGTAAAAGAAAAGCGCATGAATACTGAGTGAAACCTAAGTGCTCATAACCTGAGCAACAGAAAACTCCACTTATAATATCATCCATTAAATTCTGATGGCTATCTCAAGAGGTTTTTAACAAAACGTTCTTCCAAACTCTGGACTTGCATAACTCCCGTGTCCCAACTCATCACAGGCCTCTTAAATAAAGGATAGGTGGTCCTTCAACTGAGAGACAAAAGTAAGAGAAACCACTGCTGCCGTTATGTAATGAGCTCGATGATGGTGTTTATAGTCATTAATTAGTCATGATGCAATGATTGTATTGTCCTAGCTACATGAAACTCTGCAAACAGCAGGAGGCAAGCCAAAAACACAAGAAATGGAGAAATGCGTAAAAGATAAAAGAGTGTGATGAAAACCAACACAAACCAGCTCTGTTTCCACATATAAACAGACAGAAAATTCCGCATTTGTATGAAATTAAACCAGCAGAGGCTCATGCACATCACAGTGATACTATACCAATTTATGGCATACTAAAGAGATCCATTCAGAGATGTTGATTACTGACACAGCATTCAGCAAATAAATTATGAACTAAAATAGTAATTAGATATATATCGTAATAGTCACTGTATTGCAGAATGTTAAAAATTGCAATAATATCGTGTCATGGTCCAAGTATTGTGATAATATCGTATCGTGGGGCCACTGGTGATTCCTACCCCTAATGCCTACAGCCATAATGCCCTCTTGTAGAAAGAGGTAGTACTGTCCTTAATATCGAAGGTTCAATCTGCCTCACATTTCACTGGTTTGATGGCAGAACCAGCCTTCACAGATCTACATAAACACTTTTAATCATTATTCTAACACCACCTATTGTAAACAGGTTGTATAAACTCTCATACAAAGCAAATATTTTCTTAAAATTTCACACATTTGGTTCATATACTGTCATATACAGATCAACATATACATACTTGGTCATATACAGTATTCATGGCACCATCTGCTGGTAATAAGCAGTTCTACCTCTCATTTACAGTGTACAGTTACTGTATGAAGTAAAACAGATCTCCATATAAATTTACACCATGATAGCACCATGTTCGGGTACATTATTGTCGTTGCAGTAAAAGCTGCTGCTATTACACACCTCCACGGCTCGAGCACATCCTGATGTGCACCTAAGTGCCCATCAACACTTGCACCTTGAATTACTGTCATTATCATACAGGTGTGGGGTTTAAATCAGCCATCTTTCATCATCTGTAGAATCTGTAGTGCACAGACTGTAATGTAAAATCAACATTTAACAGTAATAGGACTATAACAGTAACGCTGCAGTTTGCACATTACTTGTTTGTCATCTAAGGAGCATTACAACAACGACAGACAATCAACACAATTGTTGTAAAGCCTCAGATTCCCTTTCTAGCACCATCCTACACAATAGGTCAGATGTTTTAAGTGGGGCAAGCAGCTGTAATTGCTGTGAAATTACCACAGGTCTAATTCATCTAAAACCTGGTAGTGGAAGACAAATTTCAGTGATACAGATGTCAAGACAGCTGCTGCTAGGTGAAAACTCATCTCTGAAATTAAGTAAAAATCTTTTATTTGATGTCTTTTTATATCTGCACTTATTTTTGTACTTACCTGTACTGTATTTGTATTTGTGTATGTATCTGTACTTCGTTTTGCACCGTTTATGTTTATCTAATTGCACTTATTTTATGTACAGCACTTTGTGATTTTTATCTGTGAAAAGCGCTCTGTAAATGAACTTTACTAACTTACTTACTCTTCAGATAAATCAGTGCAGAATCATCTCATGTCCTTTAATTTGGTGCTAAAACTTTGATCAAAGGTCAATGTGTAAACAAATAGTCCAAATATCTACAGTCATTTTATAGCGTAACTTTAATATCCATTCAGTAGATGATAAACAGAGATATACACAGGCTGCTGCAACTTTTGTTGTGTCTAAAACAAAGTGTAACAGTAAGGATTATAAAGTAAAATCTCACCATGGTTGTTTCAGTGATGGACCCAAAGCTGTTGATGAAGATGTTACAGGTGACATTGACAGGGGGACCTGACAGATGCAAACCACACATTAGAGCTTTGTTAAATACCACAGATGATGTTTTCTGCATGAAATATTTAAACAGCAGAGCTCCCCTAAAACACCGTCTTCACAGTGTGCCATGCCGCGTCCTGGTAAATGACTTTTTTTTTAGATCGGGGGCATGAAATTGTGTTGTCATTTCCAGTATGCTCCCATTAGTGTAGTCCATCTGTCAACCACTGAAACTGTAAATATTTCAGTTACTAATTTCCTGAGGGGCAATAATTTATTGATTCTCCTTTGGTAGGTAACATTAGTTTATTTCTAGATAATCAGCTGGGAATTACCCACATCATGCACTGACACAGATGTAGAGCAAATATGAAATATATATGAAATGTGACCCCAGGGACGGAGGGGGGAAGTGTGTCAGGGAGAATCTGCTGGCTTCAATCTCAACCAGAGACCAAGATTAGACTGGAATAAGCCTGTGGGGTTAACACGGAAGGGAAACCACACATTTATGACACAAAAAGTTACGCTTGTGTAAAAATATTACAACCAGAGGCTGTGGGTCAGCATCAAAACAGTAACAGTACATGACCAGAAACATCACAGCCTGCAGCATGTTTGACTTCTGACGCATCTGCGAGTGATTTGTGCTACTTCACCGCCCAGATTGTGCTAGAATGAACCGCGTACTTTCTCACACCTGTCCTGACAGAGGAAGCCCTCCCCTAGCACGCCACAGTGTGCTCTTACCTTTGAAGTTGGGTCTGATACGGGCGTCGTAGCCAGATGTGCGTCCCATCAGTTTGTCCAGAAAGTCAGATGGAGAGGGGGGTTTGGCTGCTCTGCTTGGGAGTTTCATCTCCTTGCAGAGCACAGACCTGACAGATGACGGCAAAAACAGAGCTAAACACACATACATGTTCTTTCTTTCAGTCTTTTAATTCTAGACTTCATGCTGATGGATGAACATTTTATTTGAAGGTGCTTTCCTTCTCCACAACATGCATTTTATAGTTGACGGCAAAGGTGCCAAATGTTGTTTACTCAACAGTATTCACTTCAAATGTGTTGAAATTATATTAACATTTACTATACACTTTTTCTTGCCTTCAAAGTATAATAGTGCATTTTCCATTTGAACTTCTTCCTCTATTTTAGTCCTTCTTTGTGTATAATTGCAAAGTTTTTTCATGCAAAATTCAGGGAAAAGGATCATGTAGACAAATCACAGAGGGGTTAAATAATTGAAGCATCTAATGTCTGTTAGTAATTATTTACAGTTCGTATCAAAATACTAAAAATTAAATGTGCAGAGCCAAACAGCAAAAAAGTTCATATCCAACAAATGAAGATGTGCTCTTACCTTCCTGGCAGAAAAATTACAGATGACACCCACAGCATAAAAAGGATGTGTAACAGCATTTTCAGTCCGTAGGATCTGTGGAAGTAAATCCAGCGGAGGGAAAAGAACTGGAAAGAAAAAAGAAAAAAAGAGGAGATGCAACGATGCAGGGAACTTGTTGTGTCTCCTCCAGACAGGCGCTGCCTTCTGGACTCAGCTGAGCGTCCCTCCTTCTCTGCAGGTGTAAAATCCAGGAAGCTGCTGCTGTATAATTCAAAATCTTGTGCAGGTTTTTTTTTTTTTTTCCCTCCTTGTGTTTGTGAAGATGACTTCAAGGTTTATCTCTTTTTCATGGCCATATGCATGTTCAAAAAATTACAGCAAGAATATTTAAAGAGACAGGAGCATTTTCTAACCAAAGTGGCTGACATTGCCTCAAATGGCAGATGCAGGTTTGCAGAAATATTTATGGTCTGCAACATATTTAATTTACTGACATGAAGCTTTTGCAACAGAAATACAGAATTATAAAAATTATGTTCTTCAAACATCTGTTTTGTTTTGAGCAGATGTCAAAGTGCTCCTTAAAAAAGATAATTATGGTGAGTGGTAATTTTTGATTAAAATCTACAGATTCATAAAACATAAAATATTAGATATTGGTGAAATTCAGCTGCTCTCTTCAAAATACACAAAATACAATCACTTTCCTATCAGGAGAAAGATGAGCACAATACAAAAATCTCCAAAAAGACCTCGTGTTGGAGAAAAAAAAAGACAGTAAAAAAAGTCAGAAGCATCTCTTCCTTTGGTGCAAATGTCTCCAGAATTGATCAGATTGTTTCAATCAGGATAAAACTTTCAACAGCTACAGGAACATACGCAATCACGGTAAAAGAGAGACAGAGAAAAGGCATCTAGTTCTAATTAATTCAAGTGTAAGACATCCCTGTGAGCATCAGCACACATCCAGAGGTTATTTATCCACAGCAGAGCTGTCCAGAGTTTCTGGTCTAATTATTTCATCTTCAAATCGCCTGACAAAATCAAATATAAATGTGGAGGCTCATGTTTATTCCTCCATACAGAGGAGGGGGAGGCAGTTCAGCCATTTACTCATGTAAAATTAATGTCAAAGAAAGCGACGGGACGTTATGGCTGCACGTGTTTGCCTCACACTTGAAAGGCCGCACCACACTTCACTTGGGAGCGCACAGTGTCAAATAGGATAAGAAATGTGTGAGAACACAGACCATGAGTGCAGTCCTAATAACAAGAAGCCCAGAGTAGAAAACACACACACACACAATGTTTCTGCATGATGGAGCTTTTTTACCTCCGGACAAGATAAGTAGGCCAGGCTTCATTTTAGTGTTTTTGTTGGAGCGTACATTGACTCTATTTAATTAGAGGTACTACTTTTGACACACTGTAAAATTAATGTGTCAGGGATTTTTTTACCCTATCCTGGTTTTTCCATTTAAACTAAAAAACAGATGGATTTAAGCCGAGGTCAAATATTTAGCATCACCTCTCAAACTGAAGGGCTTCATCTGCATGGTTCACATGTGTGACCTGGGTTAATTCGCCAAGCATTACTCATTGATTAAAAATGCTTCAGGACACATGAGCTCACCCACACAAACATGAACAAACATCACATCTCACAATGCAAGCCAACTGATCTTTTGTCAGCGCTGTTATCAAGGAGGAAAGAATAATGGGATGACTCTGATTTAAAAATAGCTTTTATTGCAGCTTTTCTCATGGCAAGCTGCTTTGATCACACAGAGGGAAACAATAGTCTATGCTCGATATTTTCAGCCTGGAGGGGGGGAAAGCAGAGACCATCACATGTTGACTATGATTAAAAAAGAAAGCGAAAAGATTGGCAGAAGAGAAGCAATGCAATGAGTGGAAAAACAAATAAACAAAACAGGTGCAGTAGATACAAATTCCAAATACGAAAATATTTCAGCAACATGAAATAATTTACATGAGTTCCCCAGTTTTGTTTGTATGATCGGATTTGTCCTAAGTGCGTGGCGACAGCTGTCTGAGTTCAGTCTTTATATGACAGGTAACTACCCTCCCAAAACGAGTGTCAGCCTTCATGTTCTCAGTCCTCGTGGATGTTGAAAAGCTTGGCCACTTCATTCAGATCTGCATGTTCCTCTCCGTCCTTGATTATCTGTCAACAGACACACATGATCAGGAAACTTCACAACAGCTGCGTTTACATGGGCACAAATAATCGCAATAAATGCCCAATTGGATTAAAAATGCGTCATGTAACATGTTGATCAGAAGATTCAGATTTAATTTGGCTTAACCAGGCAGAAATTGTATTCCTATCTAGAGGGGTGGTTTATGCCGATTGTTATTCCGAACTGCATCCATGTAAACACTTATTTTGATTCTCGGTCTTCACTCCTTAGCCTTTGTCTTATTTATTGAGGTCAGTACAGGAGGTTTCATTATTAACACTCTGGCATAAAACACAACCACGGGTACCATGTCTGCTCCTCCGGTAACATAACAAGGCGTACATACAGCGTCATGATGTCACATCTGCACGCACAGTGCAACCTTTGACAAACCAGTAAAATAAGTACACAAGGGCGCCATCTGGTGACAACATTTAACAGGGGGAAAACTCCTGAATTGGATGGAGTGAGCCACTACCCCGTTTGTTGGTTTGTTGACAGCACAGGTGTAAATAACTCTTCTTCTGTGGTTGTTTTAGCGAAATCAGACAACTTTGCGCATTTCCATATCTGAATAATCTGAATTAAGCTTGGTGCATGTATACGCACATCATGATCTGATTTTGCACCTATAAAAACAGTGGTTTCATATTATCCGATCCCTTAAAATTTTAATCGTATGAAGCAATTTTGCACATGTAAACATGACTAGTGTCACAAAGCAGTTTTTTTAATTCTGCGTCAGTGCATACCTTTCTTGCAATAGGCATTCTGTTAAACACGTTCCACAGGATTATCCCCACCACCACTTTGTCCCTCAGGTAGAAGATGACTCCTTTTCCGTAGTCGTCTTTATGTGCCCCCATAGCTGGAGCTGGTGTGGAAGAGGCCACGGGACTGGTGGCTGTGTCTTCAGTTTCACTTTCTGAGCGGATCCCAGTTCCTGTGAAACATTCAAGATAAGTCATGAATGCCAAGTGTACTTTTGCTTTATGTGAGTAAGATTAACGTTTGTATATAGTGCCGCTCTTACCCGACTTCTCTGTAGCAGCTTTGGGTGTATCCTTCGCTGTGGCTTTTGCAAACACTCCCACTGTTGGCAGGCTGCTGTCAACAATCCCAATCGCCTCATAACCAACATCTGGTCCCAGGTCACTCCTGTGAATAACCGCATGAGGTTAGTAAACATATTGAGCTTAAACGATATTTCCTCTCTGTTTATTTTTAGCACCTCCAGAGAAATAAACTGTTGAAAAAATGAAAAATGTTATTGGAGTTTAACGAATAAATATAAGCTGGACACGCTGTAATCTGTGCAGTTTTGTATTCCTGTTCTTGGTACAGCAGCTTCTGGAGTTTAAAACTTCACATCTTAAAATCTTGTTAAACACTGTGCGGCTGCAAAACTCCTGCTAAAACACAAACAAGCAGAGCTAAAATTTAGCTGTACATTTTAGTGACAACCCCCCAAGGCTCTGGGTGAGTTTGTAGCCGGCTGATGACCTGAAGAAAAACCCAGCCAGATGTTGACAGATAACATGCTGTGGTCATTTTACCCTTAAGGTCGGAAATCTAACTGTGGTACCAGGCAGAAGCCAGCACATCTGGTGGGTCATCTCTTAGCACCTTTGTAAGAGCCATCTGCACCTGGATGAATTATGATTAAAGGATGAGTAAACTGACACTGACTCATCGTAACATTTGTTGGCGTTGGGCATGCTCTGTGTGCTTCTGCTCCAAGATATTGATCATGTATGACTACGGTACACTGCAGAGAAACAAAAGTCACTGAAGATGAGGAGTTAGGAAAATTCAACACTCAAGTGACAAAAAGGTTTTGGGTCTTTAGAAGATAAATTCCATCTGAAGTTTAATTTTTAGATAATTTTTTGGTATTCTGTTTAGGAATATGAAAGATTTAACATCAGCACAAGAATTTTACGTTTGCTAAAATACCTTCATTTCTATTGTAGGCCTAAAATGCTGGTCATATGTTGCATTGGAGTTGTAGCTCAGCCAGCCTCCATTAGCCAGAGCAGAAGACTCATTAATGTTTACTGATGCTCTACTGCACGGATATACACTCGCACAGATGACCGATTGCATCTTGTTGCTCAGTGCTGTACGACAGTATTTTAATCTAGCATATGGTGATGAAGCTGTACCATGGCTGCATCTGGTAAAACTGACATATAAAAAACCCAGCTAGTGCACTGAATGACCAGGACAGGAACGTAGATATTAGCCTACAAAGAGAACCCGAAGCTGGTTGTGCTAGCTCTGTTAACGTTAACCACGCTCCACACTCAGCAAACCAGTTTGACATCGTTACTCAGACTCGCTAAGACCTAGGGCTGGATGATTTGGCCTCAAATCAATATCACTATATATTGAGCATTTAACCTCGATAACGACACGATAACTACTCCACATGCAGCTCACCCCCTTCCATATTAACTTCGTCTACTTCAGCCGCTCCAACTTTTGAACCGTCCTCCATCTCCTCACCTGTCTTTCCCTCTTTGTTTTGAACTGGATGGGGTGGAGTCACGTCTCTGACGAAGGACAGCGTCTTAAAGTGACATGAGACCATAGCCTATCTACAAACATCCAAAACCAACTTTTATTTATTTTTTTGACACAGAATATACTATTGTCGTAAATTTCTGTATTGATAAATTTTCAGTTTATCGCCCAGCCCTACTAAGGCCCTGTGTTAAACTGCATTAAATAAATGATCCTAAATTTTACCTGTTTTGTGAGTGTTTTCTTACCTTTAGACTAGTCTAAGAAGTAGACTAGGAATTCATATGACTGTTTCAATGCTTAGGATACTGGTTGCTATGGAACATTCCTCAGTAGACAGAAACAAACTCTGGTGACCTCATTAGTAAACGATATATCTACAGTACGCAGGGATTAAAGCAGGAAAAAAATATGTAGACTTTAAAATGTTCAACATATAAATCAAATTGAATAGGGACTCTCAACATAAATGCTCCTAATTTTAAATGTGTTTTGATTTTATAGGATAAAACGTGTACATTTTATCAGGGGATCTTAAAAGAAGACACTGCTGATGACTATTCTTCAAGAGAGGATCAGGAGTAAGTAAAACCAGAACAATATAAAGAAATCCCTTTCTTCAATTTGGACCTGGTCCTTTTTATGCTCTTATAGTGATGAACACTGTGTTCGTCACCATAAGAGTCTATTCAAAGAGGACATTTAAAGCAAATCATGCCAGTGTAGGACTCAAGTAACATAGTTTGTTCCTACAAACAACTAAACAAAAATGTTTATGGATAACAAAGAAGACATGTTTTGAAGAGATGACTCAATGCTAAGCAGAGCATGTTCATGTGTGTCCTAATTTTCCAAATGAGTAACACTACAAAGCTCAGCTTAAGGCTATACTAAATAATGTTAGTGAGCTCTGCTTAGTGTCTGACTCATCTGTTAGCCTTAATATTAATCAAATGAGCCATCAGCTTCAGCCGGCAGAGTTTACAGTCATTACTGTAAACCGGTGTTACAGCTAGAGTGCTTCACAGCTGCTGATCTTCAAGAGGGTTTTCTATCATCCTGGGAGGTGCATGGGTTTAGCAGAATATATTCCATCTGCATGTCTCAGGGAAAATCATTGTCGAGGGTAATTTGCAGCGAAATGTTGTGTTGGAAAAGTTTAATGAGTTTCAATTTGCAACAGGAGAACACTTCATAACAAGTAAAGACCGTGCTTTCAGGAGTAAACCCTCAAAGTTGGAGGGTCAAATGTTGTTGGACTTTTGCTGATATTGTCAGTAACTTTAACCTATGTCAGTATTTTTTTATTTTCACAGTAGAGAACACCAAGTCTCTCCTGTACTTGAGTTTACCTGATACTCTGATTGTGACAATCCATTTGTTTTACTAACATAAAAAAACAACATTTGGTACGACCACATATGATTAAAAATATTCCTTGACAGGGCTTGACACTAACTTTTTTCACAAGGAACGCATGTGTTGAAATAGTAAGGAGCACACAAAGAACTTTAGGGGCACAATGAAAATTGATCAAATAATGTGTGTCTTATTGGTCGACATAAGTACTATTATTTGAAATCAATGTTAGGTATTTTGGTCACATGACATGGAAGCTATTGAAGTAAAACAGCCTTCTCTGAGAGCATCAACTGGTAATTTATTGATGGTTCCTTATTCAACACGTTGACAGCGAGGATGCAGAGTAGATTGAACTGCGCTGCTGTTGCTATTGCCGGTTATGTAGAGTGAGAAGACACCGATAGATACACAATGAATGTTCGTCGAATCTCCAACCTAAAACTAACTTCACCGCGGTATTTACAAGAAAAACATTTGTTGCCTCAGCTGATTTTTTTTTATGCGCACATGTGCCCCTAAAAACATTTTATAACTCTCACTCATCTATTTTTAGTCGCAAATGCGAGTGAAAGTGTCCCACTGTCGAGCCCTGCTTGACTAAAACTGGTTTAATACAGCACATTTATTTTGTGTTGTATTTAAGTCGAAAATGTCCAAGTAGACTAAAACGAGGCCTACTTAGGTCAATATAAAATAATGGTCTTGACAACTGCATGGGCACAATCTTGCCACTGCTGCTGAGTAACGGCAAAGGGGGTCGGATGTCACACCCAGTAGGAATCACACCGCTTTGACTCTGCAGCCACATTACACGAACGTTTGGAGCAAAACACACACATACAGTATCTAACAACATCAAGGAGCGTATGAACAGGACAGTTTAACTGACAGATGTATATATTTTTCTGGGCTGCACTCAACCCGTGTTGTCAGCATTGTGTCATGTTTCACCAGCTGCTGAAGCACGCAGACGTTGTATGACTGCTTTAAAGTAGGCCACGCGCCACACTGTGGACTCAGTTTTTGGCAGCCCCCTGAATATCTGTCACAGCCCCTCTGTGCTCATATTAGCTTTTCTTAAAAGAGACAGTAAATGCGTAAAAAATGTGAGTGATGAATGCTGCACTCTGCTGGGAACTCCAACCTAATGTCCTCTAAAGGCATTTTAAATATTTCACAACTTAATGGTATTCAAGAATTCAAAGCAATCATGCATGTTCATGTGGCTTCCAAAAGGATTAAATCTGCGTAATGTGCACGCATCAATGTACATCCTCGTGTACCCACTAATTTAGACAAATGCATTGAACATGGATCACTTCAATTCACAATTTAGACTGGACCTCACTCACTTTGGAGTTTTCTTTCATTTCCACCTTAAGCCGCTCTTATTGCTTGCACTCACAGCATTAGTTTCCAAAACGGTTTGACCATGAACCACAAAACCCTTTGTTTGAACACCACAAGCAGGGAGGAGTCAGTGCTTAAGACACTCACCAGAACATAGATTGATGCCAATAGGGCTTGTTGGCGCCTGTCATGTTCTCTCCTGCGAGTCTTCCGCTCACAACGGCGTGATCGTGATGCTCCACTCGTCTGCGGCCCAGTCGGATGTCATAGAAACACGCAGCATCTCCTGCCTGCACCGAAACAGACGGGGTTGAGGATACACGGCATGCATATACGAATACAAATCATGTTACAAGTGAATAACATATCACGAGATGCATTTTTCATGCGGATCATGACCTGAATTTGCCTGAGGAGGGCACTGTAACACAATATAATACAGGGCAGCAGAGGTTAAGGCGTTCATGTGGCTCGCCCTGACCTACTAAATAAACCTAGACCTAACCTTTTTTCTCTGTGCTTTTAGTGCTTTTGATCAAATGTGGTAATAGAGGTTTGCAATTGAAATTAATACCAAAACATGTAGTTCATTTCACTAAGAATTGTGCATTTATTTAAGGTCCTTTAACTACGAAGAAAATCAACAGAAGTCTCTATATTTCAAACAAAAATATAGATATCAATAATATGAATTTACTGAAAATAACTAACATTTAGACCCTAATATTGTGTTTTTTTATCTTCCCTATACAGCTCTACATCCAAAACACAGTTTGATTGCATTAATCTTGATACGTCTTATAAACATTAACTTACCACCCAAATATTGGATCTTGCTTGCAGCTCTGCATTAACCCGAAAGCCACCAAAGTCAGAGTCCACCTCCAGACCTGCTGACTTTGCAAGGTCAACATTGGGCTCCAGGCCAACAGCTGCAACTAAGTGATCTGTTTTCACCTATTAAAGGGCAACACGACACAATCAGTAACAAATAAATTATTTCCTAATTCAAACTGAACATGAGTCAAATCTTTGAACCTACAAGTCGGCCGTCCTTCAGTAGGATTTCTAACTTGTCGTCTTTGAGGTTCACAGATTTCACCAGAGCTTCTGAGATGATTTTTACACCCTCTACGACACCAAAAAGAAAGAAGCTGTCATCAAGGAAATAGAGGGCAGGAAAAGTATTTCTGTTGGCTTTTGCGAGTACTTTAGACAAGAAATGGACATGAACCTTGCTTGACTTTTTCTGTCGTCCAATTGCTCAGATACTCAGGCAACACTTTCCCCATGTTGCCCTTCTCCGGGTACATCTGGATCACCTCCAGGCCAGACTCATGCGCTAAATAAAAAAAAGAGAGAAAACAGATTTGTCCTTTAAAAAAAAAAAAACAGTATTTCAAATCTACTCTGTCATTTTCTCATTTTTATCCAACCGCCTTACATTTCCTGCCAAGAGCACAGGCCAGCTCGCTGCCCAAGAAGCCGCCTCCGATGATTGTGATGGACTGAATGTTTCTGGACACCTTGTCTAAAGATTTAAAGTCTTCAATCTGTGGAGGATAATTGCATTATTACAGTAATTCATTCTCTAAAATGTAAAAAGGTCACCTGTAACACAGCACATGACATACTGCATGTACATTCTAATATTAAGATTGGCCATAATAACTACATAAACTACTGCTGTGAATCTGCTTCCTGCCGTTTTAAGCTTCAATTATGTATTTATTTATTTTTTGACATGATATTAAGATATTTCAATCTATAATTGCAACGTTAGATTATATCATGTATTGACCTTTTCAAGAGCTGTTGGATTTACATTTTCAGAGTACTCCTCATCTCCTTCATGTGACCTATTTGGAGCCCTTAAAATTGCCACCTATATAGTTCATATTTGTCTTTCTTTGCTTTGTCCACAAAAAAAACAAGATTTAAAAAAAGAAAAAAAAACAGCTTGCTTGCTAAGAGACACTATTTACAGTCTGGAATTAAGCTATCGCCCCCTTGTGGGCAAATACTGACCTTGCGGAACAGAGTCGTCTTCTTCATCACCTCCTCTCCTGCTCTCTCTATCACCTGCAGGTTTCTTGGTACACCGCCTGAAGAGAAAAGCTCAGATTAGCTTCAGTCAGGCTGAAAACACATTCTGTAGTGAATGCAATCTGAAGTGTCTCACCTGTTGCAATCAGACATTTGTTGTAGGAGATCTCTGTGTCATCGTCAAGCTTTACTTTGTTCCCTCTGACATCCATGTGTACCACCTGGAAAAGATCGATCCACGTTATCATAGTCAAAATCAGTCATTGAAATAGTAGAGAAGTTTATTCAAATCTGACATGACATTCATCATAAATGTGATGAATAATTCATCTGAAAAACACTAAAATTTATATTTAACTGAGGAGTCCCTTCCTGCATTGGCTGATTGTTAGATAAAAACAAACCTTTTTCCCAGTGAGAACAGCAACACCTCCATTCTCTGCACTTTCCAATTCTTCTGGACTGATGTAGAATGATGCTGGCTGGAAGTAGATACTGGAAAAAACACAGAGAGAAAAAGAGGAAGTCTTTTGTTTAAATACATGAATCTATAAATAATAAAATCTATACATTATCTGCTACATCTTAAGTTTTAATTGGTATTGTGAGTGGTTCACCTGTGAGATTGTTTGCTGCTAAGGAAATGATGCAAGCTCAGTTCTCAACAATAGTTATTTTGTGTAAACACCGCTAAAAAGGGAAGTCAGTTGAGACAGAGTTTAGGGAACAGGGGAGTGTAATCAACATGAACAGCAGAGGCGCAAGAAAAAACTTTGATTCTCCACTAAAAGCAAAGGGATGTCACGGGACGGCATGCACGCAACTGCATCACTGATCACAACAGAGGGAAACAAATGTTAAAATGAAGCAGAGTGCAGACAGAGAGGTACAGAGCCAGCAGGGCTAGACCAAGACAACCTTTTCCTTGACTTGTGGTTGTTTACAGTCTCAATTACAACTCAAGAAGCAGGACTGGAGTTGGCAGAGGACACCCAAAACCAGATTTTATCAGACACTCGCATGGAGACGTCTGTTTTTGTACATTTTGTTAAGCTGCATTATTGCCAGATGTTGTCTACTTGGTTCAAAGATTAGATTACAGAGGACTATGTTGTAACCCTGCTGCTCTGACTGTTTTCTTTCATACAGCTAAAGGTCTGCTAAAACAGGCTTGGTCAAGATTTTTCTTACTGTAGAGAAGAAACGTCCCAAAGCAACTCATCTCCTCGATTTTAAAATGAAATTTTTCATTAGGAATAACAAACAGATCCAAGGTACTAAATGTGCACATCCTTACTGCTGAGACCAAAAACACCCTGTGCAGGTTTTAATCTTATATTCAGAAACGAGACGAACAGAAAACATTCAAGGCTATACAGCTGAATACACCAAAAGTCTAATACAAGAAATTTAAAATGATATCAGACCTTCTTTCTTTTCCATTCCACTGTTTGAATCGCAGCGTTTCTGTCACACTGGGGTCATCAGAGAACCAAAGCTCCTTAGAAAGGGGTGGTCTCATGTATGGAAGGTCTGGCTCATCAGTCACAATTAGTACCTGCAATCAAATATTCAAAACAGGCAAACCAGACTTTGAGCCTAAAACGATCCGAGAGGAAAAAGACAACCTTTAAAAATTCAGTACCCTGAGGTAGATAACAAAACTGACTCCAGGGGTAATCTTTTATTTTGGAAACAGAGGGTGTACTGACCTTGGCTCCAGGGTCTCTGGCTCGAATGGATCTGGCGGCGGCGAAAGAGGCGGTTCCTCCACCAATAAGGAGGTAGGGTGTGTGTGAAGGGACCTTGGGAGTGGCAGGTGTGGACTCTGCTACTGAAGTTAGAATAAAAAGAGCAGCAAGCATGGGAAAAAGGTGAGGTGGAAAGAAAGAAGGGATAGAAAGAATGGCAAAAGCAAGAGAGAGAGACAACAATTAGTGTGTGTGTTTAGATACCTATCAGTCAGCGAGACACACAGAAATACACCTGAGAGGAGTGAATGGGAAAAGAAGTCAAAATATTTCATGAGGGTGAGATTAACCTTTATCATTACAAATACCCAAACGATGTGAAAAAAGGAAAAATCAGGAACAGGCAGGGAGGAGAGCTGTAAAAATGGGGGAAAAAAACGGTTAAAATATAAAAAGGAGAGAAGGTGATGAAAAATTAACATTATCTTTATCAAAATGGGAAGAAGTGTCTGCCCGCTTCCCCCTCTCCAACCCAGGCTGGACTTTGGTCTTACCACTCTCTGCAACCACTTCAGGCTGAGGCTCAGGGGGCTCTGCTGCTGGGCTTTCTGTTGCTGCTGCTGCTGCTGCTTGGGGTTCTGTTAGTATGACCGGAGCATGAAGCGGTTAAGACAAAACACATCCATCCTGCGCTCGGGCAAACTTACACCAACAGGCCTGACTAAGCTTACCACTCTCCACAACAGGCTCAGTTTCAGCGGGAGCTGGCTCTGTAAGTTCAGCTGGGGACGGCTCAGAGGGGGGTGAGGGTTCTGCTAGTACGGGGGCAAAGTTACATAATAAGGTCTATTGTTATTGACCATCACAAACCAAGGTCATGTGTTAAACAAAGAAGCGTAAGCAGCACCTGAACATTAGGAAAAAATATATTGTCAAGTTCTATCAGCATTGGTTAATAAATCAGATTGAGGCATCCTTCTTCTTAGAGCTTACCCTCCTCTACAGCAGGAGCAGCAGGTGGTTCTGCTGCCTCTTCTGCAGGGGCTTCTACCACAGGAGCTTCTACCACAGGAGCTTCTACCACTGGAGTTTCTACCACTGGTTCTTCTACCACTGGTTCCTGTACCACTGGTTCTTCTACCACAGGAGCTTCTACCACTGGTTCTTCTACCACTGGTTCCTGTACCACTGGTTCTCCTACCACTGGTTCCTGTACCACTGGTTCTTCTACCACAGGAGCTTCTACCACTGGTTCTTCTACCGCTGGAGCTTCTACCACTGGTTCCTGTACCACTGGTTCTTCTGCTACTGAGGTAGTTAATAGCATGAGTTAGGATTGCAATTCAATACACGATTACTGAGGGGGAAAACCACCAGGTCCATGCATTGATCCAGTTTAACCCTGTAAACACTCAGCATGGCATGCACTGAAACACAACTACAACTGGAAGCTGACATCTTTTTAGTTGACTTTATATGAACAACTGTGAAACATAAATTAAATAAGGTAAATAAATATAAGTTGCATTTAAATCAAGTATTAAAAAGGAGTCTTGTGTGGTGGTTCACTCCAGCAATTATCCCCTAACTAACATACAAGCCCAGGTGAAGAGTTGGGATGCTGCGTAAGATGTCAATAAAAAAAAATAAAAAAAACAGCATGTGATGGTTTAAAGCTGAAAATCATCTGAAAATGGTGCAAAGACCACAAATTAAATTGTTGAATGGATACATTTTTTATTTAAAAAAATTAAAGTTTGATGCCAACAACACGTTTTTAAAACCGCTGGGAAAGAAACAACATAGCACTGAAAAAATGTGTAGTGCTAAAAATACACCTGGAAAAACATTTCCCAGCTAATCACATTGGTCTCCGATAAGTTAGTAGCATGAACGGGTATTAGCAGTGGGAGAAAGAATTAATACGGCATAGTATCGCAATATTTTGTCTGGTGATACATCGTATCGTCTCATCCACCAAATGCTACATCAACTAAGCAGTTGAAAAAAAATGTACAAATCGCAATAAATGGTATCGCAAAACTCAATGTATCTCAAAATGTTAAAAATCGCGATAATATCAAATCTAGGCCCAGGTATCGTGATAATATCGAATCATGGGGCCACTGCTGATTCCCACCTCTAATGGGTACCAAAAGAACTCCACAGAGGCATGGGCGCTGCACCCTCCCTTTAAGCAACCCTGTTTGTGCACAGTTCAAAAGCCAGCATCCCTGATTGTGTTGATAATATGCATAAGACTCCATGGTATGGCTGGTACAAACACCTGAGAAGGCACCACTAATGCTTAAGAATACATGTTTTAAAGCACATTTTGCAGTAGTAAAGGGGGTCCAGTGCTAAACTACACAGCCTGCAGTCACAACTTAGGGTCAGTAGGTCATCATGACACGGATTGTACGACAAATGAGACCTCGGACAGTTGAACAGCTGAAATCCTGTGACCGGCAAGCATGGGTCAATATTTCAATTTCAAACCCAGAAACTGATCTCCTTGGTTGCCAACGGTTTACACTGTGTTATGAGACAAGGTGATAGAACACGATGGTAAATACTTCCGTCTCAATCCTTTTGAAACATGATGCTGACATCGAATCTAAAATAAGCATAATTCTATTCATAAAACAATGAAATTTGTTTAGCCTCCTAGTTGGTTTGTTGTCTTTTTGCTATTTTCAGTTAAATTAATGCTTCAAATAAATTGGAAAACCATCAAATTCTATACTCATTAACATCAGACACAGTGTCCTAACTCCTTTAGAACTGGAATTAGAAATACATTTTTGAAGTTTTCAGACTTCATTTTCCAATCGAGCTTCAGACATGACATAAAAAATGTCTACGGGCAGCTTCCAGTTATAAACAGTATGGCTCCACATTAAGTTAGACAACAACCCTTTTGAATCCTAGCCAAAGATGATGTTTTTTTACAAACTATAACAAATTCAGAGAAGCACTGGACAGAGGGACTTCATCTGGCACCACAAAAATGACACAACAATCACAACTGGAGCAGACATTACACGAACTTAAACCATCGATGACAGTGGCTCACAGAAACAAACATTTTCACAAAAATATAACACGATGAAGGTTAGTATGTGACCATTAAATGTTGTACTGTAAAAGTAAAGAGTTAATTTACATGGTTAGAGGACATAGAGTGAATTAAACCAACATTAAACATAAACCATGACATGTTTGACTTAACACAAGATGGTGAATGAAAATGAAAAACTCATGCAACAAAAGGGAGAAGTAACAACTCATGCAGTTACTCTCTCAGTTAATGGATGTAGACAACAAATACGAGACAAAACATGTTTAAAATTCAGAGGTCCTTCAGGATAACACCTATCAATTCTGTTTTAACATATCTTTTAATGGAAAAGTTGGGCAGGGCATAAAAGATGCTATAAAGACATCTCATCTTTTCTTGCACTAACCCAGCTTAACCAGCTGGTGTCACCATTTCTACCCTGAAGTTCACTGTAAAGCACTGTCTGTCAGTACGTGTTGACAGAAAGGTGAAATGTAGTACACAGTTCCAGGTTAGGCAAGCAAACTTTTTTCTAGTATTTTTAGGTTCAAACAAAGTGTTAATAAAGAAGGCAGATGTTTAATGCATGTAGGGGTTTAAGAAAGAAAGCAAACTACCTGGGGATGGCTCTGTTGTGTCACTGGGGGCTGCCGCTGCTTCAGCATCTGGGGCCGGGGCACTAGGCTCCTCTGGTGAGAGTTCTGCTATTGGCTCTGGTGAAGGTTCTGCCGCAGGTTCTGCTTGTGGTTCTGTCTCAGGGACAACTAGGCGAGAAGAGTTTAAAGACTTACAAACCAAAAGAAAGGACATATTCAACACTGAACACCTTTTTTGTGTGTCATGTGACTTAGAGGAGGTTAATATGTCAGAAAGTTTAACACAATGTAAATCATTTCAGCACTTATTCAAACACAGTTTGCTTTGTGGTCAAAAACTGCTGACTTAAGGGCAATACAGAGGAAGCTAAACTGTGTGTCACGGCCAGCTCCAAGCAAAACTACACAATTAAATAACCTCCAACTTTGATTTTATACAAACAGGTTTTTTGTTTCTCATCACAGAGAGACACTCTAAACAACACAGGCCCTGTTCTCTTATGCTGTTTGTAGAGTATGTACGGACCCTTGATTCAGAGTAGGTAAGTTTTATGACCTATGAAGTTATTAACAGAGGTGGAGTTTGATCAAAGTGTCAAGATAATCATCTGAAAACGAGGGACAAATCACTCACCCTCTGCTTCAGTGGTTTCCACAGCTGAAACAAACAGCAAAATAACAATCAAAACAGTTCTGTTTTTATTTATCATCATGAAAAATGACTAAATTGTGTTCATAAAATTCACTCACCAGGGGGCTCAGACTCCGTGGGTGCAGCGATCTCTTCTGTGGCCACTTTTTGGTGTCTAGCTGCAATTTCATCAACACGTTCCTGGTATCGTGTTTGGTCTCCTCTTAAAGTACGGTACAACTGCGAAAACAAAAATGCCGAAAAACTCACAACTGGTTCAACTCTTTCCATCGGTCGCCATGTTTCGTGCATCATACCCATTATGTAATGAGGTATAAGCTGACTCACATAAACTCCACTACCAACACAGGCTGCTCCAACCAGAAGGATATACAGCTGGTTTTCACGACCTCCCCCTGTAGGCCCGGTGGACATGTGAGCCACAGGTGCTTGTGCAGGTAGTCTGCCATGGGTTAATCCTGAAATGATGAAGCATTGACAAATTATAAACTTTCAAGTGTTGACAAAACTGCTTGGAATATAGACCAACTAACAACCAAATGTGTCATAGTTGCAGTATATTCAATCTCTATAACTAGTAAAATGCCTTTCACTTCAGGTGTGTAATGTTTTAACCTCTCTGAAATGGTGAAATATGATGATATGTGATTTGATTAGATGGCACTGACACACTTAAGTACAATAAATGAAATTAGGTTATTTAAAGATGTGGTTTTCAACTGGTGGGTCCAAACCCAAAAGTGGGTCGTGGACACGTTCAGGATGGATCACCAACAGCTGGTCAAAAAAGTAAATATATAATGTGATATTTATTAGATTTTTTCTGTACAAGCAACTTCAGTAGTTGTCGTCCTCATATTGTCCCCTTCGTGTGCTCTTAAATGCACTTAAAACACATAATAAAGTGGATTTATGTTAAAGATTAGAGTCTTTCAAGGTTTTTTTTGGTTTGCTTGAATTCCATAAAAGTGGGTCGCGACTTCAGGACAATGGGAAAATGTGGGTCCCAGAGTGAGACCAGTCGAGAACCACTGAGTTGAGTTAGGTTAAGAGGTGATAATCAACCCCTCTCATTGACAATTTCCCTTTAATTACTACTTCTTGTTTCCTCCCTTCATCACCCCCCAAAGGTTTTACACTGGGGGGCTCATAACAACAGGATCCATGTCAAAATAGTCATGTGAAAGCAGCGTGATAAATTCTGTGGGGGTCACATATGTTATAAGTTACCACACTGCAAACCTTTACTGGCTTTAACAAACTGAGACTGAAAAGTTTATTTGTCATTCAAAAAGTGTCTGAGAGTCTTCAGGCAGTGCAACAGACAGACAGACACAGACATGCAGTGTGGTTGAAGTTTAATAGTTAGCATGAACTTGTGCAGGTTAACTTAAGATCTGCAGATTTACTAGGTCAATATTAGCTTAATTAAAACCACACTTGGCTCAGAATACTTAATGAAGCTATCAATCTGACTGAGCGTGCTGTCATCGTAGTGTAATGGCACGCTAAAGTGTGTTTGCATTGAATTATTGAGTCCAGTTCCTGTCACTGTGACTTACCTGCTCTCCTCACATTCTGCCGGCACACTGTAGATGAAGCTCTCGCCAGCGGTGCAAGCTTTCTCCATGCAATTCTGCATTTCAGCATCGTGGCTCAGCTCTGCTTCACAGCTAACCAGCCGACCTGTCGGACGTGTACTCCAGCTAGTTAAAGCTAAAACAAGTCCAACTGCCAGCACCGCACACTGACAACTAGCAGCACCGTGCTACACGCCAAGGCCAGAGACAGGTCATTGGTTTCAGGGGGATTATGGGTAATAACAGAGAGTGTTTGAGAACGGAGATGAGTCAACAACGGAAGCCGACGCGGTAGAGCGCCTTCTGATAAAAATGGCGTCGTCTGTTTCGTTAAGCGATAGTCCTTAAGAAGAGAAATCTTTCTCACCTTGATATTGTTGCGTTGTTTATTGTGTTATAATTCCTTATCCTCTTTTCAGAACTCTTCAGATAACAGTTTCCTGGATAAAATCCAAGTATACGGCATCTAAGCTACATATCGAGCACGGTTACGGTCACTGTTGGCTGTTGTACACTCTTATCTTTTAGACTCTTTGGTAAATGTGGCCACGCTCCTTACTCTTGACATTGTACAACTAAAAATGCAGCCAAAGTGGACTGCTGCCCTCATCAGTTTATTTAACCTGACATAGACATAAGAAATGTTTTTGCAGATAGCTTTATAGAGAGGACAACCGCTCAAATGGAGAGGCAGGTAGCTGAGTAAAGCAGTGAAAAATAACAGGACTTTTGGGACAGGTTACCAGTATAGTAAAACAGCACCCATTCAATGGGTTTAGGGCATCAAAAGCACATGGGGCGCTCAAATCCTATGCAAATATAACCAGGGGCTTATGATATGTGAGTTCTGAGTTAAGTGGGCCTGTATAATTAGTCTCTTGATTTCTACTGAGTCATGGTTGGAAATCTGCTGGTGATACTCTGGTTTACAACGTAGGTGTTTATGTCGCCCTCTGGTGGTCGCCTTAAAACTATGAGACTGTTTTTACTTCTAATGGTTACCATCTATTTTACAATGTACTTATTAACTAGATTTATTATAAGGCACTAGAAGCAATAATATAAAGTGAAATGAATAATTGAAGCATTTTATTGTGATGTACGATGTTGTTGATGATTATTTAAACCAGGAGGCCATGTGAGCTTAACAATAAGGGTTTACACTTCTCCTCAAAGCAGAAGTGTGTTATGGTCCTGTTGATATGTCAAAATTTGTTTGCGTATTTCTCTTTTTGGATTATGTCTTGTGTTGTGTCACCATCTCAACAAAAATAACTCTTACTACTGTAAATGATACTCCTCCTATTTTCGTGCCCCTGATAGACAAAGCACTGTCTTATGAGCGATTTCAAGAAGTTTTGTGAGAAAAGCACTATTCTTCTACTTACAGCTCCCAAATATTTCAAAACTGTGAGCCACTGAAAATAAAAAATGTGCCTCATAAATAACTCAATTACAACAGTTAACCTCCCCTAGTCCCTTTGATGATCTTGTTTGCTTTTTTAGCTCAGCATTCTTATTAATTCCAGTCCATCTTATTACCTGCTCACATTGCATCACAAAACCCAAATTAGGGCCAAGTGTGACTGTTTCATAATACCCCCAAAAAATGCTAAATGCCTATTTTTAAATAATTATGGATTAACATAATAATGATACATATGATTCATAGATGCACCCACAGGACCTAAAAAGACACCCTGAGAGCAACATCATATCTGAAATGGGCTCATAAGGCATTTAGGGACACAAGTGATACAGAAACATTCAACAAAATGATCACAAATATGGCAGTACTGGAGTTTTTCAGCTGCCTTTGCAAAATTTGATTGCACGGTTGTATATTTTCTAAAGAGACCTGATTGTTGTCGAGGCTGCTTGTGACTTCCATGTTACATAATGATCCAAATGTGAAAAGATCCTGGAATGCATAAAACTATCTGCAGCATGAAACTGTAAACAGTCTTTAAAAGTATGAACCTATGTGGGTTTGCTCATGTAAGTTTTTTAATCCATGTTAGGGAGAGTATTTTTACCACGTTAGTCAAAACTGTGAATTTGCAGAAGTGTTTTTCTGCAGTTTGAAAAAACTATGGAGTTGAATTTAAAACAGAAGTACTAATAGTACTCCTGATGATGCGTAAGTTAATTTAATACAAACAAAATATATCATATTCAGTATATAACCATATAGTTGTATATGTATATAATGTTTTAAAGTAAACACAAAAGAAAAATAATTACAGAAGTAAATATGTTCAAAGTATCTTTATAATCCTGCTTATGTTTTTGGAATAGTAAACATAAAAACAATCACAAATTTCAGAAAATATGCATAATTAACATTTTTCTTTAAAAAGGTTAAAAAAAAAAAAAGCTTAAATCTCAGAGTTTAATAAAAGGTCATTTAATCATTCAATTCTTGTTTATCTTAAAAAATGTACAACAAAATTGCAGTATAAGAGTTTTTTTACTTGACTTTTATGTTTTTCGGTGTACTAAAGTGAAATATAAACCTATAGAAAACTCCACAAAAGACAGTATTTGTAATTCACCTTCATTTAGTTAAAAAATAATAATAATAATTAAAAAATCTTAAAAATTAAAGACTCACATTTACAAAATAAAGACCATCTCGTGGAATCAGTTGAACGTTTTAAATGTGAACTTTAAGATAAGATCTTGTAGCAGCATGTGACTACGCTTCTCCCTGTTACTGGCCAGTACAACTCTATCCTCTAACCTGTCAAACTTCCTTATGTGTAGTCACCCCCCTCCTTCTTAAACGCCCCCACAGGCCAACTGCTCCATACACTTGCCCCGGGCACTTGTAAAAACAAACACATAATTCTGTCTTTCCATCTCTCTCTCTCTTGCTCTCGTTCTCTCTGTGTCTCCTTCTCACCCTCTCTCTCCCTCTCTCTCTCTCTCTCTCTCTCTCTCTCTCTCTCTCTCTCTCTCTCTCTCTCTCTCACTCTCTTTCTCTCTTGTCAGTGTGATCAATTTCTTTGACTTCCTCCTTTTGGAGCGGCTGGGCTGAATACCAGAACACAGGATATGCTTTGCGCTGCTCTCAGTTTCACAGCAGCAGCAGCAGAAGAGGCAGAGGCAGAGGCAGCACTAACAGCATTACTAGCAGCAGCAGCAGCTGAGAGAGAGGACAGCACACACTGCAGTCAAGATGAGTGCTGGGGATGTGGTCTGCTTCGGCTGGCTCATTAAATCCCCCCCAGAGAAGAAGCTGAAGAGATTTGTGAGTAGGAGTACACGCTGGACGCTTGTTTGTGTCCTCTGCCAGCTAGAAGGAAAGCCGGGTTGTGCTGTTGAGGCTTGTGTTTGCGTGCAGATGTGAGTGTATGTGTGTTTGTGTATGTGTGTGTGTGTGTTATGACGTGGAATGATGATTTACAAAGATAACGTGGGTTGTGTGTGCTGCTGTTAAACTGGGCTGCTATTCAGTCTCCTTGTTTTATCTTCCTCATTTCTCTAACAACACCTTACTTTGGTTTCCTGGCTTGTGGATACACTCTGATGTGTCTCATATTGGAACATTGTGTTGATAATAGTATATTAATAACTGCAGATGTACTTCACATAGAGATCGAAATATGTAGTTTCTTAACGTGAACAGCACACAAGCGTCAATATTTTGTGGTTGTTGGGATCATGTGATAACGCTGGGCCAGCCACTCACTCTGCTGTGTGTGTGTGTGTGTGTGTGTGTGTGTGTGTGTGTGTGTGTGTGTGTGTGTGTGTGTGTGTGTGTGTGTGTGTGTGTGTGTGTGTGTGTTTGTGTGCAAAATTGTGAAACATGGGAAGTAATGTCAGAGGCAGCCAGACACTCAAGACTTAAGTGACAAGCAGAAATAGTCTGGCTTTATGATGGCTGTTTCATGCACTTCCTCTGTACCAGTGGTGGTGGAGGTGGAGGAGTAGGAGAAGGAGAAGAAGGGGGAGGAGGACATGGGTCATTATTTGTCAACAGCAGTGCAGGGGAAAGGTGGGTGGAGGAGCGTATGTGTTTTGATGGGGTTTGGAGCGGGAAACAAACTTATTTTAAGATAATATGCAAATCCTGACTCCAGAGAGAAAAGTAAACAGATGTTGTTAAGACTGTTGTGCAGACCGAAACACTGTCAGGCTTAATAGTCAAATATCAAGTAACTGACACACAACCGTATGAAAATGTAGTGTCACTCACTCTAACTTATCTTGGGATGTTGTTTTGCAGCTGCAGGTCCTTGGCTTTACATTCAGTGGTATCCATATTGAATCTTGTACTACAGCACGGGAGTGTTTTATTTGGCACTTTACTGAAGAAAAGAGTTGACTACATACAGAGAGGGCAATCCTTCCTGATGTGGAACAAGTGCTGATGTTTAATCCTCCCTCAGCTTTGAATTTCTAGGACGCTGGTTTAACTCAGTTGAAAGAGCAGGTGCCCCTGGTACAGATGTTACATTCTTGGTCATACTGGTCATAGGATCGATTCTTGGTCCCGGCAGGAGTCAGTGTTCGCCACTTCCCCCTATCTCCCTGTATTTCTTGACTCTCTAAAGTTGTCCTTTAAAAATAAAAGTAAAAAGCCCTCAAAAATCACCCCTTGAAAAAAGTGTATTTAGTGTTTGTCTGCAGTGTCCAGCTTATAGACTACACATGGACAGAACAACAGCTATCCTGACTTTTAGAGCTCACTCTGGTGACTGGCTGCAGTAGCCTATCAGCTGTAAAACCTACTTTCTCCATTATAACAGATGGAACATGAGTCAAACTAGAAATTTCAAATACACAGCAAAAATATTTGCTCAAACATCCTCTTCTGTCATTATAATTAGTTCTTATCATAATGATATCAAAAAGATGATGTATCGATTGATTAACTGACAGCTCTGTCGTCAAATGCGAACTCCTGCCGAGAGAGGAACAGAGAGAAAAAAGGCATCAAACACGCACAAAAGAGTCACTGAACTCTCCACGGACATGAGTGTCCCCTTCAGAGGAACACAAGAATCTGTTCTGCTGTGGACTGTGATGACCTGATGGATCTTTGCTGTTTTATCGCTAAGTTTCCTGCATGTTTTGGTCAGTTGAAGGTGTGTGGCCTCAGATCCGCAGCTCAACCGGCGCAATATGTCAGCGCCCATAGAAGCAGTATGGTGGCTTCACTTCTCATAATAAGAGCAGATAGTGGTCCAGACACAACAATGTGCATGGGGGTTAACCTTCACTGAACTGCGCTTATTTCTTGTATTTAAATGGAACACAGTTACACCATACCTATATCTGTTATACAATCATATAAACATACCAAACCACAAGTTTTCATCATGTCACTCAGATATTGCAGCGATATGACAATCTGGGTCGTCACAGTGTTAAATAACAGTTTGACATGGTGGTTTCTACAGAATTTCACTAACCTCAAAAATATTTATATCTAAAAAACAGCCACATCCAGATCAATTGATAGACTGATTTATTGATGCAACGTTTCCTCATCCAGGCAGTTAAGACTCTAAAGTGGAGGACAGACACGTGTACTATGTGGTGTTACAGCTCTCTGCACTCAGACATCTGAAACTCAAACAAGGGTCAGTGTAAGCTTTTTACCCACACATGCATGGATTTGAGATGCACATATGTCAAATTAGGAATCCCACACGTGTAAGTATGAAAAAGAATCAAAGTTAAATTTTCTTTAGCTGCCTCAGTCTATACTCTTCATGCTGACTCACTGTCATGCTGTCCCGGCAGCTTTGGACACTTTCATGAAAACAAACCGTTGTTAAAGCAATTAGTAACACTTGGGCTTCTCCTTCAATGACAAGTCAGGGTGTGTGGAAAAAGACCTTTTATTGTCCTCCTGGGTTGAATAAGGTTTGCCAGTTGTCATCACTTCTGAGCTCCTGCTTTCATGTGACCAAAATTAGGTGACATAACAAACCATCAAACTCCTTCTTCTGGGAGGACCATGAGAAGTGGTTAAAAGATCGAAATGAGCTCATAAGTTAAGTTTTTTGTTTTTTTTCTCATCTGAATGCTGCTCTCTTGTTGGTTATGTATAATATTCAAAGAAAAGATAATCAGTGGACTTCCATTCAAACAGTAGACCCTTCTCATACTCTCTGGGTTGAATTGTTATTTTTGTCTGAAGAAAAGACAAAATACTTCAAACCACAAATCTGCCTCTACCTTCCTCTTCAGGATTCATCTGAATTTACTTAACAATGTGATTTTGGATCAATATTACGTATTCACTGACGTCTCTGGGAACAAAATGTCATTCTTTTAGTTATGGTTTCCTCTAAAATGTTGCACTGACATTGGCCGTAAATGTGGTGTTTCTATTTCCTGGTAAAGACAAGCTAGAAACAAACTGGAGCAAAAAAAAACCTCACAGGGTGGGACAGACTGTGTCTCCACCCTGATGATGCACAAAAAGCCACAAACCAAGTGTGAAACCTGCAGGAACATTTATGCATTGCTCCTGTAAAGAAGCTTATTTGATCTTAGCTATTTTTTGAATATGAAGTATGACACCCACACTAGCCAGCTGCCTTGCACCCTCTTTGTTGAAAGGCTGAGTTGTTACATATTATGAGTGGACTTTTAGAGCTATAAATATCTGTATAACAGTTTCAATGTGAAGTTTTCAGTAAACCCGCAGTAGAAAGAAGTGACCCAGAGCTGTTTAAATACCTCTTTTGTTGTTGTGTTAGACATTTTCTGTTAAATACAGTGAACTTCCTCTTTTCTGTACTTCTGGGAAACTTGGGTTAAAGTTCCGCTTTAGACCATATCAAAAGCTTAAAAAAAATAGGCTTAAAGTTGCAAAGTTGGCTGTTGTAAATAGCAGGAACTATGAGCTCATTCCCGTGACTATGATAACGATGATAACTGAGGAAAGATGTTAATGTTCCAATTTTTCAGGAAGAAAGCCTTAAATTTCGCTCCAAAATGAACTTTTTGTGACTATCTCCCGCAGGCCTGGAGGAAACGGTGGTTCGTGCTGCGAAGAGGTCGCATGAGTGGTGATCCTGATGTGCTGGAGTACTACCAGAGCAAGAACTCCAAAAAGCCGATCCGCACCATCGACCTGAAAGAGTGCGAGGTGGAGATGCTAAATGGGCAGCTACGGATTAAACGGGACTTTCATGGAAAGCACCTCTTCCTGGTGAAGACCTCATCTCGTGTTTTCTACCTGGTTGCAAAAACTGAAGAGGAGATGAACAGCTGGATCAGCAGCATCAGTCAGATCTGTCAGTTTGGAAATCTGGAGGAAGCAGGTACACACACAGAAAGATTTTTAATGTTGAATTCATAATTTGGTCCAAAGTTTATCTGCTATTGACAGCAATTTAGAATTAACTTCACATAAAAAAAAAGGCTTCAACTTGAAGGTGCAATGAAGAAAGTTCACACGTTGGTCCACATGAAATTGGTGTCACACGTCACCACACAGGAAGTGGTGAACTCAAAAGATCTCACTTGAGGAGAATGAGGACAAAACAAAGTGTTTATTTAGTGCTGCTTGGTTTCTGGTAAGAGCCAATGGTCCAGAGGTTAGTTTACGGATTTATGGTGTAACATTTCAGTCAATCCTTCAGATTTCTAACTCGTTTACCGATATATAGTCGTATCAGAAAATTGTGGTTAAAACGAATTTGATAAGAATCAGGTCTGGTTGTGGTTTGACAGCAGCAGCAAAAACAAGTTAACGCTCTGAATTGTTTTAATGGTGCAGCGACTCTCCAGGAATGGGATTAAATGTAGACCTAGTATATATAGACGTGACTTTTTAAAAAACAAAATGTGGCCTCTCATTTTATTGTGAGTCAGACCATGTCCAGAGGATGTTTCCGTCTGTTTTAATTGTTATTGTGTCTACTTGCTTGCCACACAGTGTACTGCTGCAGCTGTATTAAAGGAGATAACTAGAGGCATCCCCAGGAAGTCTGGGCCCATCCACCACGGCTAAGATACTTTAACCACACGTTCATTGCACTTATAAGTAGGCCAAAACAGTTATCACCATCATTGTTATCAATACTGAGATCAAGGTTATTAGTCATCATTATTCATCAATTTTACTGAGAGCTTTTCTCCTGTTTCAACATAAATGCATCTGTGGGTCAAACACAGCATTGGAGCTTTTCAGAAGGACTCAGTCGATAATATAGTTGAACAAAGTTGAGCATAAACATTGTGAATGCTGTACCTTTCATCCTCACTCCGTCCCTCTGAAGCTGGAGTCAATAATAGAAAGAGAAGATAAAGGGAAAATATGTCATATTTCTCAATAACATCTGATCTCATACTTATTTTTACACACGACAAACATTTCAAACTCAAAATACGCACAGGAAGGTACCGAGAAGTAATCTCTATTTCAGTCACAATAAGGAAAGAGACTGATTCATGGTCCCTGCTCAACTGGCCTCGAAGTCACAAAAGAAATGTGTTGTATCCAGAACATTTCATATCCACGTGGGGTGGCTCCTGCTGCGTTTGAGAACTTTCTTGCTCCACATGGAAAGGCCCATCATTTGAACACAAAACCTGCTTCCTGTGAAGCACCAGTGCAAGCCATCACAGCTCTGCGGGGCTTTTTCCTTAAGGTTTATCTGCTCTGTAAAACTTTATGTAAATTCAGAGACATTGTCCAGACTACAGTGTGTGGAATCCAGGATTTTTGACCTCCACACAGGAGGTGGGATTCAATCCTGGTACCACCAAGTTGCAAGGCATTGGTGCTGAACACTGCTCCAAAGTGCCACTCTGCAGGGCTTTCTATTTTAGAAAAGTCTTCCTCCAGGACAAAGAGTAAAAGCATGATCTGTATTACAGTGTGCAGAACCTTGAGCAACTTGTTTCCCAGATTATGCTCGCTTTGAAACATCACATCTAACCTCTACTAACACTAACACGCTGCTTTACAAGGCTTTCTTGTGTAGGTTCATCTACTCTCAGGAACATTTTGCTGATTTAAAATCTTTCTCCATTCTCCATCGGGACCAAGAACATTCACTGAAAGGCCGCTTCAGCAACTTAGAGCGATGACTTTAATACATGTCTTCTGTGTGACGGAGTTAGAGCAGCCACACAAGGTTGCCGAAATGCTTCCTGCACCTAACAGAAAGTCATTTAAGAAGAGACTGAAAGAACTTGGAAGAAGTGTCAGTGTTACCATGCACTGGTTTCTGAAAAGGTCCAAAGACGCTGGTCCCCGTACCAGGAAGGCTCTTTGGTTTACAGTATATCTGCCAACTGCATGAGACATGTTTGCCTTAACTAGCATTGTCTCCTTGCTTGTCACTTGTTGGCATAGATTGAAGGGTCATCCATCCCACTTTAACAGTTTGCCATTAGTGACTCTGACACAGTGGTGGAGAAAAGCATTCACTGAGGGATGCTGCCTGCCTAGTGAGTATTGCTAGTATCCCAGAATGCTTTGAGCAGTGAATGGGTAGGACTCTCTAACTGTGTCAGTTCGCTTACAGTAGGCACACACACCAAAAGAAATGTGCAGAGAGGTGGAGCAAAAATGCACTCACCGGTCAGCTGAATCATTTGTGGTTGTGCAAAGCATGTATATAAATGAAGGCACACATGTTTAATTATATTGCAAAGTCGTATTCAAAATACCAACACTGTGATGCAGATTATTGCTATAGTTTTAAAGTTGTGATGCTTCAATTGAGGTTTTTTTTTTTTTGGCAGCAAGAGGCCTGGAGGCAGATCTTTCAGGGATCTCAAAAGAGTTTTGTAAGATGGCACTTGGCAACTTTTGTAATGGATCATAAAATGTTGTTCAACACCCACAAGAGAAGACACAAGTCCTTTAGGGGTAACAAATGTTTTATGAGGACAAGTAAAGTCTTTTAGGTTTTCTCTCCCCGTACATGGTTCGGCAGGCAAAGCCTTGACTCTGTGGCCTTGAGAGAAATGGAATGATACAAATTTCTGAGCGAAGGCCAATCTGACTGACGGACTGAAGAATATGTTAAAAGAAAAAAAAAAGAGAGCTGAGTTCACACGCATTTTCTTTCCTTGCAAAAACATACACATTTTTTCTCATGGTTCACCTGCTCTTTCTACATTTGCTGTGAGAAATATATGTGTTTGTGTTCGTTGTCAGCAAGATGTGAGTTTTCTTCTGAAGTGGTTGTAACATTTCAGACATCGTAACTCTCTGTTCCCCTCTGCCTGTTCTGAACAGAGAGCTCAGAGGAAGGCTTCCCTCACACTCCCACCTCCCTCCAGCCATCCCCTGACAGCTCTGACCGAACGTCTGTATCCAGCCAGCTTGATTCCAGTCATCCACTCGACTATCTGTTTCTCTCTCAGTGTGAGACAGGGAGTGTAAGCACTAGTAGGTATGTACAATCTTTGAAACAATCTGGGGAATTTTTTTAACTAAAGCCAAAAAAAATGTAGAAACAGCCTGTGTGTAAGAATGATTTTTTTCATATTTCTTTCTCTTTTTGTAGGCTTGACAGCTTCTCAAACTCTGAGGTCTCTCTGGAGCAGAAATCATTAGATGATGTGGTCAAAGACATCCCTTCACCTCAGTTTACTGATTCGTCTTCATCCTCCATCTCTCATGCGCCAAGCCCCAGTTTATCCGTCTTCCCCAATGGCAGATTGACTAACCCTCCTTTCAGCGCTCCATGCACCTCTTTTGCTCTACCGTCTTCCTCCTCCTCTCCTCTCCCGCACTGTGCCACGAGTGTCTTCCAGTTTGACAAACTTTACTCCTCGGCATCATTCGAGGCAGCAAGCGACACACAAACACCTCCTCCACTGCCACCAAAACCCAACCACTTGTCAGAGCAGCTAAGTGATGAAGGAGCAAATAGGCTTAGGGCCATGACTACACGGCATTTCTCAAGTCACGGTGCTTTGTTCCCCAGGAGGACGTCTCTGTCAAGCCTGGACCATTTCAGAATAGGTAAGGCAGCAGTCTCACAGCAGACCTATGCACAATACAAAAAGGGAGAGATTGACCCCAAAATAATGAATCCTGGTGCTTCTACTGCATTTTAACAATAGATGACCACCAGAGAATATGAGCTGATACTGTGTTTCTGTTTCAGGAGATGGTGACATGAGAATGATGAGGAGACAGAGTCTTAATTTGGTAAGAGGATCATTTAGTAAGGTCTTGTTCAACCTTAACTTCTCTACTGCTTAGGTTTTTTTTTTAAAAAAGGGAACAAAATGATCAAAATAGCTACTGTACTGTAGGCCTCCTAAGACACCAGGAGGCCTTCTTTTTTCACTTAGCAAGTAAACAAAAGTTGAGAGCATGTATATAAACAAGAAACGTCCACACCAAGCCACAGTAAAATTTATTTTCATTGCATAGATTTTATTGATTTTCTTCATAACCATTAGGGGTGGGAGAAAAAAATCAATACAGCATAGTATTGCAATATTCTGTCTGGTGATGTATTGTATCGTCACATTTACCAAGTATCGATTTTTTCAAATTACTTGCTTGTAATAAGTATGATGATAATATCGTATCATGGGGCCACTGGTGAGTCACACCCCTAATAACCATAAACAAACAAACAAATGCTCTGCATTCACAGATATCAAAACACAGCAAATATATACATATACATATGAATACTTATAAGTGATATCATCAGTCATCAGATTTCATATCGCGCTTTATCAGTGACCCTCAAAGCACTTTACATTGGCTACATCATTCATTCACTCACAGACACACAGTCATACCCTGGTGGTGGTGAAATACCTTTGTAATCACAGCTTTCCTGGGACAGACTGACGAAAATGTGTCTGCCAATCTGCGCCTATGGCCTCTTTAACCACCACAGACAACACTTACAATCATACACTAGTGGAGGACACACACTAGGAGCATGGTGGGTTACGTTTCTTGCCTAAGGACACAACGGACAGACTAGGGATAGGGGGGAATTGAACCACCAACCTTCCAGTTGATGGACGACTGCTCTACCCCCTGAGCTACTGCCACCCCATATATGTATTTGTATACAAACACACACATATATTCACACACACATATATACATACACTCACCGGCCACTTTATTAGGTACACCATGCTAGTAACGGGTTGGACCCCCTTTTGCCTTCAGAACTGCCTCAATTCTTTGTGGCATAGATTCAACAAGGTGCTGGAAGCATTCCTCAGAGAGCTTGGTCCATATTGACATGATGGCATCACACAGTTGCCGCAGATTTGTCGGCTGCACATCCATGATGCGAATCTCCCGTTCCACCACATCCCAAAGATGCTCTATTGGATTGAGATCTGGTGACTGTGGAGGCCATTTGAGTACAGTGAACTCATTGTCATGTTCAAGAAACCAGTCTGAGATGATTCCAGCTTTATGACATGGCGCATTCTCCTGCTGAAAGTAGCCATCAGAAGTTGGGTACATTGTGGTCATAAAGGGATGGACATGGTCAGCAACAATACTCAGGTAGGCTGTGGCGTTGCAACGATGCTCAATTGGTACCAAGGGGCCCAAAGAGTGCCAAGAAAATATTCCCCACACCATGACACCACCACCACCAGCCTGAACCGTTGATACAAGGCAGGATGGATCCATGCTTTCATGTTGTTGACGCCAAATTCTGACCCTACCATCCGAATGTCGCAGCAGAAATCGAGACTCTTCAGACCAGGCAACATTTTTCCAATCTTCTATTGTCCAATTTCGATGAGCTTGTGCAAATTGTAGCCTCAGTTTCCTGTTCTTAGCTGAAAGGAGTGGCACCCGGCGTGGTCTTCTGCTGCTGTAGCCCATCTGCCTCAAAGTTCGACGTACTGTGCGTTCAGAGATGCTCTTCTGCATACCTTGGTTGTAACGGGTGGTTATTTGAGTCACTGTTGCATTTCTATCAGCTCGAACCAGTCTGGCCATTCTCCTCTGACCTCTGGCATCAACAAGGCATTTCTGCCCACAGAACTGCCGCTCACTGGATATTTTTTCTTTTTCGGACCATTCTCTGTAAACCCTAGAGATGGTTGTGCGTGAAAATCCCAGTAGATCAGCAGTTTCTGAAATACTCAGACCAGCCCTTCTGGCACCAACAACCATGCCACGTTCAAAGTCACTCAAATCACCTTTCTTCCCCATACTGATGCTCGGTTTGAACTGCAGGAGATTGTCTTGACCATGTCTACATGCCTAAATGCACTAAGTTGCCGCCATGTGATTGGCTGATTAGAAATTAAGTGTTAACGAGCAGTTGGACAGGTGTACCTAATAAAGTGGCCGGTGAGTGTACATGTACACATATCCAAGATATAATGGCTTCATGTAGCCCGGGACCATCACCCCCTTTCATTCCTGCAGTAAGTCTTTAAGGGGTAAAACTATATGTGTCCTGCTACCGTTCTGCAACAGTGGGAGGTTCATCACTCATCCAATGTTTTAAAATACATCTCCTAGCCAGAAACAGAAGTTTGTCACAAAGTCTGAAATGAGACTCTTAGATAATGTTTTTGAAGGCAAGCCTGATATGAGGAGACCTGAATCCTTTAAGTGAGAGGATTTTACAGTTCCTGGGCTACATTGCTCCAAACCCTTGAAATTGAAAGGCAATCCCAGAAACAGTGAATGTATATCCCAACAGTTATTTTACATTTACTGCACAAAGGAGAGGTCTAGTTATCCGTCTTATCAAGAATAGATGGTGTTATGTGGGATCTATGAAGTATCTTAGCCCCTGTGAATTCTTAACTTGAACTTCAATCACAGTTTGGTCTGATCTCACGATGCTTTATCTTTCAACAGCCTTGTTTAAACACCGTTCGAGTTCAAAGCTGTGAGGATGAGTCATATGTACCCATGGCTTCCCCTTCTCCCCCTGCTACCGCCACCGAATGTGATGGTTACATCCCCATGAGCCCCAGGGCATTCAGCTTCCTCAACGCAAACAGCAATATTGAATCCTCCACGCCTCCGAGCTCACTGATGTGTCAACCTGGAGACCTAGCTCCACCCCCAATTCACCGGCATCTTAAACCTCGTTTGAGGAGAGGTGAGGGTTAACCTTCTGGAATAAGATAAAACTTAGGTATTATCAACTTAAGGATCACACTTGACATGTGAGGAACTTTGATGTGTTTGGATATGTGGTCCCTTTCAAGTGGGTAAACAGACATGCAGACTTGAAAGCCTGCTAATACTGAGCCCTAATAGACATCCACTGCTGTGCTAATGACTCATAATTTAATACTCTGGGACAGACAGAGTGATCTTTACCATGCATCACTTATGAAAGCTGACCTTTCTCTTCCACATTAAAGCACTGAAACCAATCTAATAAGTGTGTCCTTTATCGGTTCACAGTTCGACCCCCACCTCTTGACTTGAGAGGCCTCTCCACAATCACAGAATGTCCCACTCACCTCCCTCTGAGCAGAGCCGTGACTGAATCGTGGTGAGAAGAAAAACTGTCTTTTCAAATATAATGTCTTACTTTAACAAATTTATGATAAAGAAAATCTTTCATAATTTTGAAAAAGGACTTTTTGATAACAGCAAGTAAGGCCCAATCCTTGTTTTTGACTATATCACTGTGAGCAAAGAGTTGTTTAATATTTTGACCTCATTTGCGACTGACATTTAAAACATGAATCCAAGTCAGAATAAAATGGAGCATACTTTATCTTAGCTTTGAGTTGTCTGTGCTTGAGCTGTTTGAGTTGTATTCCAGTTTTTGTGTTTGTAAAACTTGTATGTATGAGTGGATGACTTGAAATATTCTGTTCTTGTTTTTACATTTTTAGCTTTTCAATGAAGTCATTACCTCTTGACAGAAGACTTGAAAATGGGGATCTGAGAGATGAAAATACAAACTGCACTGAAATGGTAAAGCATCCTTTTATATGAACATGCACTTTTATGTAGAATATAGACGCCTATCATTCATTCTCTCAGTCAGAGCCTGAGAGATGCGTGTGCCTTTTTCAGAAATTTAGTGACCTAATTTCACAAGGAATGTTGTATAAATCTGACTTGACCAGCGTTACATGGCTTAAGAAGCTGCTAGACTGGATTCTTTCTCTCTGTTAAAGGTCTCTACATTATTGATTATCATCAATCTTCCTTATCTTGTGGCTTGGATCAAGAAAAGAACCATGTTTCACACCAGATAGAGAAAAAAAAAACATCTCTCAACACAGGGCTATCTGTGGGTGTAGAAATCATAAATGTTATCACGCAGCTAAAAAATGTGGGAGTGAAAAGAGTTTCCAGAATCTTCTGATCAGCAGATTGTTCTCAGGCGGGGGTCTTTCCAGTGAGTGTATACATCTGTAATCCTGTAATGTTGCTCAAGCTGATTCCTAGAGGGTGCATAAGTAATTAATTTCCCGGAATGAAGTTTAATAAAAGATGTTAGTCATATCCTGTCCTCCCTGCATGTTGACAGGCAGCGAGCAGATACATGTAGACAAAAGTAGCTTTTCATGTTTTCCTGGTGGCCACAGTCTTTTTGGATTCATGGAAAACTGCATGAATGAAACTGATAGTAAAAAACAGTCAAAGTTGACGTCCAAGGAATGACAAGAATTAAATCAGTTAAACTGTGAGCAATGATTTCTCAGTTCAGTTGTTTTTTATTTTCTGGTCCGACAGGAATCAAGGAACCAGTTCTGTCTCACTTTCGATGAAGCGGTTCAGCCATGGGCAAGAAGATCAAACCTTGACTATTTGTCACTGGATTTCAATTCTGCATCCCCCTCACCTGTGCAGAAGGTACGTTCAGATCAGATCAGATCAGATCAGTGACTTTGGCCTGTTTTGATGTTTTTCACACTTTTGACAGAATGTGTTTTACCGTTTTTTTTTTTTTTTACTCACACCACTTGGATGCTGCATTTCCCACGTTTCTAAGACCCTCTTTGGAGCAGCGATAGAGTAAAGCATTACACCTCTCTTTCTCTGTCTTGCAGAAGCCCTACCTGTCTGATGAGCACAAGGTGGATTATGTGAAGGTAGACGAGAAGAAGACACAAGCACTGCAAAACACCAAAATGGAGTGGACAGATAACCGGCAGTCCAAAACATGAATGGAAAAATACGCAATGAAAAAAAAAAATCAGGAACTTTTGGTTTGAGGTAGACCAATACCATGTACAGTATATGACACCAGCATGGAAGAAATATACAAAGAGGACCAAAACTATTTCAAAGCACTTTGAAAAACAGTTCAAAATAGAAGCACAGAGGAAGTAAGCAGTTTTATGTTTGTTTTCTGGGTGAAAACTCCTAATTGCACTGTAAAAACTTAATTTACTCTGAGGAGATATGATCTATACTGTAAATAACACCAGACTGTGCACTGTATCACAATGATTTTTACTGTAGCATAAAGTTTCACCAAATTTTGAAAAGGGCATCGTATTGTATTGCATTGCTTTGCTGTCTGTCTGACCTGCTATCAATGTATGTATGTATGTATGTATGTATGTACTGTATGTATGTATGTATGTATGTATGTTAAAGGAGCAAGGGAAAAAGATTAATTTTCTTTAGCATCCCCACATACACACTTAAACAGACGAATAAACAAACACATACACACACACACACACACACACAGACACACACACACACACACACACACACACACACACACAGTGTTTCATAAATGTAATCAATCATGTCTGAGCTCTCTTTCTCAACCTCTTCAATGTAACTACAAAGAAAGGATTCTTTGCGACTACTCCTTTACTGCCTTTAAGCCAAATATTTATGAGTCAAATTTTAATACAAGTACATTTTTATTCTCTGTTGTCGTGAATGATGGTTGGAATTACACTCAAGCAAATTTCCCTTTCCAAAACAAAACTGATTTTCCTATCATTGTTCTCAAATGCTTTATTTATTGTGTTTGTGTTATTTATTTTATAACAGTATGTCTTTTGAATGCATCTTCTCTGCTGGCATGCTCTCATGTTTCTGCTCCTAAGATTGCAAATAAAGTTTATATTTTAAAATTTTTTAAACCTGAACAGATGGTAAAGTAATTTGTAACACAGGACATAAAACACGCAACATTTAAAATACAACAATAGTTAATGTAATTGTAGTAGTTGGTAAGGTTTATAAAAGTGCTTATTTTTAAATGTAGGCTTAATTTTGATTTCTATTTATGAGAAGAAGTTAGTAGGGGAGAGTGGGGTAAGATGAGCCATTTTTCATATTTTCTCATCAGACTCCTTTACTTTCTCAGTTGAGCTACTGGCTGAACTTACCCCAGAACTACTATTATGACTTTATTAGTCCTCTAGGCTAAAATGGTGGACTTTTATGTTAGGTTTTTGACCCCATGTTGTAGCTCATAGGTACCACAATTGACGTTTAAAACAAATTTAAAATGATTTTTTTTTGGTCTGAACACAATTTTAAGAAAACTTATGACAGACTAAATTTACTTTCAAGAGTGAGAAACGTTTTTTGAGGGGAATAAATGTCTAACTCCTTCACCCATGTGCTTCTAACCTTCACAGACTCCATGAATTGATGCCCATCTCCTAAATATTTGGTCACGTTATCAATTTCTTTTACCATTTCCAAGCAACAGGGGGTGGCTCAACTTACCCTTTGGCTCAACTTACCCCACTCTCCCCTAATGTTACTCTGTTGTTGCACTTTTCACATCCTACTACGTAAAGTTAGATTTATATTTTTTTATATACGTATTTTCCGGTCTCAAGTCCTCAAAGAAGCTCTCAGTATCGTTGTATTTTCTTTTTCTTTTTAATAGAATAACACAATTATTCGAAACTGACCTGTCCGAGCATTAATATTACGTCATCAAACACGCGTTTCACACATGTCGCGTCACTAGTATGCGCCGGGCGGAGAGTCACAAAAGGAGGTTGTGGTGATAGTGGGAAGACTTACCTGAGAAGTCGGGAGAGGAAGTCATCATATATAACATTTTAACGCTGCCGTTTCTGTCAGTGTCTAATTTTCATTCGGAATGCTCGTCTCCCCTGCACGCGTTGATCAAAACCATGTGTAGCTGCTCTGCGTATTTATATCATGGTGTTGTTGCTATGCGGTGTAACGTTACCCGCCGTTAGCAACGGGGCACACTCACGTTACAGCCACAAACTGCAGGACACACTCTTGCAAACACCCCTGGCTGGTTTACGGTGGCTGTAGACAAGTCAAGCCGTGGGTGTTGATGCTTCTCCGGGGCCTGAGTCAGCTGCTGTCGTTTTAAGAGTGGAGTTAAAGCCCAGTCAGATACCAGACAACTCACAGTGAGGAGTAACCTCGTCTGCAGAGAAAATAAACAACACCTGCTCCGTAAGTTTGTTTACCTTCTGTCTCATTTTAGCTTCACTGTTTAAATGTGCTACAGTGTGTTTGATATGTCTTAAATCAGTGTTAGCTGGTCCTCTCTGAGGCACAGCTGGTGTACAGCGTAAGTGCTCATACACTTTAAGTCTGCTTTTTCATCTGCAGGACTATCACATTCAAATAAAAGTTACCTTTATTCTTGTTTATGCTAGAGCCATTTACGTATTCACTTGTGTAAAAAGATGAGATCTTGTCCACCCACCCGACAGCAGTGCAACAGAGAGACAACAAAATGCACTCACTACATTAGTAAAGCTGAGCGACCTAGCCCTGCTATACTCATACAAAGCTTCTACATGTCTATTTTTTGTTTATGTGGTCACACTATTGATAATTGTTCTTCAAAATAATATTGAAGTTGTGAGTGTTGGTGGTGTACTGAAGTACATCATTGAAGTGGACAAGTAAGGTGGCCGAGAACTGCCACTGCTGCAATTAATAAATAATAATAAATAATAAATTAAGAAAAAAAAAGAAGCCACACCGAAAGTTAACAATGCAAAAAAAAAAAGAAAGAAAAGAAACTGAAATGGGGCAGATAAAAAAACGTAAGTTAACGGCGCAAAAGAAAGTGGCTTACACTAATGCATCATCATTATTGATCCCCAGCAGCTCACTTCAGTTGTGGCCTTTTTTTTTTTGCATCCTTTTATTTTCGCAGTAAGTAACTTTTTTTTCCCATCGCCTCTTTTTTTTCGCGTCAGTAACTACCATTGTGGCTTGTTTTTTATCTGCACCATTTCTTTTTTTTTTTTTTTTTGCACTCTTTTTTATTTGCAGCAGTGGCAGTTCTCGGCCACCTTACACAAGATATTCCTTTTTTCAATAATGAATATAAAGTACAATAAGTGACTGTCTGATCATGTCAGCAAAAACTGAGAATGTAGTGTCTTCCTGGTGGAAGAATTTGTGGAAGAGCTCATGTATTGCGCTAGATTGCCCAGGTGTTCATATTGTTTAGGCAGGTCAGTATATATGGCCATTTTATTTAGTCCTCAATCGAAAACTTCAACATTCCTAGCATTGGGCCAGGGTATCGTAAACCTGAAAGCAGGTCAGCAGTATTAGACAACTCTTTTTGGAAAAAATGGACACTGCTTAGTCCGAAAAGGTCAACTTTGGTTCCAAGAAAAAAAAAAAAAAAAAAGATAAATGAAAAGGTAAAAACAAGGTTACAAGAATAAACATAGAAATATATTTATACTATAAATGGATAACATTAGAAAAATAATTGCATTGTGCAGTGAAAGCAAAAAACACAAGTCGGAATTGGTTTGGGAAATTTTTTGTTTCCTACAAAACAACACAAACATCCTCCCATAATTATGCAATTAAAAAATGATGAGCTAGTTATTAAGCCATTACAGAGCTTGATAACAAGCTGACCATTTAAATCAGGTGTGTTGGAGCAGGGAAACAACCAAAACATGCAGGACAGGGGGGGCTTGAGGACTGGACTTAAGAACCACTGCACTAGAGGATGAATATTTAATAGAAGTTCACTGTGAAATCTGCACTGTGTTTTCTTCATGTCAGTGACGTTTTTATTGATGGTTTATTTTCATGACTCTCTCAATACAGGGCTCAACTCAGATGGAAGACAAATTCACAGCGACTATGCCTTCGGTGGGACAGTGAATGTAAATTTGGTAGCCATGGCTTCCCGCAGGGTAGAAGAGCTACCAAATGACTCCAAGGATGTGGCCTCAGCTTCTGAACAGCTTCCCGGCTGTGGCCCCGATGACATCACAGAGGAGCTGCAGTTAGAAACAGTGAACGCTGCGGCGAAATCCCAGAAATCTGGAAAATTTCGAAGGACTGCCCTGACATTTTTCGGAGTTCGGAAAAGCATCTGTATTTTACCAAGTTTTTTTGGAGGGCGGAGTAAAAATCCGAGCAAGTGGTCTTCTAAGAAAGGGTTTCCCAAAAGCAAAACACACGATGGGTTGAGTAAAGTTAGTTACGATGACAATCTGCGAGGTGGCTATGCCTCAGTTGGAGATTTTGAGTATCACAGCCGGACGGAACCAGGTGGAGATCCCCGAAGTGGCTGCCACCATGAATGTAGTTTTCCTGCTGCTGAGCAGAAGTCACTGAGTCTCACCCGGCAGAAAAAGGGTTTGAGGGGTCTTTTTAACAGCTTCAGGCATCACAGAAACCACAGACATGCTGGCGTGGATAAAACTGAAATGATTGCCATGACCTCTCCTCAGTGCAAGAATGAGGTGCCTGTTGTCCCCGACAACGCAAACCAGTTTGTCAGAGAGTGCCTCGGATCTGAACCGGATGTGCCTGATTTAGCAGATGTTATATGCGATGTCTCTATTGATACTGAATCTATCCATAGTGCTGCTGTAATGGACTCAGAAAAGAGTGTGATGCAAGAAAGTCCCAAATCTGAACTGGATGATCAGTTGTGTGAAGAGCAAACGGTGGAGATGAATTTGGTGGCTGTAGTGTCTGGTGAATTTGACGAGAGTTTGAGAGTGAGCAGTGAGCCTTGCCTGAAAGTTAAGATGATGTCTGAGCCAACACTTAAGTCTGAAACTCCTGCGGGGTCATCAGATCAGCTGAACATGATGTTTGGAGATGTTGCATCACTGAAAAGCTTTGATTCTCTCACCGGATGTGGGGACATCATTGCAGATCAAGAAGATGACAGCATCACTGAGAGCACCGTTTCTGGAGAGAGGAGCAGAAACGGAGGAAAGCGGGCCTCTTGTTATCTGACGTACCAGGGAGGAGGAGAAGAAATGGCCTCACCAGAAGATTTAGGTGAGGAGTGTCTTCATGATTTCTGGGGGAATAATGCATCCGAAGAGGCGTGCTATACCTACAATCAAGACCACGCAGATCTGACTGCGGATCTGACAAGTTCTCACAATCTGGATTTACTAAACAGTAACAGTGTGCAGCAAGCTAGTGGCATGGACACTTCTTCAATGGCTGATGTGCTAACTCCTCAAGATGAGCATCAAGAATCAGTGCCAAATAGTGACGAGGGGTACTATGATTCAACCACCCCAGGGCATGATGAAGGACAAGAGAAGACAGACAGACTGAGGACAGATAGATTACCCAGAGACAGCTACAGCGGGGATGCCCTCTATGAACTTTTTGCGCCTGATGAGAGTCTCATCAGTCCACAGTATGAAGGCAAATCAAAGCTGCCCAGCTCACAACAGTGCGAGTATTTAAGCGAGCCAGTCGGTGTGAATGATGGTGCTTTTGTTTCAGAGATGAATCAGTTACAAATAGGTGCTGAGCTGTACAAAGTTGATGACTTTCTGGACATGCCAGGCACATGCAGTAAATCCCCTGAGCTGGCACAGGATGTGGTTGGTCGGCAGGAAATTGGCACAAATCTAAACTGTAATATGAATTCGATCCCACAAGCATCAGTCAACAAGAATGATACAGAGCCGGATACATTTAATGAAAAAGAAAATATGTCTGCTTCCACTGACAAAAAAACTAAATCCATAAATGCAGATAGTGAAAAAAGGCACAGTAGTATATCATTTGGAAGCACATCTGACCCAGATTTTGAAACCTTTTGTGAACCCAAAGAGCAGCATCTTGAGGAAAACAAGCCTGTGGCTTTACCATACAGAAATATCAATTCTCAGTCTCCAGATTGTAACAATGATCTGGATGATGAGCAAACTGTGAGTTTCTCTCAAGCACTTGTGGACTACACAAAACACTCTGAGATGCTGAGTAACTTGCACAGCAATGTGGATGATTTGGAGACAGAGTCTGCCTTCACTCCAAACATGGAGGCCTTACCCACTATAGTCACGTTTGATGTAGTAGACATGCATAATGAGGGGGAGTACGATGAGCAGATTCAAATGGAACTAGGGGAGGACATATCATCACCCTATCAGGAGTTTGAAGAAAGCTACTTACAAAAAGATGCATTTGCTGAATGTGACTATCAGATGTTGGATCTCTATGAGCAGAACCTGATCAGTAACACATGGGCGATCGCTAGTCTCCCCCGGCACCTTGGCCTTACAAGAGTCAGTCAGTCCATGCCTAATCCGTTGTCTCTTGACAGGAGAAGCCGGTCTCTGGACACAGAAAGCCTTGAGTTGAATACGCCTGAGAAGTACAGACAGAACAAAGCTGCTATCATTTCTTGTCCTGAGAAAGACTCTGAAAGAGATTCTTCAACGTATTACAAAAAGAATGTACTTGTGTCTGCATCCGAGTTGAGAGACAGTAGCAGCATTATGGCCTTATCATGGCAAACAAGGTCAGAAATGGCTTTAAGCTTTCCTCTGGCTGACGAGAAAATCACGGAAAAAGTACAGAGTCCCAGTCAAACACAAGTGAAACACAAGATACCTTCAAGTTCATCCTGCAGTAAATCACAGCATCCATGCTTTAATGTGTCTTGTGATGGAACTTCACTGAATGCAGAGCTTTACAACAGGCAGTGCCACCTTCCTCTACAATCAGAGTCTTGTTTACCTCATAGCACCTTTGTTTACTCTGGAATGATGGAGGATGTGTCATGTGATGTTGATGAAGATGTCTTTTGTACAGCTGCCACTAATTTGCAGTCATATAATCAGTGTGGTAAGAGCAGGCCGGTAGGCAGCAGGGAAGGAACATCTCATGCCGGGAGTCCTCTGAACAAGGGTGTGTTTAAAGATGAAATGGGCGTCCTTGGTGAAACAAAAGCACCCAGGGATGTGGCTTGCACCATTACGTGCAACAAGCTCCCCGAGGCTACCTATAATTAAAAGACTCTCAGTCATACAAGTGAAGTTCAAGATCACATGTGTATGTGCCAATCAGTGCTTATATGTCGCATCCACAAGATTAATTGTTGCTTAATTTTTACAAGAAAAATGGATATCCAAAACAAAACAAAAAAAATGTAATGTAGACTGAGATGGACAGGACTGGAAAAACTATTTTTAAATGTAGTCTGCGCCATCAATCTGCATTAGGAACAATGCTTTTATTGGGAGTTAAAATATATTTCCATTATTTGCACAGAAGCTATTGCTTACTTCATAAACAATCATGCTAGTCCACTAAAAGCACATAAGCAAGAAAATGGCTTCATATGCTTTCTAGTTACTGACAGATTCCTCTTTCTCATTAAGCAAATGAGTTTTACTAAGATGTTACAATACATGTGTAGCCTCTGAAGCTTTTGTTTGATACATATTTATAAGCCGTGTTTCCATAGAACAGCCAAACAGAGCTGGACCAGTCTTGTTTACCCCTGAACACATGCACGCTTGTGCTTTAAGAGCTGGCTTATGTTTGTGTTTACTGCTTATTTGTAGCCTCTATTTGCTCTAGTAATGTTTATACTGGCTTGTCATGATGCTCAGATTTAGTGTGTCTGTTAGTTTACATAATTTTGGGCCAGATTGGGTTCAGCTAACAATATGGGAATATCTCAGAAAGGCTGAGGGAAATGCTACATTCTCAGTACAAATGATGTCTCTTGAAGTTGATACCCTCATAGAGTGTATTTTATACAAATTAAGCTGTTGCATTTGACTTTATCTCTAAATATTGAGCTGCTCATGATCAGCTGTCACTTAATCTACACTCTGACAACTTCAACTGTACAGCGCATTTCACACAGAGATATTCTTAAGGTGCTCCACACTAAAAAGCAGCCAGTCAAACATCTATAAAATGAAAAAAAAGCTAGTGAAACCTTGTAGTGTCAGCCGGATCCTTTTGATCTGATGGGCAAATTTGGCCTTACTTCTTTGTCTTTTCTATGGCCCTGTTTGAAAAAGGTTGACCAACCATGGAGTGCAGAACAATTCTGCTGACATATTGCACTCAAACATTTATTTTCTGTAAGCTGTTAGAACAAAATGGTAGCTTTATTTTGTCTGAATTTCAAAAACATGTCAAAAGATGAACTGGAATTTTCAACTTCTATCATGTCATGTACATTTAATGTCTTATCAAACTGGTTCAACTGTCTGGTGTCTTTTTTTAAAGTGTAATGCTTAAAAATGTCAAGGAATTAGTATTTATAATCTCCTTTGTTTGTACACTTTGGCATTGTATTCAAAACTGTTTTTAAATTTGGCAATATCTTTGTCTTGATTTGTCTTTTTTTTACTGTCTCAAAGTAAACACCAATGCAACATTTCAGTATTTCTCTTGAAAATCTGTTACAGTTTTGTCAAAGTAGAACACTGCCTTACACTAAAATAAACATGACAAAACGAACAATTTCTGTTGTCATTTTCTTGCGTTCATTTTCAGGAAGGTACATTTTCTTCCTCTTATCCGGGTCCGGGTTGCGGGGGCAGCAGCTTCAGGAGGGAAGCCCAGACGGCCCTCACCCCAGCCACTTCCACCAGCTCCTCCGGGGGGATTCTCAGGCGCTCCTAGGCCAGGCGAGAGATATAATCCCTCCACCTGGGCCTGGGCTGGCCACGAGGTCTCCTTCCGTTGGGACATGTACGGAAAACCTCTAACGGGAGGCTTCCAGAAGGCATCATAACCAAATGCCTGAACCACCTCAGCTGACTCCTCTCGATGTGGAGGAGTAGCGGTTCTACTCTGAGTGCCTCCCGAGTGTCCGAGCTCCTTACCCTATCTCTAAAGCTGAGCCTGGCCACCCTGCGAAGTAAACCCATTTCAGCCGCTTGTATCTGCGATCTTGTGCTTTCGGTCATTACCCAAAGTCCATGACCATGGGTGAGGATCGGCACGTAGATCGACCGGTAAATCGAGAGTCTCATTTTACAGATTTCACAGATTACCAGTCGGTTTCACATTAATGTAAACTTTTATACATACAGTTTCAGATTCACAAGGTGAACATGACATGAAAATCACAATCCAGTGATCAAGTGAAGCTTTTTTGAGCAGGGGGAAAAGAAGGCAACGAATCACTCCCCCATTTTACAGGATTACAATCTGGTTGTACCTGAGAATTTTATCAATTTAGGGAATCTCTTGTGAAATGTGAAAGCTTCACACAGATTGTGTATTCACGAGTTTGTGATGGTAGGACTTGCGAAACTACCATAACAAGTCATGAAGCACCATGCAGGCGTCACTAAAGTCCTTCTAGAGAAAAACACATTATTCAGAAGTACATGTACAGACAAGCGTGTACCGTTTTTTGACCCCTGTGTCTTTTCAACGCTTACTTTACTTGTTTCTTTCCCCGTATCTGGCAACCCTGGCCAAACTGCGACAGCGCCAATGGCAGCAAAACATAACTGTTAGAGGCGAGGAGGATGACAGCGATAAGGTGAGATGAGCATCGTTTCAAGTCACGGATGACAATGATGTCCATGCAGACTATGTAGAGCTCTTTGTCGAGTTGCTGTGCTTTAGTCTCTTTTTGTAATATTAATTGAACGCCAACTTTATCTCAAGTTGCTGTAGTATTCCAGTAAAACGCTAGCACACGCTCAGCAGTGCGGCTAACTCTTTTAGCAACATTAGCCTGTGGAGCCACTGAGTTGGCTTTAATTACTGGAGGTTGGCTAACTACTTAGCACCGCTGCCGTTAAATAAATAGGGACATGGGTTGCCTGACAAGCTCGGCAGTCAGCCTCAGCCTGTAGTGTTATATATCTAACCGCGGACTAACCACATAAACCGGAATAGGCCGGTGAGTTCATGAAGCTGAAAGGATGAGTCTTCAGCTCGCTAAGTAACGGTAAACGTTAGCGTTGCTAATGTGAGCTAACCGTATCTCTGGGGCCTGGAGATGTCCAAGCTGTTATCTCTAAATAAATTCACCCTCAAAGGTGACATCCTCTTCTGTAGCAGTGTTGCGACGTCTCTCGAAAAAGTCTATTGTAAGTATTAATTTTCAGTCGTGTCACACTGTTTAACCTTCCTCAATTTCATGTCTCTTAACTCATGATGCTGTAGCTAATGATATCAAGCCCTTCATTAATGTCTTTAAACTGGAAAGATAATTTATGCTGAAATAGACAGAATTGAAGTTTTGATAGCAGTTCAGAGGGTTTCCTGTGAAGTGACTGTCATTGGGATCACTTTGGTGTCTGAATATTGGCACACAGTCATGCTGTGAAGTTATGACCAAACTGGCTGAATGTGAAAATGCAGTTCATTATCTACTCTTACCATTCCTGCTATCTAAATACACCAGCTTCATGTGTTTAAAGTAAATAAAATTCTGCTGTCAAAGGGAACATTTCAAGATAAAAACCATCCAACATATAAGTGGATATTTTTTTTAACTTTAATAGAAGAGGCAAACAAATAAAGATGCGTAGACCAAAGTATAGTGAACTAAAATTCTGGGAGCGTATTGACCAAATCTAAGATATTCCCATTTTTCCCACAGAAGAAACTGCTTATTTTCAGAAGTTTCCTCATGAGGCATTGTTTTTTGTGTCCAGGGTTATTGCCCTGTGCTTGACTCTACACTGTTACATTTGAAAGTTGTTATGATTTGTGTACCCGCCACTTTTTTGTGAATGATATTATTGAGCTCAGTGAGGCTTTCCTGGTTAAATAAAATTAAAAGATAAATAAAAATGGTTTGTATGGTTTATAAATGCCAAAAGAGGCAGAAGTAAAACCTTTATCTCAGTTTGAATATGAATATGATTGTGTTGTGCCTACTAAAAACCACTTTGGAAAACAACAATTTTAAAGTGTTTTTGTTGAACAACTTAACTTAATTTTGGTGTCATTTCTCACGATTTTCAAGTGTAAGATGACCCATCAACAAGTCATCCAAAGCACAGAGTTCATATTAACAGTCAGCAAACACTCCAATTGGCTTGTCTAATTATTGAAGATGCAGATCTTCTTGTGGGTTTCATGTTTTCCATTTGGTCTGTATTACGAGTTGACTAATTTGTATAGCAGATGCTGCTCTTCATCCAGCATTTGTCTGTCTTAACTTCAAGATGTCTGAATGGCTAAACGGGTGTATGCAACCAACACGGTCCATAGTACAGTTTATCCCTGGATTATAGTACTGGATACTATGCAGGGTCAGCAATGTAAAAGACGGCTTCAGGGCCTTGCTTCACTTGTTGCTATGAAACAGCAGTACACGAGCCTGTGCATGTGCAGATATAGTCTGGAGGCCTTGCTGAGTCTAAGCCTGTGAATCTGGAGGTGGAAGGGAGAGAATCTGCTGTGTTCCCTTAAACATGTAATGATGTGCTAATGAAATGTTTTAAATAGCAGAGGACTGTCTGTATGGGTTTACTGCACAGTTTAACAACATCTAATTTTTTAGTCAATTCTTTTAAATCTTCAAACTTTATTTTGTTTCCTGTTTTTATGTTAAATTGATCAGCATCGAGATAGTGTGCACCACTGATACTGTAGGCCAACATCCTCATCTATAGCCCATCTATGGTATAACCTTCAAGGTCCTCCATGAGGATCAGTCTTGTGTATTTTTTGATGAAGGAGTAGAAATGACATATTATTTGTGGGATGTGATGTGGTTTACTGTTTCAGTTCATATGTCATGTGTGAAGTAGAAACCCCAGACAAATTCTCTGGTCTTTTGATTTAACTGAAACATAAAACAACCTAATTCAGCCTTTGTTTTTTCTATAAACCTCACCGGTCAGCGCTGATAAAGGTCTAAGTAATGTCATCTTTTTGCAAATATGCTGCCTCAAGAGTTTTAGTGTAGAGTTGTAGTGTAGCTGTAAGTGTTCTGCATTTACCGACTGCCTGAAGAGAGATGATGAGCCCTGTTTGTGTTAGTCGTGACTGGTAAAAAGGAGTTAGCTGATGACAAGGCTGTGTTGCTAAGCAACACACATCATGGGCTGCGCCTCTTGAAGCTTGCTGTATTCTGCTCTGCAAGACTGAGGGAAAGTGCAGTGCAGGCGAGTGTATCTCTTCATTAATGCACAGTTATAAAGATTAAGTGATAACCAATGATCATATGTAAATGTGTACATTTTCAGCGTACACTGCAGGCTACCTGAGTCCTCCCCTGCTTTACCATAAAATCGCTTTGTTCCCTTAGGAATCCCGTACAATTTGGATAGTCTGTCAGAGTGCTGGAGGCGCAGGGATACTCTGTTCAGCCCACACTTTGTCTCAGGTTATGTTAACTCTTGCGTTCACCCTGTGTGTGTCTGCATTGGATGCTGCTTACGACATCACTGAAGCTTTTGTGCTCATAGTAGCAGATTGTTCTGCATTACACTGGAACATTTTGTGCAGGGTGATAGGACTTTTCGTTTCTAAATGAGGAAGAGGGATTGTGGTCTGTTGCTTGTTGCTATATCTATCTTTTTTATTTACCTTCACACACAGGGGAATCAGGGACACACTGTTTGGATTTGAAAGGTGTCATTCTCTGAGTTTATGTCATAGTTTTACTTCCATAATTTGACACAATTCAGTTTTCCATTTCTAAACCTGTTTTTTTTTTCCACATGACAACTGTGCAAACAAACAATTAACATACTCACTAATTTATCACTTTAATTCAACGTGTATCTATGAAAGTGTTCATTATTCTAAGGGGAAATACTAATAATTCTAGTAAAAATACTTCATACTTGTAATAACTTCAAAAATATGACAAAAAATGCCATAACTATATTTTACACAATGTTACTGATGCAAGATTGGACAAAAAGTTAAAAGCAATAACAAGAGCACTAAGTATGTCAATTACACCAAGCAGAACATAGACATGGACACCAGTAAAGCCCATACTATTGGGTTTTCACAAAAGCAACTGCAAGGCACCAGTAAGCTACACTGTGTCCTCTTTGAAGTTCTATTTTTAGACATGCACAAATCGAAGGAGAAAAACTACTGAGAACCATCAATGCTATCTTAAACTTCTATGGTCCAAACTGAGAGTTTTATTACATAAAATTTGGATTTTAAAATGGAAACTTTGACAGTCCAGGTAAAGGGGACATTCTTATTTATTTATGCTGTGTTTTTTAATCTATGTCTTACTGCAAACCAACAAAAACTAGATTTAAAAAAATCCAAAATTCTGAGTGGATGGTGTAAAACTGAATGTGAAGATAGTAACAGCTTACAGATTTGGTCAAGTGCTTGGCTTTGAATTAAAAGAAAAGTATTGGTCTGTGGGTGTGACATTTAACATTTTACTCAGAACAGGAGTGACAGAACAACAAGAACTCTGGTCTGCAGACATGCAAATGTAATAAAAGACGACAGCTTTGGAGTTTTCAAACCACAATCACTTAATCATAGACAGTCCGAGGGAACGTCATACCACATTCAGATGAGTACTTTCCCTGGACAGCTGTTTTTTGGTCATTTGTTTATTTGGTAGGTGACTAATATGTTCCATTTGTCTGATTAATCTCATCTCATCACCTCACCCAGACTGCAGTGTTTTATACGGGTGGAGAATTCACTGGTCAAGCAGGTTGTAGACTCTTCAGCAGTTAACTGTAATATTTTCAATGCCTGAATTTGTGATCCTTGTGTTCAGTTTTATGTGTTTATTTGAAATTTAAAAAATTGGCTCCTAAACTTAACATATTTACTACTCGTCATTTCTAAACTGCTGCACAGCAATAGTAAAAAAAAAAAATAAGTTTAGTGCTATTAAAAAAATAAAAAAAACAATGTCCAATGCACACTGGAACACCAAGCCTCAATTTAAAATGCACACCTTAGGTTTGTGCACACTCGATTATCTACACAGTTTAATGTTGTCGCTCTCACCTGTCCACATCAGAAGTACCAGATGGTTCACAATCTATTATTACCAAAGGTACAAAATGCTGGTCATATATTATGTAATAGCTATAATGCAGCCACCTGTCGAGAGCCAGAGCTGTAGCTTGGTAAAGGCCTTTGCCATAAAGCTACAGCTCTCTGCTACATACACAGAAAAAGGGGCATAAAGGTTGGCATGTTGTAGCTCAGTGTGGTATGTCAGTATTTTGATCTAGAAAATTGAGATACAGTTATATGTAGGGGTGGGAGAAAAAAACGATTCATATAAGTATCGCGATTCTTTGTTTTACAATTTTTTTTAATCAATTTTGATGTTCAAAAATCTTTTTTTTTTTTTTTCAATTTTAAGAGTAAACCTCAAAAAGCCACTTACATGTGATGTGTATTTTTTTGGGAAGTACGGTTAATAATCATTCAACTGTTTCACTGGTGTAAAAAATGCAGACTTAAGATTGAGGAAATTGACAATATCCTAGAATCGCAATTTAAATCGAATCGGCATCCAAAAAATCGGAGAAGAATTGAATCAGAAGAAAAGCATATCATCCTAGCCCTAGTTATATATTGGCTGTGTCTGGTCAAATGAGCATGGAAGCGACAGGAGCTAGTGGTGTTGCTAGTTCTACTAAATCAGCCACACCAGCAAATCAATTCAATATTGTTTATCTGCACCTTCTGTGATCCTGTATTTGGCTGCATTGAAAAGTTTGCTCAGTTCTGAATATAAAATTCAGTTCGAATGGCTTGAAAATTCATCACTTACAAACGTCTCCAGTAGAGGAGCTGGGGTCACTTTGGCTCCATGAGGGAGAAAAACAGAATATTAATGCATTTCCAAATTTAACAGGTTAAAAATTGACTTAAAATGATGACTGACTGTTCAGGCCATCAAACTGCTGTACTGGAATATTTCATATTTAACTTTGGAAGACTTATTTTCAAAGTATGCATCATTAACTGAAACCTTCTATTTTATTTGGCTGTCTTTCAGGATTTAATCGTTTGATCATTTCCTGCCCATAAAAGGGAGATTGTGTTACTTTAGCTCGACACGAAGAGCCTGTGGTGCTCAGGTCCAGCATTGAGTATGATTCCCTGGTGGCGGCAGAGGTGAGGAAGCATGGGGTGGAAATCTGAGGTGCCCAGACGAACGTGATGACAGTATGGTCAACGGTGGAGAAGCTCAAAATGGAAAAACGTCCATGGAGGGAGGAGAATATTGACTCAACCGAGGCGCAGTACGCCACTGACGATTCTGAGGATGGAAGCAGCTCAGAGAGTGAATCAGAAGAGCGGAAACAGAGGGCTCAGGTGAGCAGCAGCAGGTGTAAGAAGAGGGAGCCCTTAGCTGTCACCAAACCTCACAGACAGCTCTGCCGCTCCCCATGCCTTGACCGGCCCAGTTTTTCCCAGAGTAGCACTGCACAGGATTTCCGTGAGGATGAGGCCAGCACAGGATCGGGGATCAGGCCTGCCAGTGAGAAGGACTACCAGTCTAAAATGGACTTTGCCTTGAAGTTGGGCTATTCTGGGGAGCAGGTGGAGACAGTGCTCAACAAGTTAGGGGCTGCTGCACTCATCAATGATGTTCTAGCTGAGTTAGTGAGGCTCGGAAACAAAGTAGAGCCTGAAAACCAACCTTGCAGCAGTACAGCATCATTAATATCAAGGCCCCCCTGCGTGAAAGAGACTGTTAGTCCAGAGGTTTCAGTGGAAGAAGAATCTGTGGATACCTATGATAACCTCAGGCCTATCGTCATTGACGGCTCAAATGTGGCAATGAGGTAAGACTCCAGATCGAATGAAATCTCATCAAATGTGTCTGTCCCGAGCACAGGCTGTTCTGATGAAATTTATCTGTGTGGAGATTATACCTCTCTGTTTTGTTTTCTAGCCATGGGAACAAAGAGGTCTTCTCTTGCCGTGGTATCCAACTTGCTGTTGAGTGGTTCTTGGAGAAAGGACACAAAGACATCACAGTATTTGTCCCAGCCTGGAGGAAGGAACAGTCAAGGCCTGACGCCCTCATCACAGGTAGTGCAACATCTAATCAAGCGATTAGTATTTGATGTCTGTAAGAAGGTCGATGTCATGGCAGTGAGTTTGTGATTAATTTGAAGCATTGTGTTGTTATGCTGAGCAACACACACTGCCATGACATTATTAATAGAATGACATGTTGTACCCCGTTCCCCCCATTTCTCCTAAAACAAATACATAATGATATTAGTTTTGATTGTTGTCCTGTTACAGTTTGGATTATTTTACAATTACATCTTGGACAACATTAACACTTACTCAAAACTTCTCTTTCAGATCAGGAAATATTACGCAAACTGGAAAAAGAAAAGATCCTGGTTTTCACCCCATCCCGGAGAGTTCAAGGCAGGAGAGTGGTGTGCTATGACGATCGCTTCATAGTGAAGCTGGCCTATGATTCTGATGGAATTATTGTGTCTAATGACAACTACAGAGACTTGCAAAATGAAAAGCCAGAGTGGAAGAAGTTCATAGAAGAGCGTCTCCTCATGTACTCGTTTGTCAATGACAAGTAAGAAACTATTGTGCTTATTTTTGGCATGGAAATGATATATAAATTCACTCTGGGGTCCCCCATAAATCAAGCCATAAATTATCAGGATATGATCTTGGTTAAAAATAAATAAATAAAAATCAGAAACATATCTCCTTCACTTTTCTACAAAGTCTTATTTATATCAAGGATTCTCAGTGATTAAATTCTACTTTATTCATTGTAGTCAAAACTGTGTGTGACAATCTATATAGCTGTTATATTAAAGACGGGGTAGGCAGGATCTGAGGAAGTGCCAGTTTTTGGGAGAATCTTAAATGTAAAAACTACCCCTCCCAACCAGTTTTCACCTCAGCTCCTCCTCTACCCTCCCTCTCTGCTCCAGCAAGCCCCGCCCACAAACAGACGCTCGTCCTTGCTTGTATCAATTTAATTAAATTCAGATATAATGCAGATAAACACTTCAGATAATTACAAATGGAGCCCAGTCAATGTGAAAGTAAAAAGCACTGGTGCTACTGTAGATGCCAACAGACTGCCAGCAAACACAATGTTTGCAGGACTTCTACAACTAGGATAAAGTGACATAGTCCAGGACCCAAGGTAAACAGTTAAACGATGCTACAACACACAGCAGGACAAGAAACACTTCAGTTACACCTGGCTTACTTTGTTACTTCCGAAATGTCATCAACAGCTATTGACTGATATTAAAAATTTTTTGTATTTACACCACAAAATAAGACGGTTCTTTAACAGAATCCTGCCTACCCCACCTTTAATGACTTATACTGACCAGAAAAAAAAAGCATTTGTGTTCGTAGTAGGAATACTGTATGCTATGATTTGCAATCTAAGTAATCAAAACCTTTGAATGACTGTAACAGGTTTATGCCACCTGATGATCCTCTGGGAAGACATGGTCCAAGCCTAGAAAATTTCCTCCGCAAGCGTCCTGTTGTCCCAGAGCACAAAAAACAACCTTGCCCCTATGGTAAGTTACTTTAGTGTTTTTTTTTTATGCAGTCATCAAAATATGTTTTTTTTTTATATGTTGTCATTTGAATTGAATGATTTTTAATTTGATTCACTCTTTTTTTAAACAAGGGAAAAAGTGCACGTATGGACATAAGTGCAAGTACTATCACCCTGAACGTGTCAACCAGCCACAGCGGTCGGTGGCAGATGAACTTCGGGCTTTTGCCAAGTTGTCTGCGGTGAAGACAATGAGTGAGGGGGCTTTAGCTAAATGTGGTACTGGGCCTGCAACTATTAAAGGGGACATTGGCTCTGAGGCCAAACGTGTGGCACCCAAGCGCCAATCTGACCCCAGTATTCGCTCAGTGGCCTGTGAACCTCCTGAGGCACTTTCTGCTGTTAGGAAGTCTGAGACAAATTCAGTGCCTTCCCTCGTGTCTGCTCTCAGTGTGCCCACCATGCAGCCTGCCAAGAGCCACGCAGCTGGTGCCTTGAACACACGATCAGCCAGCAGCCCAGTGCCAGGTTCTCTGCAGTTTGCGCACAGTTCTCTGGAGCACATGTCTAGTGTACAGTACCCCCCTATTTTAGTTACAAACAGTCATGGCGCCTCTGTTACTTACAGTGAACAGTTCCCAAAGTATGACTCAGTTAGTGACCATGGCTATTATTCACTGCACAGTGATTTTTCAACTATGAGCATGAGCAGCATGCACAACGTCGACAGTTTCTGTAGCATGGAGCACGAGCATGGTGTGTTTCAGAGAAATCCCAGCCACTGTCCTGAATCCTGCCTCAGCCATTCGAACAGTGACTCGTTCTCCTCTTACGGGGACCTGTATCCAAGCTCTGTGGACAGCAGCTTAGAGGAGAGCATGAAAGGGCAGCAGCAGAGTACCGCACAAGCCAGGATGCAAGCTTTCTCCCATGGGTTTCGCCACGAGGCACTGACGAGAGTGCAAAGTTACGGACCGGAGGAACCCAAACAGGGCCCACGGAAGCAGCAGTCTGGATCTCATCTAGCACCCCACATCCAGCATGTGGCAGTGGGGGCCAGGTCTAGCTGTCCTGGAGACTACCCCCTAACTCAGAATATCCTCCCACCTCTGTCCTCACAGCCCACACGGTCTCTCGGTATGACTCGTATGGACAGTATATCGGACTCAAGGCTATATGATAGCAACCCAATGAGACAGAGGAGACCGCCACTGTGCCGTGAGCAGCATGCCAGCTGGGACCCTCTGCCGTGTGGTAATGAGTCCTACGAATATCATTCATATCCATTGAGTAACAGCCTGATGCCGTGTTGCGAGCGGGTGATGGTCCGCAGCATGCCAGACAAAATGGAACAAATCTGGAACTCGCCGTGGGAGACGCCATCTGCAGCTGAACACTTAGAGCGGTACATCATCCCCGACCACCAGTACCAAACATATCGGAACCTTTGTAACATCTTTCCTGCTTACGTAGTCCATTCGGTGATGGAGAAGAACCCTCATTTGACAGACCCACAACAACTTGCCGCTGTCATTGTTACAAAACTGAGGTCATGCCATTGAGCTTTTATTTACATTGATGGAATATGACAAAGGAAATGCAGATTTTTTTTGATTGAATAGAAAGGCACGTGTTTAATGTTGCTGCATGTGCAACATCTGCCCTCAGGAGTTTTTATTTCAATTGTGTCAGGAGGAAAATCTGGCCCTCAGATTTTGTATCACGTAGGTGACTAAGAAGTAATGTGCATAGAGGAAGTTTGTCTAACAAGTGGATCTCAAATTGTAAGATGTTTGACATGAGAAAGTGGCAACTTTCTATGGAGTTTGATTCTTTTAAAAATAAGATATTACAAATTTGATTTGTAGCACATTCACACCACCTGAATAGGAGCTGCATTGCAACTGGTAACCCTTTTTTGGTGATTGTCAAAGGCTTTGTTCAACGTCATTTACAGAACAGTAGTCAGAAAAAAATCAAACATAGATATCCCCAAAGAATGGTTTTGCACAAGGTAAATGAAATTCAATTAACTGCATAAACATAACAGTGGAGCCTTAAAGTACTAGTGTTCAAGTAAAAAAGATGCTTTTATTTCAAAATGATTGGGAAAAAAATCTGTTTGTTACAAAAGGGAAAAATAAAGTTTCCATCTGTAGTTGAGTTTGTTTTTTTTACTATGAGCTTCAAAGATTATAAAAGCTTGATTTGGAATCAATTTATCTGGAATTAGCTTAACTAATTGACAGGTAAATTAGTGTAAACAAGTAGATGTTGTGGCAACACAGGGCAGGAAGTAATTACACAGAGAGTTTGCAATAGGTTGACCTGAAGAGCAGGTCAACATTTGTCAATCATGTAGCTTTCATGAAGACCTTGTTCAGGAGCTGTGGATGTGCTATGAAAGGCATCTGAAGCGTTTCTGGTGCAGTGGAACTATAAATAACCTTGCTTGGGTCCGCCTCTAGTGTAAATACTTCTTGTGACTTTTTGTGCATTAATTTTTGAAGATAAGTCAAAGGGAGGCACAGACCCCGCAGCATGAACTCTTGACATTTAATGGCCTTATATCTGAATGACCTCACGCTTAAGTCATTGTCTGATGGGTTTCAGTGAAAGTCTTTGTCATTGAAACCTCCTATTTTCAAATGTAAAGCACTATCTCAGTATCTAAAGAGATATATTTTCTCAGCCTCACTTAACAAAGCTACTATTTTGGTAGAATTTGACGGTGCACAAAGCAAGCCAAAAGAGATTTGACTTGTATTCATGTGCACATTTCTATGTACATATAATCACACAAAAGCCATTATTTCAAAGTCATTTATAAGCTGCTAAATAATGCCAAAAAAAGAATTTATATAGTGTCAGTATTCTACATTACTTTGTTTTAGTTGTTAGAATTAATTGGATTATATTATAAATTAACATCTGTGTTTGAATAATTTCCTATGATGTACTGTATAGTTACCTATCTAATTTGATTGGATGCTACATCCAGAATTTTCCTACTAATATATTTGTCAAATATGTTGTGCTAATTCTTTTCAGTGTGAAAATATTCAAAGCATCTTTGTTACAAACAGTAGCTCAAATGGACGCCTTCAAGTTGTCAGTAGAGCAGTTTGTTTAAGGAGTAGGTCAGATTTATTTCAAAGTAACACGTAAACATGCACTTGTGGTAAGTTCCAGCTTTTGTCCCTTCTAAATCTAGTTTCCCTTATCTGAACCACTTTGCTGGTTCCATGACTTCACCTGGTTTTGAGAGCTGCATGTAAACTTGATGAAGCTTTGAGAACTGATTTCACAGGTGTGTTGTGACGGAGTTAAAATGTACTATTTAAGGTGGAAACAGTGTTTACAAACAAAGCTTTTAATCTTTCCACAACAGACTGAACGAGTACCCGGTGGTACATTTGTCAGATGAAGTGAAAGGATTCTAGCCTGTGACTGAGTTGAATAAGAAGAACTTTATTTATTCCCGAGGGGAAATTTGATAATACATATTTCGATTATAATGCATTCACATTTTGTGATGTTAGTAGATTATGGAGTTTGATTAATTGAATATTAAAGACAAGTTTTAATCTAGATGGCATTTTGAAGATGTAACCTTGCTTGATGGCTTTTTATGCTCGGCTGTATTGCACTAGTACAGACTTGGAGTAAGAATACATATAGCAAGTGTCATGGGTCATGAAGAGGTTTGGCTGTGCCTTGCAGCACATTGCTCTCAGGATGCTTTCGATTTTCTAATTTTCTGTCTTGCCCTGCCAAAAACAGGAAGTTACTGGCAAAGGTAGTCTGATTTAGTGATATATTTTGTGAAAATCCTACATGTAACATGTAGTGGGTTGTGTAAAGCTGAAACATTGAGATGGCATTGCAAAACTTTGTATTTTTTGTGTATATGCTTGTTATGCACCTTGAATTCTTTTGAAAGGAGCTAATAGGGGGGGCTTCATGTGATGCAGCTTTATTTAATTGGGTCAAAGTAATTGATGAATTGGTCCATAAAGGATGTTAACTAATTAAAGATGATCACTTTTTTGCATACTTTGGAGGCCAGTGCTTGGAGCTTAAAGATTTTATCCATGGGTGGGGGCCCTGAGATTTCCATCGTGATATGGTGTGCCCCCCAGGTCACAATATCCAATGTATCTTGTTTTCACCAAGGGGGCACATAAGTATTCATGAAAAGCACATGCATGCTACCTTTTCTCGACTCTCACCCTTGGTACAAAGTGGTAGACTTGACATTCAATCTACAATTTTGGAGCTGTTTAAAACATGTAAAGCCTACCCTAATAGCACAATCATACTTTGAGTGTGTTTAAAGGGAAATTCCACTTATTTTTAGGATTCAGACAAAAAATGGAACGGAGGAACATTAGTTATGTTTTTCGTTAACTGAAATAATGATCTAAAACATAGGTTGGTTGAGAAAGTTAGACAACGCTATGCTGTGAGTGGAGCAGGATTAAAGTTGTCATTATATCAAGGGAAATAAAGAGAGAAACTGAGTGGTATTCCTCTTTAACAGAGTTTATTCTGACTTTGTCTCATTGATGGTGCATCAAAAATATATATTTCTTTATAATGTTTAGGTGCAACCAGTATATGAACAGAAAAAAGAAAAAAAAAACATTTGAATGTGTTTTGCCCAAAAGACTTTTGGGCTTTGCTGACTTTGTTTTTTCATGAAAAAAGACAAGGCCACTAAAGGCCTGCTGTCTGTTCATGAGAAGGTGAAACAAACTGCCTAATGTTTCTACATGTGAAACAATCAGATTGCAAGGCTGCTGTCAAGGTTGTTTCTGGCATTTGGCTAAAAGTTTGCGTGCCATCCTTTTTCCTTGAGAGGGTTGAACTGTTGTAGTTAATAAGAAACAAACTTGGTCTCTCTAGGTACTTAATGTGAAAAAATAAATCCAAAACTAACCATGGCAACCAGGTTGCTGATTAGAGACCAAATTAAATTAACCAATAATCTGAACTCGGTCTGCTCAGACAGTATTGACATAATTTTGCCTTCAACTCTGGAATGGTTAATCACCTGGATGAACTCAGGATTTTAATGAAGTTAAGAACCAGGCATGAAATCAATGTCAGATCAGTTTAATCCCATTGACTTGAATAACATTTTCCTTTAAAAACTCGATTAGTTAAAATGCGCACACAATTTAATTTTAGCTGCTGATTTGGCTCACAAGTATGTGTGTTACTATTTTTGGCAAGGTGCCACATAGCAGCTACTTGTCTGTAATCAGATGAAATGATAAAATGCTCTCATGGACAATGTGGGCTTTACAAGTATCAGAGCACATTCACTCTGACAGCACACTGGTTTTTAAATGCAAATCCAAAATGTTCCAGTGCTATTGTTAGGTGTAGCTCTAATTATTAAGTTTGTATTTTCTGTCTTTTTGCATTTGGATGATTATTTATGAAAAAAACAAACAAAAAGAGAAATGATGGTTTCTGGGTGATTGACCACTTCCAGTACAAAATTCAAACACCAACATTCATGTAAAAAATAGTGAATAAAAATGTAAGTGTACCCCTGTAGTATGATACTCTGTTTCTGAAGATTAAACTGAAGGCCGGAGTGCACCTTCATGGCTCCAATCCTCCCTCTGATCGTGCCGCAAACAACTTAGCCACAAATGTCTAGAATTGACTTTTGCTTGTTGATACAAATTGTATCTATACCTTGAATGTAACAAAATATGAAATGTAAAATATGAAAATAGTTTTATTTAAATAACGGGGGGGAAAATCAATGCCGTAATGTTTGTGACACTGTGTGTCACGGGGAGTAGCCCATTGGTATGATCTAATTCTTACTGGGTACAGTAGTAAACTTACAGGGACATTTATGTGCTATGTCAAAGTGCACAGATACCCTGTGTACAGCAGTGAGCATCATGTCCTCTCTGTAAATAGTCACACAAGTGTGTGTATATATAGAAAGAGATCTGTAAATGTAACAGTAACAGTTACTTCAGTTGTTCAAATACTTAGATTATTTCTGTGTTGTAACCTGTGCACCTTGGTTCAGTGCATCTCTTTCCTCTGAATTTGACATGTCTGCTGTATGCTATTTTAATGGGAATTTCAATATTTTTGAATATATTTTGACTAATAAAACATGCCAAAGTTATTCTTGGGTGACTTTGTCAAACATATTTTCTGTGATATGACACACGGGTTGTTGTGCAATGAACTGAAGATTTTTTTCTCTGCACAGTGTAAACTAAAAGTTACTAAACATCAAACACGAATCTGACTGCCATACAACTAAAAATCATGACCCAGGAATCTTTCATGGCTGATCTCCGATCACCGCATGATGCTATCACATGCCCTATAAACCATCTAGAAGAAGCTAATGGCAGTATGAAAGGCTGTCACTGAACGGGAGATTTTGGTGACAGTGTTTTCACAGATTTGTGTTTGATGTGCAGATCCTGTTGTGTTTGATTTAAGGACTAACTAAAAGCAGCTGATTCAAGGACTAAAATTGTATGTTAAAAAGTGTGTTGAAATGTGATCTATACCACAACTATTTACCAGCTGTTCTGTCATATTTTTGGTATATGAGGCCAGTTCGCTTACTGTTTCAATGAACAGTCTGTAGGCTTTAGCTGGCCCTGTGAGAATTAGACTAGTGGTTTTTTAAAATAATGTAAATGCTGATGTTGTCAATAAGTATTTACTTCAGTTGAAAATCAGTTGTGAAAGGCTATGAGCAACACCAAAGTGATTTTTGATGTGCACACATTACCTATCTGTCATAATAATTGGTTCAAACACAAACATACAAGCCGTTGTGGTCAAACAATCGTGAACCCCTTGACGTCTCGCTGTTTCTACTAGCAAGTAGTTCATATCAAAGTTGACTTGTTGGTGTTAAAAATGCCACGACAAGAGGTACACATATTCGGGCACAGCTGTACATACAGAAAACACAGTGTAAAACTCAGGTCAAAACACTCCAACATTTTCAATCACACGTGTTTGTTTTCTCTTATTGAAAAATGCAGTGGTCACATTTCTGAAGTAGTGAAGGTGTCCTGTTTGAGCTGACCAATGTGTCTTCAATGTACAAAGGGAAATATAAAGCAAGTTTTTATTTGTGCTGTGATGATCTGCAGTATTGTAATCCACGCTGAATGGAAAGCATTGCTTTTATAGACCAAAATGCACAAAAATAATCTATTTTGGGTCTGTGGGCTCAAACAAAATGTAAGTCTTAATGACAAACTGTGTTTCTCTCCATAAATAAAGCAAAATTATGTTCAAACTGTGTTTCTTTGTATTGACTTCTGTGAGAGCTGACATGATTAAAATAGTTTTGTGTGGGGTCTCTATTTACACGCAATAAGTATCCTTTCAAACTTTGGATCTTTTGTCAAGTAAAAAAAATAATTAATTAGTTCCCTTTGTCGGATATCTTAGTATACTTAATGTTTAAAAGTTTGTGTTATTCATCCTGAAATTGTATGCACTATCATGAAGCCTAAGCCTTTTCCATCTTTAATATTCAGTTAATGTTACAAATGCAGAAGTGCAAAACGTGCTTATTTGTATCTGTGTTAATTGTTTGTTTGAGGAAGTCATATACAGTATATGAGGAACAATGCAGATGAATACTCTATCAGTTTTAAAGGTTTGCAGAAGAATGACGAAAGCCCTTTGGATTTAGAGATACTGTACAGCCAACTGGACACATGTATGCATAAATAACATACAGTCAAACATCACTAAAACAGGAAAATATTAGCTGAAATAAGCTAAATTTTTGCTATTTAGTGCTCCATTTAAGTGGCAATAAAACCAAATGTTTGAGTGTCTTTGAAATCATTATTTAATAAACATCAGCCTTGAACTTTGTAAGTAGTTAAGTTGTTTCTTTTATGTTGGATAAAGAAAGGTCGTGTCTGTATTTCCTTTTTTTTATCATCTAATGCAGTCAAACCCTCCTCTGAATGTACAGCGCCTGAGGCTGTTCAACAGGATACACAGCACATGAACACTATCTGCTGGCTGAAGGGAGTAATAGCACAGGACCTGTGTCATTGACACACCTTGACAGACGTTGCTGATTTGTACATGTAGTCCTTTCATTATCGGATTATTTGTTGTCTTTGCGATTTACATGTTAAATTCTTCTGAGATCCCGGACCCCTGAAAAACAGGCAAAAATCTTTTTGAAGTAGATTCTGCAGTATAAATCTAACCAGTTATTACAGTACACTGAATTATGAACAACTTCATGTAAGTTAAAATAGTATGGTTCTTTCTTTTATCTTTTATCCGTTCATACGACAAAAAGCCCTCGTAGATTATCTAACCCCAAATAAACTCTTTAGATGAATACAACTGGTAGCTGGTCAGATTATTCGAAAACACTACAACTTATAGTTCCAACTGCATCAATAGTGTACTTAAGATGAGTTCCTTATGCCAGCTGTAGCTCAACATCTGTTTTATTTCAATTGAAAAGAAATCAGTTTGCATTGACAATAAATCAGCCATTTTTTTTGTTTTCAGTGAAGGGTGAGCTGAAGTCTTTCCAGACAAAGTCTGTTCCCTGACCACTTTTTAATTTCAACACTTACCACAGGGGTGACTTGCACCGGCCTGTACGTCACACCGTCTTGTCTGTAATTTGTCTGCACTGAGCAGCTCATTGAGCAAGGAGTAAAAGTGAGGACTGTGGGAGATCAGCCTGCCCTGGGAGTGAGGGGATGAGTCAACACAGTGACTCGTGACGTCTCTTTTCTTTCTCTTAAAGTGTCTCCACACCCGCTAGTTTTCAGGGGTTTCTTTAAGGAGAATGTAGACTCTACTTTAGTGTACATTTAGCTCTATATTCTATTTTTAAATACACTTTAAAGCTATTACTCGAATATATAACCACAGTATTTGTTCAAGGCCATTGTCAACAAATAAAAATAAACTTATATTAGGTAAACAAACTAAGGATAAGCTAAGGTAAAATCAGGTCAAGACATGATCGGCTGAAGGCCGCTGTGAGAGGATGTGTGATTGTGCAATGATTCAAGGTGAATCACTGTGCAAGGTACATATTTTCAGTCTGATATGGGCATGAAGTGAGTCTCATCCAGTGCAGCAGGAAGCTGATACTTTGACTTGAAATGGAGCTTTCAACATTCATTACACCCAAGCACAAAGACAGACTGTAGATTAGGTCCTACAGAGGAGACTCAGGTTGGTTCACTGGTAGTCAGACAGTGAAAGTAAGGTTTGAGTGCGATATGCAATGCTAAACTGAAAAATGTACAAATAATATGAACTGTAATGGCATTATTATTTCAGCTTTAACTACTTTAATACTACCTGAATGTGTGGCTAAACGTTACCCTTGCAGGATAAGATAGATCCTTAATTAATCCATTGAGCAAAATTTCATTGTTACAGCAGCTAAAATCACAGTCAGTCAGACTAAAAACATCAAGCAACGAATTTGACATACATTCAGACACATGAAAGCATTCAGATAGACGTAAAAGTTTACTAAGAGTAAAAAATAGTTCAACATAGATGTAAACATACATATAGTAGAAATATTTGACATGTACAATGTGCAAAATTTGCACTGAAGTGTGTTGTAGAAATTTTATTAAACAAAATCTGAATAAAATGGAAAGTATGGACAATCAATCATTTATACAAACATGTGGATACAAAAAAGCACATAAAACAGCTTCTGGGCATGAGTGCGTTTTTTTTCCACCCTGATCACTGAACAGTCTGATGGATGCAAACAGAAAATTCCATCTGTGACTTACTGTAACAAAAACATCTTTTAAAAGGCAGTTTTCCTTTTCTTGTACATAATTTGGCCTCCGCAGACCTCACTGTGTCTTCTTTGAAATGCATAATATCGCCTTTATTTTTTAAAAACAGAATAAATGATGTGAAGTGATGTTGTAGTTGTGTAATCTGTGCAATAAGTTTGTCTTTGATCTGTTTACTAGACATGAGGCACTCCAAAATGGATTACAGAAATTCATACACTGGTTAGAACTGGCCTCTAAGCTGGTGTGATGCCACAAAATAAGAGTATTGGCTGATGTTTACAATATTCATTCCCAAAGATACCTCGTCTATCTCACAGGATTTGATCATTGCTTCTTGATGTAGTTTGTGGTTTCTGTACGGTGGCCGAGAACCGCCACTGCTGCAAATAAAAAAGAATGCAAAAAAAAAAAAGGAGTCACAACGGAAGTCACTGATGCAAAAAAAAAAAGAAACAGAAGCCCACTGCAAATAAAAAAAGAAATGGTGCAGATAAAAAAAAACGCAACGGAAGTTAACGACACAAAAAAGTGATATGCAAAAAAAAAAAAAAACTTACTGCGAAGCAAAGAAGTAAGTGGAAATTGATTAACTCACTTCATGTGCTTTTCAATGTGGTTAGGCCATGTAGCGCCTGAGTCGATATGAAGTTGAACTGGAGGATACCGGTGTAGTATTAGCTTCGGTTCAACTTCATATCGGCTCAGGCGCTACATGGCCTAACCACACTGAAAAGCATGTGATTCAAAACTGAACAATAACCTTTCCACTTACAGCCTTGCTCGTCTACTCGCCGTCGCCTTCTATGCCTAGATCGTAAAACTCCTCACTTCCATAGCAGCTTTTTCTATTTGAATCCTTTTATTTTCGCAGTAAGTAACTTTTTTTTTGGCATCCCCACTTTTTTGTGTGTGTCAGTAATTTCTGTTATGACTTTAACCTTTTTTTTAATCTGCACTGCTTCTTTTTTTTATTTGCAGTGGGCTTCTTTTTTTTGCATCGTAACTTCTGTTGTGACTTTTTTTTTTCATTCTTTTCTTATTTGCAACAGTGGCAGTTCTCGACCACCGTTTTTCTGCACTTTGCAAAAATCCATCTAAAGCCACTGAAGTGTTTCTGTGTTTGAAATAGGCCACAGACCGGCTAATTCAGCCCCTGTCAGGCCTGCTATTTGACCACTAATGAAGCACACTTGTTCACTTTCTACTATCAGTCTGAAACGTTCAAAGTATCCTGACACTCGAGCGTTTTTAGCACAGACCACTTACTGTGATTGACCAGTCAGCAGCAGCAGCAGGTAGTGGTGAAAGTGCTGGTGAACTTTTTGGCAGGCAGACAGACAGCAGTGAGGCTGCAGCTCTCCCTCCGCAGCCATGATGATGCGGCTGCTGCTGCAGGCGGAGTCTGCCGCTCTGAGCACTCTCTTTCAGTCTGGCTGGCTGCTGTCCTGTCATCGGCCTGGGTGTGGTTTTTTTTTTTGCAGTCAGAGGTACCGTTAGCAGGAAATTAAGCTCCAGTCCATTGCTGTACAGGCGAAACAAAGAAAAAACATCCAGACGACCGTAAGGGAGAGAATAGTAAATCGCAGTGAAGCTATCGGGAACGTTTGTTTCCTCGAGACGGTGACGCGTTGGTTGGCGCCGTTGTTCTGATGGGAAAAAGTTTCCTCTGCTCTGGTTAACTCATCGTCTTATTTAGGAACTTTCATACGACAAAATCTGAAGCGGACTCCAAAAGAGGAAAGATGCCGAAAACGGTGAGAATGAAAACTTCACTCTCTTTATCGTGTAGAAACTACTCTCTTTTGTCTGTTTTCTCTCTCCATTATCCCCTCAAAAACTCCGCTTGGGGTTTTCGTGTGACTTGGGTACTTAATAGTAACCTTTAGATGACCATAATCGCATCTACGGCACGTATTATGGTGTTTTAATATGTTTTTCATCCCCTAAATCTCATCCGAGGAGGATTAGGGATTACTAGGGTACTTTCCGTTAGGTGTGTGCGCGTGCGCGCTCCCGCCTGTTTGTTCATTAAAATTAGCGCCTTAAATCAAATCATCCATCCAGACACTCCCGCTCACTACTATGTGCTGTAAGGTCACTGCTAACTTTTCTCCTCTGCTGAAGAGCTTAAAATCACGTTTAGCGAATCGGCTACAGGCAGAAGAGGCTGTGTGGCCTGCTGCTGCAGTAGCCAGCAAGCTAGTCCTCCTACAGGCCTCCTCTTTAGACAGTCCAACAAGGAGGGATTTGAACTGTCATTCAGACCAGCTGTGCTGCCTTTATGTGGACCAAATGGACACTAACCTAAAATGGGGAGGTAGTACAAGAGGTGACACTGACTACTGTAAGGGTATCATGAGTATGAGGGCCGAAATGTTGCTCTGTGCTGTGATTTTAGAGGAAAAAACCCTAAAGGCTGGGTTTTTTTTGTCTTGTGCTGGTGCTGGTGTGGCACAGAACAAAGAGAAAGAGGGCCACACGCAGACTGGACTCTCTTTTATTTTAGCAGAATAAAGAGGCAGAGCTCAGTGTTCAGTAAAGGCAAACAGAAGTGAAAGTAGCATCCAGCCCATCTGTCTGTCCGCCTCTTGGCAAAAGCAGGTTTGACTAAGCGAAATACTTTTAAAACCCTAACAGATAACGAAATAGTTGTGTAATGTGCGCAGTCCTTTTTGTCCACTTTTCGTGGAGCTATGATACCCACATGCAATCTGAGATAATGAAAGAACACTGTGCCACAAAAAGAGTCACACATGACCTCTGAGATAGGCGGTGCTGTGACCTCGCCCACTGTTTCAGAGGAGAAACTTCATAATTCCTTTGAGTGTGTCTGTGTGTAACCAGGGTACATGCAAAAACCTACAGATGACGATCACTATAACACATGAAATGAAAACTGACATGTGAACTCCTGCACTTCCCAATTACTAACAGAAATACAAATGGTAGCAAAGGTTACAGCTACCCTCTTCCTGTAGTATTGTTTCTGCTCGTATACTTCCTCGATATTTTTTCCATCTTGCAACCAGAAAAAAATGTCACAGCATCCTGGCATTTAAAATGGGTGTAGAAACGCCTTCACTGCTCTACTTTTCCGAAAAAGGAATTCCTCTAACCATATCAGCATTTTCAAACAGAATTCAAAGGATGGAGTCATTTGTTGAAAAAGCCAAAGTCTGAATATTTAATTTTGTCAGTAAATTAGTCGCACCAGTAAAACTTTTCATTTTGCTTCATTGGGAGTCTGTTTTTTCCTCCCATAAAATGTCAAAAATCCCCCATTTTCCATCAGTTCTGCATTTTTAATCAAAGTTCACTCCACAAATACTTTTGCTGCAGACAGGCTTTTAGATGTTGTATATCACATAGAAGCTCATGACTAACTACATCAACTATGTGACTCCAAATACTGTCTTTGCTCTACACGTACATGTACTTTAACTCCTTCACTTGGTGTCTGTCTTTGTGCCAAATCCACGCAGACTGCAGCTGGAGTACTATTCTCTTCAACAGCACTAGATTAGTGGCCCATAGAATGTGTGGCAGCTACTGAAGTAACAGCTGGAGACCTCAAAGACCTCATAAGAGGGAGTCTGGCACTCAGGATAAGAACACAAGTATAGGGACACTGCAGAGACAGCTGTGTTGCAGAAACGTTAGCCTGGACACAATATAGAGCTAGAGAAGAGGAAATGAGAAGTGAATGGAATAAACGATTGAGAGGAAGCAGAGAGATTTACTCAAAATAATCAGGGATGGCGACTGATGACCAGAAAAGGTTGTGGAACATTTTAGAAAGTATGCTTTATATCCATTTATGTGCCGCTTAGGTGTTAAACCAACATCTAGGGCAGTGGGGACCAAAAATAGATGTTAATTTGTAGTCCATGAACCAAAAGCAAACACAAAAGAATATCTGCGTGTAGAAAGATGTTTTTCCTTCTCATGATCATTGTTGAACCTGGTGAGCTGCCTTGTTATATACAGGAATGATGAGCTCAAGAGATTTCCAGACAAGGGGTTTGAGTTATTTCATGTATCAGATTTATCCTATGAAAAACACTAAAATAGGACGGTTTATGCTGCATTTTCAATACTGATGAACAAACCATGGATTATTTTTTGATACAAATTAAAAAATCAGTAATGATTTTTATATTTTTGGTTAAGGTGCCTATATGAGAGTATGCATATGGATTAAGATAAGTATTTTGTTGTGAAGTGTTGTGTAGTTGTCAAAGATAATAGGTAACAAATATATTAAAGGAAGTCTTAGTGGAACTGATAAATGTACTGGCAAGTATCAAGAGGAAGTTATTTGATAATTTAACCTTTATTAGTTTATGGAGAATAGGGGGATTAAATAAACTGTTCCTCTTCCTATTCTTTCTGAATATGAAAACAAAATAATTTTGTGTTCCTGTCTTCTCATGTATTTTTTCTGTCTGTCTTCAATTGGATGTTAACTTTGCTTTTTTCTTCCTTACATCTTCTAAATCAAGATTTTAATTCAAATCATAGGGTTAAACGTACTTTTTCCAAGGCTCTCAGGCTAGTTTTCTTTAGTAAAATTCATACAATGCTCTGCCAGAGAGAGGGTATTAATAAGAGAAGCCAGACACTGATTCAGCAAATGCTCAAATGCTTGCTCTGTGCTCTGTCTGTCTGACAAAAATTTCAAGTCCTGTCCCTCGTCAGGCTAGCCCAGAGTGGAGACGATTCATAGCTTTGAAAAGATAGTTTTACCAATAACTATTTTAGAGGCCCAGTATTTATTTAGTGTTTTAGTGAGCTGTAACAACATTTGGTGTTTTACAAAAGCAATAATTATTGAGAAACTCTGTCTCTGCTTGACGTCTCTTGGCTGGCAGTGCTTCAGTTTCCCAAGGAAGTCGTGTTGTGACTCAAGGTTTCTGCACTTACATCAGTTCCTCTCTGCTTATTTCCTTGCTTGCAGCCTTATATGGACTTTGATGTTACAGCCGGTCTGCTCTCCTCCCAGCTTTCCCCCTCGTGTGGTCCTCAGATGCCACACTCCACTTTAGATTGTGTTAAAGCGGTGTGTTTGGCCTTGTGAGGCCACAAAGTTTTTCCAACATTTATTTAAACAGGTTTTCATTAAGATGTTTTGATAACTTCTCTGATTTTTAATGAATCACTTCCAATGAACATGAGGTAACATTTAAAGTAATGAAAAACAGAGTCAAAATTATTCATGAAGTGTTAAAATTTTGTTTTATTTCACCATTTATGAGCTCAAAATTAGTGAGTGATGCCTGCTCTTTTTGTTTTTCTACTTTTTAAAACCTGTTAAGTTTTAACACAGCAGTTAACAAGCCAGCTTCTGAATATGTTGTTTTTACAGCTGGTAAATTACAATAGTCTTATAAAACTTCAAATCTTTTTAAACCGAAATTCAGACATTTTTCCCCTGTGATCACAACAAACCTGAGAAAAACTTACCATGGTGTCCATGATGCTAGAAACGTGATAGATGCAGATGTTTTGTTAGAAGAACCCCAAGCTGTTAACAAGTGTTGCCATGGAGAAATGGTAAGTGGAAAGACTCAGAGTTATGCAAACAAGGGATTAATGACTCTGTAGTGCACATAGCAGAGCAGATTAACTATGTGTAGAGGTAGGGTTGGCGCACATACTACAATCAAATCTTCTGAGGCTTTTACTCTGACAGCAAGCTCAATGTTTTCAGTTTGGAGAGGATCGAACCTCTAAATGTGAGTGCTTTTTTCATTCAGTTATTTAATGCCTCTCTTCTATGTCTCTTTATAGAATTAAAGTAATATTTATACACTGATCCTTGTTTAAATCATCTGCTGTTTGCACCATGTTTAGTCTACTGTTTCTAGCAGTTAAGAGATAAGTGATGATGACATGACGATGGATAAATAAGACATTACTATTTGGCTTTTCTAACAATTACAGTGCATTGTGCCATATTGACGCCCAAATAAATCAAACTGTAAATAATTAAAGAGCACGAGTCAAGTGCTGCGGTGAGGATTAGACATCATAATATTAGACTACCATGGCAAGGAGAGAAGGGTTATGTATATAAAGTATGTTTTAAATACCAGTATGACACGTCACATTGATTAATTCAACGAAGTTTTAAATGCAGATTTTTTCTGTTGGTTCCAGCAGGGATAAAAAAGTCTTTACTTAGGAAGTAAGAGGCTAATGGTTGGCAAAGTAATATGTCCAGGGTGGGAAAAACTGTGTTATAGCCCCTGTGACATTAAGGCATGGGTTTGGCATGAAAAGGTGGATAGTATGACTTTGCATGAACAGTCCACCCAAGAATACTGAACTTGTTTGTTTTCTTTTTTTAACCAAAAGAGACCAAATAATCTTCTTACAGTACAAAAATTAACAAGAAATGTTTACAGCAGTTAGAAATCAGTTCAGACAGCAACACTTGTTTCTCCAGCTACTGTTGACATGCTAACATCGAGCCTCTTCTTAGCTCATATTACATGTTGATATTGTTATACTTAAAAAATTCATCAGCTATAATGATACAAATTTGAGATGGTTGGTTGTGTTTGGTTGTTTAGCTGTGGTATTAAGCTGATCAAATATGTCTTTTTGTGTCAGACAGATGTTGAGTGAGCATCCGGAGTAAAGTTCAGATGATAAGTGGTGACGATGAAGGGCGAGGAAGACTATTTGACTATGCTTGTACATTTAGTTACATTTGCTGAATTTATAAAGGTCATGGGAAACAGCTGGAAACGACCCATTGCCCTCGTGTGTGAAGTCCCCTGCAGAGAAAATAAACCTCATCCTCTTCTCCATCCTCCCTCTCAGTTATTGAGTTGATGTCAGGCTGTGAGGACAGTTATCACAAAAGCACAGGCTAAACTAAAAAACAGACAAAAAGGTTATCAAGGATGTCTTCTTTTTTTAGGTGTCCAATCTTAGTCACTTGGTAGAGAATAAATATGATTTTCTTTAACTATGGCTACTTTCCTGCTCGCACCCTTTGCAATACTAGTATGTTGGCTTTAGAGGATCTTAACATGCTTATCGACTCGCTAACAAGTCTTTGCACATGATTCCTCTTTTAATCTTGCCTTCAAGCTCCGATATAACATGGTTACTGTGCTGTACTTCTCACAGGACATATAATTACTGCTGCATTTTTTTCACTATTTCACACCTCATTGATATCTCTCCGTTACATGCCTCTGAATTCATGGCCTATTATCCCATGTGCTGCTATGCCCAGTGGAGCACTACCATAAAGTTGGTTGGCCTATTATTGTTAGGTTTGACATTTTGAAAACAAGGCATGACTGTATGAATGTATCCTGGTATTTTAAACTGTGAATAGGACTGCCCTGCCCACATCAACCATTTCTCTCTCACTTGCAGAAGAATAGACTATCATCTACATACATGTTGATGCTGTGGTGAACGTTTGTGTTCTCTCTGCCTTTAAAAACCACTTGACAGTATCTCCTCTGTTGTCAAGGCTTTGTTTGGAGGTTGATGATAGTGAACAGGACGCAAAGATAACTTTGGTCTGAGAATGTCTCGGGTGGTGACTAAATAAATACTTGGACGGCTGTGGTTCCCAGTTCAACTATCCATCTCCTTTCTGATGTGTATGGGAAGCATTGCAGCTAGAGAGGAAGTTCCCACAGTGTAAAATGTTTCACCAAAATGCATCTCAGCCAAACACCATTTGCAGATCAGCGGTTTTGTTCTGGGGTCAACGCCATTTCAATCAGAAGTTTACTGAGTTTCAGTGGTTTTGCTTCCCTTTCCTGACAAGCTAACCTGAGGTGTTTCTCAGGGTTCACTCTAAGACTATGGCCCCACTGGTTACAGTACAGTATTTGTATTAGTTGTATATTCAGAAAACAAAGTTGTCCATTTCTTACAAAGGTGTTTTTAATCACTCAGTTTTCAAAACTTCTTTAGTTTTCTATTTCAGCTTTAGTTCATTAGTTAATGTTTTAGGCCCTACAACTCAAATGAGAATTTTATGGTCTGATTTTCACTTATTAGAGCTCTATGGATGTACATGGCTACCATAAAAATGTATTTCCTACATTAAAGCTACTCTCGCTGTCTACAAACCTTAAAGCTTATGATAGATAAATTTTGGTAATTAAAAAAAAAAAAAAAGAAATATTACACATTTTATGTTTGTGAAAGCCGGTCTGGAAATCACTCTCTTTTCATACCAATTTGACCTTGTGTGCTCACTCTGTCCCTCTGCTTCACTAACGCACACCTGCTCCTCTCTTTGGCAGTGCGTCACATCACTACCTCCACTAAAAACATTATTTGACAGAGTTTGTTGATCTGAGCTTTTGACAGTGACCCATTTAAAACCTACATGCTGTGGTGTGATAGAAGGCAGGATGTAACAAAAAGGACAAAACAACCATAACATGACAAGCAGCAAAAAAAGAAAAAAAAATCATCTCATTTGGATTATCTTGTTTTTTAAATTGAAATGAGACCAATTTCCCCAACCCTACAGCAATTACACTATGTACTTAAGTAAATGAGGTGAGCTCCTACCGATGAAGAGATTATTGCCCTGACTAATTAAAGTGTTTTATGTGAGAACCTCAGTAAGAGATGGTCTGAATAATTAGCTCTAAACTAGGTGTGAAATTGACTGGAACATTCAAATGATATAAAAAAGATATCTGATGATATTGTAATCTAAAAACCAAATGATTAAAAAACACCTAAGCCTTGAACTTTTACTTGAATACACAGCGCTTCTAAAAGTATCATCAGATGTCACAGTTTTACTTCTGCACTGTAGTTTTTTGGTGTCAAAACTGTGAAGAGTAAGTCATGGAAACTGAACACGTGGGCCAGAGAGAGGGTGTTTTACAGCATGTGCTAATAATAGTGTGCTAAGTGTTTTTGAATTCTAGCCATGGGAGACACACCCTGACCAGGCTGAAAATGTATGAGTGTAGTTCCTTTTTCATGCAGCATTAGCCATTCTGACTCAGGAAATGAAACCGCTTCAACCCCGGCAGGACCTGCATGAACCGAAGTCGTATCTGCAGTTCTGCACTGTCAGAAAACACAAATGTTTGTCAGTTCAGAGAGGGCTGCGTTTAGATGACTTTACATGTGTGGGTTGGAGTTCAGTGTAGGCTCAGATTGTAGGTTTCACTCGTATTCAACTGCTGCTGACGACAGGAAGTAACAAGAGGGCAAGTGTCCTGTGCAGTAAATGGGGTCTTGCTGACATGAATGGGAAAGAACGCAACTCTAATCAGCCCCGCAACTGGGAAATAATGCATACCATTGTTGTCCGGGGTAGGCGTGGGCCTCTGCCTGCACAGTTATTCCCTAACAGACATGCATGCTGCCCCTTTTTCGGTCATCTCTAAGAGGCCAGACTGAATGAGAAATGCCTACATAGTGAGTTTACTAAGTTTAGACTTAGTTTATTTTCTCAGGAGCACAGTGGGGGGGCTTTCAGGTTAAAAAAAAACACCATCAAATCTTTAACATATCATTTCGAACACAGTGCTACCTGAGGGAGACAAACCCACATGACAGAGTGTGTTCTTGTAAAGGCGGAGAGTTTAGCAGACAGCTGACGGCGTGCTTGATACATGACAGGAAGTAGGCGACTCTCATGAGAGCTCAGTGTTCAGCAGTCGTGCCTCACAGGGCTCAGCCACCAGAGGATGTGGTAACTTCCTGTAGATAAGTTCTTTACTGAGACGGAGCCAGATTGGCAGGCCTGTTGTTCACAACGTGAAGCCATGAGACCTGACTTTTTACCTATTCTACAGACAAAATGAAAAAGTGTGTGTTTATTTTAATGTTAGGATCATAGTGGGGTTACTAATGGTTCACAGCAGGCCTGAATCCACAGTGTAGGATCTTGTTTCTCTAAACACTGTTGAGTCTGTACACTGTGGGGTGGTGGGTGCAGCTTTCTGCTCGTGTACAGTCAGGATTACTCAAAACCTTTCTGAGATCATGGTTCAGAAGTGGCAGATTAACCACTTTGTGTGGATTTATGTTTCATTAGTCTGATTATTGTTTACTCTCTTTTTGACACAACCACTGGGGGCACCAGCAGGTTCTTATTTTTCATGTGACTGTGGTAAAGACACTGTGTTATTTTAGCAGTCTTCCCACTGAAGATTTTCTGTAGACTGAAGCGAATTTACTTCAAGATATTAGTAATCTGATTTGTCTTCATTAGGGTTAAGAAAAAGGAGAGGATTACTTTTATGATGTGTCCAGTTGCCCCTTTTATGCTTTAAGTATTTATGGAGAATCATATGAAAATTGGTTTAATGCTCATGCAGACAGCCACAAGACAGAAATGAAGTCTATAGATTGATCAGTATGTTCACACCGCCCACAAAAGTCAACAAATATATGTCTTATAGACCTGTGTGAGCCAGTATTATCTTCCGATCATACAAAGACTAATAAAGAGCAGCACTTAATCTACTTCTGCAAAGAAACAAAATGTTGATTTAAGCCGTTTTTCCCTCATCCAGAGGAATGTCATTGTAGATGTTCATTGTGAAAAGTCTCATACTTCTAATTTTTTCCCTCCCTCAGATAAGTGTAAGAGTCACCACAATGGATGCTGAACTGGAGTTCGCCATTCAGCCCAACACAACAGGAAAGCAGCTCTTTGACCAGGTATGAGACACTTCAACTTCTGACCCCAAATATGTGTTGAAACGCATTTGTCTGATGTTGGATCTGATATTTTTGTCCGTATTTTTAAACCTCTTTCAGTTAAAAACACGAGTAACCTTCTGTTTAAACTCTCACAAAAAGAAAAATAGGAACTTTCTGGAGATGCTGACATTTATTTCCGTATTTATTATGTTTTTATTTCAATCATATGCAGTAAAACAAGATTCTTGTGTGCAAATAAGCGCCTCTTAGGTATCAAATGCCAGCTTTATTCGATCCGTGTGTGTATTAAATGTTTGTAAGGGTGCATTTATTCAGCCCATCTTGAACAGAGTGTTCTTTCATGCTGATAAGGTAGCCTCTTGAACTTCTTTTTTTCTTGTTCAAAGGTTGTGAAGACCATTGGCCTGCGAGAGGTTTGGTACTTTGGGCTCCAGTATCAGGACACAAAGGGTTTCTCCACATGGCTCAAGCTCAATAAGAAGGTAAGATCTAACACAGAGAAATGTCAAATACGCAGTTTTTCTTTTCTTTGTCTAGATCGAACCACTCAGTTGAGTCAGGTCTGTTTATAGACGTTCAACCTTCACCCCTCACCCGTGGCTCATCTTATTTTAGGTGACAGCCCAGGATGTGAGGAAGGAAAGCCCGCTGCTGTTTAAGTTTCGTGCCAAGTTCTTCCCTGAGGATGTGTCGGAGGAGTTAATCCAGGATGCCACACAGCGCCTGTTCTTCCTGCAGGTGAAGGAGGGGATCTTAAATGACGACATCTACTGCCCACCGGAGACCGCTGTCCTCCTGGCCTCTTACGCCGTGCAGGCCAAATATGCCGACTACAACAAGGAAGTCCACACTAAGGGCTACTTATCCAGCGAGCAGCTGCTGCCTCAGAGGTAACAGTTAAAGATGGATGTCACCTTTCAGTGGGCGTGTTTTTGTACGAGATGTTTCTCTCTCTGTGTGACTCCTCACACTTGAGTGTTGTCTTGTGTTGTCAGAGTGCTGGACCAGCACAAACTCAATAAGGAGCAGTGGGAGGAGAGGATTCAAGTGTGGCATGAGGAACACAAAGGCATGATTAGGTAAACACTCACACACATAAAGTACATTTGGATATGTCCTTTTAGAAGGGTATCTTTCACCTTTCCTTCTCTGTAATGTTTGGAATCAGCATTATTTGAAGAACATTTTCATGCAGATTGAATACTATCACGTGCTTCAGTCAGCTACAACATGTAAGGCTTTGTCAATAAACACTACTGATGAGTGTCTTTTATTTGAACACAGAGAGGAATCCATGATGGAGTATCTGAAGATCGCTCAAGATCTGGAGATGTACGGAGTCAACTACTTCAACATCAAGAATAAGAAAGGAACAGAGCTGTTTTTGGGAGTGGATGCTTTGGGCCTCAACATTTACGAGCAGAACGACAAGTAAAGGATGCCATCACAGTTAAACTGGCAAACCCATGTATTCGGGTTTTACTGTCATTGCTAATGCTAGTATCCAATCAAACATTGATCAAAGGTTTTTGGTTTTATTTTGCTTTTTTTAGAATGACACCAAAAATTGGATTCCCTTGGAGTGAAATCAGGAACATTTCCTTCAACGACAAGAAGTTTGTCATCAAACCAATCGACAAGAAAGCACCTGTAAGTCAAAACAACAACTTTAGAGCAAATGAGCAATTTTCAGGATTTTAAAGAGATCAAAAGAGCTCTAGTAACGCTTGTAGTTCAGGAAAACAGCTTTATTCGAACAAGGGTGTTTTTCTGAACTACAAGGTTGCTGGAGCTCTTTTGACCTCTTTAAGACCCTTTTTCTCCAAGCACCGTGGAAGTTGGTGAAATTTTCAGGATTTACCTGTATAAACATCTCCCATGTTTCTCTTTTAGGACTTTGTATTTTATGCTCCGAGACTGCGCATCAACAAGCGCATCCTGGCTTTGTGCATGGGCAACCATGAGCTGTACATGCGCCGCCGTAAACCAGACACCATTGAAGTGCAACAGATGAAGGCTCAGGCTCGGGAGGAGAAAAACCACAAGAAGATGGAGAGGTAAGAGTCACGAGCTGCTGCGCTGGAAATGAACAAACATTTCATCCACAGGTTTGATCATATGACCTCGAATGTTTAAAGTGATTTAGTAACCTCTAAAACAAAGAAAACTGCTAACTCATTACAGTGAAAATATGATGTAATCACTGTCTTAAGTTTGTTTATTTTGTATATGACAGTTATACACTGGAAGGTAAACACCAGAATAATTTCAGACCGCAAATAAATGAATTACATGGTGATCATCTACTCTGCCTGAAATAGATCCCTCACACATTTTGTATCTGTCATTTCAATCAGAGCTCTGCTGGAAAATGAAAAGAGGAAAAGAGAAGTTGCCGAAAAGGAGAAAGAAAAGATTGAGAGGGAAAAGGAGGAGTTAATGGAGAGACTAAAGCAGATTGAAGAGCAGACGAAAAAAGCCCAACAAGGTAGGTAACGTATCTGTACTCAACATCAGCTTTCTGACCGAGAGACTGTCTTACCTGAGGCTTGTTTGTTTGTTTGTTTGTGTGTGTTTGTGCAGAGCTGGAGGAGCAAACACATCGGGCTCTGGAGCTGGAGCAGGAGAGGAAACGTGCTCAAGAGGAGGCTGAGCGCCTCGAGGCTGACCTGAAGGGTGCTGAGGATGCCAAAATGGCACTGCTGCAGCAGTCCGAGAACCAGATGAAGAACCAAGAACACCTGGTCAGTCATAGAAACTGTATTTTACATGTCAACATTACAATGAGAAAAGAAAAGCCTGACGGCTGGAAATTAGTCTAAAATAAAAATGTTTTCTGTTAGGCCACAGAGCTGGCTGACCTGACTTCCAAGATTTCCCTCCTGGAGGATGCCAAGAAGAAGAAAGAGGACGAGGCGGTGCAGTGGCAACAAAAGGTATCACCCTGTCACCTTCTACTTTTGTTCAAATCTTTACCTTAAAGTGGAGCAACAGTTTGAGTCTATGAAAACTGTATCATGTTCAGCCAATAGAATGAAAATATGCATGAAATGACTTTGTTACACGGCGGCAAAGTTAATATTATCTTTTCGCCCCTTTTAGAATAAAGAAACGATGCCTTTTAGCTTTCAGATTTGTGAGCCTCACATGGACATGCAGGTTGCTGTGATTGAAGTTAAATCAAGTGAAACACCTTTGACAGTAACTCGTATTAGGTTTCAGTTGTGGCACATTTATCACAGCAAGCGTTCAGTGGCGAATAAATTGAGGATCTTGAATTACATGTGTGAACAAAAGGGTTCAGTTAAGTCTGCGCTCAGAGTCATGTGACCATCTATACCGGCGTTCACAATAAGCCAAATTTGGACCTGGTATCAAAGACTTAGTCATCAAACATCATGTCTGGTGCCGAGCACACAGCCCCGCCTGTGTGACACAGTGAGGACAGACATTCCTGAGGTCCTGTTGTTGTGTGTTTTTGGGGGGGAGGGGTGAGCGCTCACAGCTTGCCTCATGTCTTTTTTGGTAAAAAACAATGTGTGCCAGCCCGGCCCCTTCATTTCTTTGGGGGGAGCGTGACTCATGCTGTTTGTGGAGGGGGACGGCTTTCTTTGTGGGAGGGAAATCCTGTTTAGCTCTTGTGCTAAGTAATGGTTTCCATGCCCGACATTTTTGGCAAGCGTTCAGATGAAATTCCAGTCCTTGGTCATAATTGGCTCTTTTTCCTGGAGCCTCATAGTACAGAAACTCTGGTTCATAAAGTGCAAATTTAGATATAAAATAGTCCATTTGAAGTGCTTTAGTAGTACTGAAATAGTTTATGTATTGTTGTGTTTACAGTCGTCCAGTTTCCCTGGAGAGTTCACTGCGAATGTGACGATTCCGGTGGTTTGTCATCAGGCACCATAACAAGCTCACACCTTTAATGACTAAGATGTGCTTTTTTATTGCTCAATATAAATAAAAAAATGAAATCTAATTTGACAAAACTTGACCTCCAGTACTAAACAGCGCCACTGTGCACGGCTTTAGAGTCATGGGTGGCAAGAAATGGCATTGAACCACTTTTCTACAAGTTTAAATACTCTAAAACAAGGATGTTGTAGGAACCGAAGTGTTGATATGCGTTCACCTCATCGTACATTCTCTGTTCCCTCAGGCTACCATGGTGCAAGAGGACCTGGAGAAGACCAAAGAAGAGCTCAAAAACAAAGTGATGTCAGCTCACATTCAGGAGCCCCTCAATGCTGAGAACGAGCACGATGAGAACGACGAGAGCAGCGCTGAGGCCAGCGCCGAGTTCACGGCTGCTGCCACATACAAGGACCGCAGCGAGGAGGAGCGCATGACCGAGGCGGAAAAGAACGAACGTCTGCAGAAACATTTACTCGTAAGCCTGATAGTTATTAAATCTGTTCAAAAATTATTGCCTTTCACGAGAAAAAGCTAAAGTCACGACAAGATTGCACAGTTTTTGATCAAAGCCACGATAAGGATAGGAAAAAAACAGATTTTGAGAACAAATTTATGAGTCATAAGAGAAGAAAGGACAAACAGCGGGTGCAGAAGCTTGCACAGGCTGCTTATCCCTTCTTCAGAGGAGACTCAGTATGCTGCAGAGTCTACACAGAGTCCTGATATAGTGATTATGTTTACATTTCCTGTATGAAACCTATACCCAAAATATAACTACAGGCTCCATGTTCCTTATCCTAGTGCGGGCTCCTAGGTGCTTCCCTAACTTTCCACTTTAAACTAAAACAAAGCTGACCAAATCCTGTGGTTATAATTGTCTTCTCTTAAATTTACAACTTTACTGTGTAATTTCTTATTCTATTTTTATTTTTTTACTTAAACAATGTGGGCTCATGATTCGTTGTAGAAATGCATCTTAAACTCTGTTCATACACAAAGAGCTAACGTAGCTATGATCCTAATACAGTTAAATGTAGACACCGTTAATGTATCGGCAGCAAAAATTTCCACTTCCTGTTCAGGAGATATTTTTTTTTTAAAGAAAAAAGGAAATGAAAGAAAATTCTGTTTAAAAACAGAACTAAAACCAAATTAGAGTTTAATTGCTGGCGTCTCTAGGGAGTCGGTAACTGGAGTGCAGTGTTGCTAAGTGGCTCAGTAAATAAGTGCATGTAATTAAGGGAAACGGTTATCTCAGTTTTACATTTGAGGCTGATCTGATAGTTGATTTGATAACCAGTATGTGATCTGTAATTTATGTACATGACTTGTGAATTTATTTTTAGGCTCTGAGCTCAGAGTTGGCTAATGCTCGGGACGAGACCAAGAAGACGGTGAATGACATGATCCACGCAGAGAACATGAAAGCAGGGCGAGACAAGTACAAGACCCTCAGACAGATCCGGTCAGGAAACACCAAACAGCGCATCGATGAGTTTGAGTGCATGTGATGTCTACCTAAAGGCCTCACTGATGCTAGAGCTCACAATGATGGGCCACTCTGCCTGGACTGCAGTCCTGCCTCACTCCAGCTGTTTCCTTTCTACCCAAATAAATCAGATCCAATGACGTGGTTACAAAAGCACAGCACAATGTACAAATATGGATCTGGAAATCTCCATTTGTTATCATTCCTAACTTTGAATTTTGGCAAGTCACTGGTCGAAAAGGGACATACTGTATTTTAATAGTACATTCCTCACAAGGGGTTTATGTAGCATCTTAGCAGTGAGTTCCTGCTTCACTTCATGACACATTGAGTGAGCATTTTTCATTTCTTTATATATTTTTTGTCACTTTTTTATTGTGATTTTAAAATAAAAGATCAAATCTAAATTTCAGCTTGCCTGTAGACATACTGTATCTCTGCTGTAAACATTCAACGGTTCCTTATAGCAAGCTGATTTTTTGAAGATTAATATTCCTCTTATGATCCATTGCCTGTAGTTTCAAATGCACTGTAGTCGACATGAAAAATGCATATCAAATGATTTTGAAGTGCCTGTGTGGAGCATTGATAGAGCAGTATTATTTTTGTAAATTTACTCTTTTATATTTTTCATCTGAGCGTATTCAGAATCAGCAAACTGTAACAAATACAGTATTAAAACCGCAATTACAAAATCACAAGGACTTAATGTAAATTTTTGATTGTAGGCAGATGCTGAATTGTAAACGGGACTAACATGACATGGCACAATCCTGAATCTGAGAACCCTCTGTGGTTTTCATTGATCATATCTGAGACCCTTTCGAGTAAAACATACTTTTCGCTCACCGTTGGGCTCTCTGTGATTCTTATAAGAAAAAAAGAGAGAGCTGCGTCTACATTATGATGAAACTGAAGCAAATCTGCAGCTGTCTAAAAAGTTTCTGTCTCTAGTTTCTCTCTTGAAGAAAACTTGATCATGAAGTCTTGTAGAACTGACAAGATTTGACTTTTTTGACAGAATTGAAATCAGTATTGTTAATTTGGTCAAACATTCAACTTAAAAGGACATTCAAAGTTAATTTTACCTTCTTTTTGCATTCCAATAACCAGTACTGCATTTGGAATTACACTGTAGTTGAAACTTGTCATGTTGGTTGTCGTCTGAGGACAAATATTCCTCATGAAATCATCTAAGACTTGATTTAAAAAAATAGATAGGTTCATTGAAGAGGAGCTTGAAAACTAGTTAATCTATACAAAATGAGTTTAAAAAAGTTGCTGTCCAATTGGACACCATTTCCATTCCATCATTCAATTTTTGATATACTGTATGTATTGAACAACATTTGTGTATTTTGTAATTTGGATCTTCAGTTTTCATAAAATTCTTGAAGGTGAAAGACTGTCACTGCTGAGGCTATTTTTGTACTTAAAAATGTAGGAAACTTGTCAAAGATAAAAAACGGAATAAATAGATGTTAGGAAGCACAGTTTTTTGTTTTTAAGTCACCGAACAGCTCGGTGCTGCGATTCTGAGTGTCCAAAAAAATAACAATTTTCAGCCACGCCAAGACATTCAAAATACAGTTAAACATCACATACCGGGTTACATTCAGCGCTCAGCTGTGGGATAGGCTGTACCCATTCTTGGATGCTTAGAAATCTGTAAAAAAGACCCAGCAATATTGAAGTTCAAAAGGACTTTCATTGAGTGATGACTATTTTTGAATTTGATTGTGATTTGTCGTGTGAAAGCGTCCTTAGTGGTTCATACAGACACATTTATGCTCCTCAGTATTCTTGCCCATTGCTGCACATCGCTCTGCGCCTGCCACAAAAAATACAAACGCCGTTATTGTGATACTCGATACCTTTTCACCCCTTTCACAGTGACTTTGTTCTGCCTGAAGTGTCATGTATTGACAGCCTTTAAATAAAAATCTAGTGCCAGTGGAGCTCAAGTTTTCATGTATTTAAAAGAACTGTATTAAAGATGCTTCTCAGTATTTTGTCTTGAATCAAAAAGGGCTGAAACATAATTGATACTTACTGTAACTCCACAGACAGTGCCTTTGCCAGATTTTCATCAGATGTTGCTGCTTCAAGTCTTCTTTGAATGAATAAAAATACATTTTAAAACAGATTTTCTTTCCTGAACTCTTAATTAAGTAACCTCATTTCCAAATCTAACTGATGTGCAATTTTATGAATAAAGCTCTATAAACTCTTTTTACAGTAAATATGCTTCATTTTGGCCCCAGAGTGGAAAAACGTTTTTACTCTAGTCAGGCCTACTTTTATTCTGCTGGTTGCAGTTTTAAAAGAAGCCACATGATGGCAGTATTGTCCCATTTTGCAACGACAACACTGACCTACACATCAGTGAACATTTAGTCAATGATTTCATCAGTGGAGGAAGTTATGTGAACACAAAACATCTTCATTCTGAGTATACAGATTTAATTAGTACCACAGTTTCATTCACCACGTAAGGCAGCGTGGCTATACAGAATTTTGGTAGTAGTGGTAGTAGTAGTCGTTTATTCAGTCAGGACAACACCAAATATTCAACACAATATTGGCATTTCACACTAAATCCAGAATCATGTGTTGAATATTGACTGAAAAGGCGTAGGCAGAAGCAGACTGCTTATAAACTTTTCAACTTTTTAGGCTACCGACCTCCAGAAAAGCAAAGAAACCACAACAACAGAAAATTAATCGCACTTATAAGCTTCAAAAATAGCTTTACAAACCATTTCCTTAAAAACCAAAAAAGAATGACATGTTTTAAATTTTTTCAAAAACATTTCTCAGCAAGAGTTTTCTTTTTGACTCATTTTCTCAGTTCAAGTTGGTACGCAGGATTCGTAGACACATATTCACGAGTGATGCTTTTTTGTATATTGGAAAAAAAAACAGAAATGCTCCATATTTGTTTCTTTTCTGACATTCAACCTGAAGCATGCAGAGTTTCACTAAAAACTTCTGTGAATAAACCCAGTGATTGGCTGGTAAGCTGGCAATTCACTGGTAAGTTTGTTGTCAAAAAGCTTTGAGGACAGGAACAGATGCATATATCTGCCATGTCTAAAAACGAGAGTTGAATTGCCACAAGTTCATGCTACTTGTGTACAACAACATTAATCGTATGACTTTTTTTGTAATGCTAAATGAGTCTGAGAAAAAAACTCTCTTTAGTTTGTAAGTTAGTCTTTTGAAAGAAGGTAACAAGGCAGTTTCAGAACATATGGCTATTTATGCAATAGGAAATTCAGTTAATTCTTGTTTAACAACTTGATAGAAATCAACCATTTCTTTCTCAACACCAAAGGGAGGAGGTGTTTTTTTAATCCCCCACTTCCCCTACACTTGTGGTGTTAGTGGCATGAACATAGTGTTGAAATAGTTCACACTTGGGCCTGCCACTGAGAGATAAGCGGCCATGAGTTAGTTTACCATCAACAAAAACTAATGTATAAACTTTGTTTCCCACACAAAGAGTCAGGATATCTGTTAATAACTTGCTTCTTCTTTGGGTTGTCAGATAGAAGCTCAATCTGGATCCCACTGCCTCGTGAGGTGTGCACACACATCAGATGAAGAGAGAAAATACTGTTCACCATGAGTTGATGTGAAACAGCAAAAGCGAAACAGCGTCACATTAACACATTGTTAAATTGGAGGAGGCCTCAGAGCACTTTTCACTTCGACAAACAACATGCGGTTCACATCATAGACTGTATAGACTGCATGATATACGGATGTAGTTTCAGTGGCATCACTCGTTTACTTCTGAACCAAACTTTGACATCTAATGGTGTCAGCAGCCATGTTGGAAATGCTGGCTTGACCTAACTCGTAGTTTGCCCCATGGCAGCTGTGACTACTACAGTAGTTTACCACCACCAGGGTGTGAGCGATTGAATGATGTATCCAATGTAAAACGCTTTAAGGTCACTGATAGAAAGCTCTATAAAAATTGATGCATAATTATTGTTATTATTGTTATCATTGTTGTTATTATTATTATTGTAATTATTAACCCTATTGCCGGGTGATTTTCACCCAAACAAACATGTTTACATGATTTTCATTAGCCTATGTTGCGTTTGTCTGAGGATCATGGGTCCCTGGTAGCTTCAGCTTTGACATCTTTGAAGGCAAATTTGTTTCCCTGATCTAAAACCTGCTTTTTCCTACAGGCATGTGTTGGGTCGATTTTCACCCAGCAATAGTGTTAGTGTATAAATGTAGGTGATCTTGCTGCATTTCAAGGCTGAAAACATTCAGGACTGCCATATTTACCCTCCCTTCCTCGACTACAGCTGTGATCCTGTTGCAGGGTTGATGTTTCTGGCATTCCAGCTATCGAGTAACACATAGTTAAGGTTTGTTTAACTTAGTAATTGTATAGAGATGATTTCGTTTTTTAGCTAGCTAGCTAATCAGCTTCTTGCATTCTTCCTTTCAGCCAAGTGCTACATTATCAAGCCGGCAGGTGAGGTTCAAGTGTGGATGGATTCCTTTAGTGCAGTATAAAGTATTTTGAATACTGTTGTCTGTAATGAAATTATTATGTTGTGATTGGATTAAATACTGTGTCTGAAGAGTACATTTCAATGGTTCAACTTAAAGAAAGTCAAAGTGACCCTAGAGTATGTACATTATAAGATATTTCATATTTATTTGTGTATTTTTTTATTTTTGGACATACAGTCATATCCTCTTCAGATATTAAAAATCTATTTTGTAGATGTACAAAAATATGATGTTTATAAGCCAAAGAAATGCACTGATAACAAACTTACAGACTTTACAACGTACAGGATAAAAATATATATCAAGAAAGCAAGCTGAATTGGAAAACCTCGAAGACATAAGATCTTAAGTTTTTTTCTGTACTTTTGCCAGAGACGTCTTTTTAATGACTTTTTTAATGACTCTGGTTTGTCTGAAACCCCTCAGTAATGGTTACAGACAACCTCACCACTCACATAAATGAGTCTGTGGAAAGAAGTTACGGCACATCTAGAACACCGTTTATGAAATCTTCTCTTCCTGTTGACAGTGTGACAAAATAGTTACTATCCTATGGCATGGGTGGACCACTGCCATTAGTGGAAGAACCGACTAAGAGGAAGAGAGTGCTTGTTGTGGGCAAATGAATTTATATGGATGGCTGTTTTTAATCATAAAAAGGTCGTACTTTTAACTCATAACAGGAGCTTCTTGTCCTTGAATCCACCATCACTACATTGACAGGAGGGGACAAGGGAGCAATCCGGTCAAGACATTCAATTCTATCACTAAAAATGCACCTTAAGTGTTTACATCATGCTTAGATTTCAAATATGTTTGTGCTGTAGTTTGAAGTTTGCCTCAAGTTTTTGTGTCTTTATCCCATCTGCTGAAATCTTTTTCTGTCTTTTCCCCCCACAGTAAACAGACCAGAGTCTAATTAACCAGACCCTTTTCTGTGGATTGATATAATCCAATCCAATCCAATCCAAGTTAATTTATGAAGCAAATTTTAAAAAACAAAACAAATATAATATAAATTAATATAATCAGAATTAGTCTGCAAGATTATGTGGTCATAGCTGTATCAAGAGCAATGATTTATACTTCACAACAGTGGCCTGCTCTGGAGAAATGGCGAATCATAGCTTTGGAGTATTGATCAATCAGCATCCAGAAAAGAATCAGGGTATCATAGGGGTCTCTAAAGTGCATGATGTTTACCGTGTTGTTTACCATGTTATCAGATCCATGCGGGCCTCTCCAAACTATTGCCGTTTTCCTGAGGCCTTAATGTTTCCTCCCTGGCAAGCTGCTGCATGGAGATGAATTAGTCTACTCAGAAACCTGTTTTGAACAGTAAATACATACTTCATACATATGAAAGGTTCAGTTATCATGTCAATTAAGGAAGCTCAACCACATTACAGTTGTTGCAATACAATAGGAAGTCTGAATTGTACTGAGTAACATGAGGAAGTTACACAGCAATGTGCTGGGTACAGTGTGGTTGTTACAAAAAAAGAGAATAATGTTTATGAGTAAGGAAATGGAAAACAATGTTAATTACATGTTTTTTAAGATTGGTTCAAAAGTCCATATATTTAAAAAATTATAGGAGTTGAGTTACGTCTGGGCTGGATGAATAGGATAACAGGGAGCGGTCAGTGTCTTTATGGTTGATTTTTTCCTGATCCCTTTGAACATGGATGTTATAGTTTTAACACCATACTTTAGTTTCACCTCAGCTATAATACACCATCTTTTCTCACTTTTCCTAATTGGCAGAAAATTCATCACTCCTTCTCTAACTCTTTTTTTTGTAGTATAAACTGGATACATATAGTTTGAGAGGTATGAACACAATAGTGAGAGTGCACAAATGCAGTAAAGAGGAAAACTGTTGAATATGTCTCAGCAAACCGTTATCTCCAAAGCTGTTAGCCACTGATGCCTTCAGCAGCATTTCACAACCATGACATGTTGACACTCTATTTCCACACATTTCCTGAGAGCTAGCTTTGCAGTTATCTTCCTTGTTTTGACTTCCTCTTCTCAGGGTTAAAGCTTAATGGTCAAACCAACTGTCTTGTTCAAAGTGTCATCATTGCGAACTCCCGTGACAGCCAGACAGGCGATGCCTTTCGACTCATCTGTGTCAAAATCAAAAGATCCAAACGCTCAGGTAAAGTCTCCTTTTTCAAATGTTGACAGAGCTCTGAGTGCATGTTGGTTGGTGTGTGGTCATATATATCTATATTTGAATTGTTAAAGATGTTTTGTCACTTAAATTGACAGGGACATCTTTGACTTGCTGAGATCAGGCCCCCCACTTAGTGTATTTGACAAGCTGAGTTTGACACTCTGTATCCGCGAGTGTCAGTTTGTCAAATACCCCAAGTGAGGTGTCACTTGTCTACAAACTGAACCAATCCTGGTTCACTCCACAGACTGAGCACCCAACTCTGCAGGGTGATCAACCAGATGAAGGCTAAAGGAAACACCAGCAGGCGAGGGGTGCTAGTGAAAGTTAAGGATATAAGCCAGGTTTTACTGAGGTTAAAGTAACAGTGAAGACCAACGAATACTCAGTATTCTACTGTTTTAATGTTGTCTGTGCTGTGGAAACCATGCATTATCTTGTTTTCCTGTGATAAGCAAATTTTGGTATTTTTCTTGAGATCTCAGCTTTACATCGGGTGATCATGACTCATATCCCAAGAGTTGCAAAAGGTGCATAACAAACACAGAAATAGTCTTAACTTACCTGATTAATGTGGGCAATGAAAGCATGGTATAAAGTGGATTAACTCATCACAGCAGCCAGCCTGTTGTTTTCTTTTCTAGTTGCAAGGAAATCACCCTTTTATCAAGGAAGGACGAGCGCTGATTTCTACAGAAAAAGAGAAAAATAATTTGTTGTAATGAGAAACCAGCCTTTTTTTATTCCATGTTAACAACAAAAATAAGTAAAGAGCTTGAGGAAACAATCAAGAGTAACTCACATGGAAATTGAGCATGTAAATGTATGGATGCATGTCCACTAAGGGCTTCCATAGTATGCAAATGACGTCCATAAGCCAGGGGTCAGGGCGCTTTTGGGGGGAAATGCCGTTATTCATGAATAAATAAATAAATAAAAATAAATGAATAAAAATGACGATTGTTTTAAAATGCCTGTTTTACTCATAATTTTTTAAAATATAAACCAAAATAATGATTGTAACCTTATGGACAGTTCTGTAACTACTTCGGCCCAAACATGGAGAGAAGTTACTTTAAAGTTTTTCAGTACTATTAAGATGACTTTATCATGTTTTTAGACTGTTGTATTCTTCTGTGTTGTTCTTATCTTCATTTCTGAAACTGCCTGGTGGTGTTTGTGCAGAGCTGTGAGCAACATCTAACCACCTTGAAGGACAGCAGAGGGCACTGGTCTCTGGCTCTGTTATTGTAGGAGTCATTGGCTGAAAAGTTTAGAAACTTCTGTCATACATATTTTTCAGTAAACATAGTTCTTGTTAAGTCCAGATAGATATTACTAAAGCCTAAATTAAAGAAAAAGAGAGTATATATAGAGTTTAGCCAGAGGGTTTATTAGCTGAATGAAACTTACTCTCATAAACCAAATCGGTTTTCCTTTCAAGATGTCAAAAGGAAAATCACTCGAGATCTCAAACACCATATACTGTTATTGTCTGTCACAATATAGCCATAACAATAAAAATGCTAACAATGAAAGTAAAAAATATCATAATAAAAAATTCTGCTATTGACTGATGACCATCGAATTTGAGTGGAATTTTCTATCTTGAAATGATCTCTTCTTGAATTTGAACTCTTTTTTGAATCAATCACTTTGGTTTTACATCTTCAGTTTCAAAATACACAACTTATTTGAAGGAACTTGAAGACCAAACTTGGTAGCTTTCTTACCCCTCACAAACTATTAAACTCTTGTATTTTGCTTTAAATGTCTTTATTTTGGATGTCATATCTGGATTTATCAGATAAATGTGGCTTACAGGAAATGTAGGGAGATGAAAATTTAAACGGACTCACTTAATCAGATATAAGATTTTGCAGTGCTAGCTTACATGCTGAGAGTGGCCAAGTAAAAGATAAAGTCAACTGTAACCCGGGACCTCACATGCCCTCAAGAATGAGCTTCATCTGTGCCACCTGATCTCTGTTTCTAACAGGCTAAGCTGCTGTAGGCAGAAGCTTTTTATCCAACTGACTTACTAAAGACAACACTTATCATCCTGCTTAACATTTCCTGTCCACATGGAGTTATTCTGCAACGCCGTAATGTGTAAGAACAAATGTGTTTGACATTCAAATACAATTAATGTCTGCATCCTCACTCATGGCCTGTAACTTCAGTTTGATCATTACATGCCAAATAATGCTTGTAATGAAATGTCACTGTGGAAAAAGTCTTTAAAAGTTGTAAATTGCTTGGTGTTGGTGGACTGCAAATACATCTATAAGTACTGTGTATCCTTTTTGTGTCTACTGTGCATCGTTGCAGGGGGAGGGTGGAAACACGTGATGATCTCAACTGTGTCTTGACTGCAGAAATAAAGCTTTCGATACTTTTGTGGTTCACATGTGACATCTGTCACTTTTGTTTGCCGTGCCTTAAAGTCATATGAACGGTGTGCTTTTGTGTTTCATTTAGTGTTTAAAAATGACTTTCTGACATGTTTTATTGTGTGAGGCTCTGCAGCTAAAAATGTTTCAAGTTTCTGTTACTGCTTCCCAGATAGCTTATTTTGAAGGTCATCCAAATGTCAAGTTGTTCTGCGGACTCACTGTAAGTAAGTCTCACCTTCAATGCTGTTGGAAATGTTCTAAAATGATCAGGAACAGGACTTCAAGAAACATCTCAAAGCTCTCTAAATCACTTGTGGTCTGTAAAAGGATACTTGACATTTTTATCAGATCAGTTTCAAATTAAACACACCACACAGATCAACTATGGATGAAGCCATGATAAACTCTCAGCTTGCTCAGACATTGAAAAATAAAGTTTTTGCTTTTAAAGTTTTCCCACTAAAAAAGAGCAATGGCCATCACTGCCAAATCACATATTACAGTACTTACTGTTAGACTGCATCTGTTTTTTTTAAGATGCAGTCAAAACTCTACCTGTGATAGGACTTGTTGTCAGTGGGGACTGCAGTAAAAAAGTTAACATGCCCTCAGACACTTCTCATCAAAAGTTTAAAAACGCAGACTCTAAACTAGCTTGTATATCTACTGTTTTAATCTGCACCCGCAATTCAGTAGTCATCAATTTGAGTTAAATGCACCTGTTTGGACAGCTCAGAATAATTTACAATGGGAAATTTCACCAATAGATGTGTCTGCTATGCTCATGTTTTTTTGCACGTGTTTCCACAGTTGCAGCACACACACTGTTTGCCCAGTATGTGGTAGTAGAGCTCTGTTATCTGTTTGGGTCCATACATGACATCAGTTCAGCATTTGGAAATGAACACTCAACATTTATTGGTGTATTTCCATCCTGACAAGTTCAGCTGATGAGACATATGTTGTTTGATATTATTAATGCATGCTTCAAGATTTTCTTATTAAAAAAACAAACAAACAAACAAAAAAAAAAACTCTCATTATGGGGTGCTCAAACTTGAAACCTGACTGAGCAAATTTTGAAGTTCCTCTGCCTGTACCATACTGATCAGCTTTCAAAGTCTGACAGCTTTGACATGGACAAAAATACAACCACACCAAAAAATATATTCATCATTTAGACACAGCTCAGGTGTTTCATCTCTACATTTTCAGAGCTCAGGGGTAGTGCAATTTGCTACTGAAAAAAATAACAAAAATACTGAGTGTTGTGCAATAATAGCCGACACCATCATTGTACCACAAGACAACTTCTCAGTCCTTTCTGTTTTGTCATATTGGTTAAAATTTACTGCGAAGGAGACGCACCCTGAACAAACCCATGATAAGGTGCCATGCACATACACAATAAGGATTTCTATCTCAACCATAGGTCGTGGGTGGAAATCTATTTAATCTCTTAGGCACACATCACTGTGTCACATTCACTCCACAAAAAATATCACCGCCACTCTGCAACAGCCTGAACTGTAGAAGAAAGTGAAGGAGGTGTTGTGGTGTCTGTGTCATGATCACCTTTATCTCTTGCTAAAGGAAGCGCCTTCGAGGCCTGTCTCAACATTATCACACCACCCAAACACAGGACAGTGTGAGTGTGAGGGATTTCCTGCAATGCTCCTTGCAATTACAATCAACGATGGTATCTATTTTACAGCATTGATACAAATACAAATATTTGATGTACATGTTGAAGCAACTTGATTTGGAGACTTGGAGAACACTCTAAATGAAGAGTCAGAAGTTTAGCATCATATCCAAATACAACTTCACTAACTGGAAATGTTATCCTTCAAAAGAAAGACATGTACACTTACCAGCAACTTTATTAGGTACACCTTGCTAGTACCAGGTTGGACCCCCTTTGCCTTCATAACTACCTTAATTCTTTGTGGCATACGTTCAACAAAGTGTTGGAAACTGAGATTTTTGTCCATATTAACATGACAGCATCACACAGGTGCCGCACATCCATGATCAGAGTCTCCCATTCCACCACATCCCAAAAGAGCTCTATTGGATTGAGATCTGGTGACTATAGAGGATTCTGGAGTACAGGGAAATCACTGTAGTGTTTTAAGAAACCAGTTTGAGATGATTTGAACTTGGTGCATTATCTGCTGGAAGTAGTCATCAGAAGATGGTATACTGTGGTCATAAAGGGATGAAAACGGTCAGCAATAATGCCCAGGTTGGTTATGGCATTTAAATGACTCAGTCCCCCACGTCGATATACCACCCCTGCCAGCCTGAACCACTGATACAAGGCAGGTTCGATGTTTTCATGTTGTTTACCCCAAATTCTGACCCTGCTATCTGAAAGGTTACAGCTGAAATTCATACTCATCAGACCAGGCAACATTTTTTCCAATAACATGTTGCGCACTTTTGGTGAGTCCGTGAGAATTTTAGCCTAGTTTTCTGGTCTTCTGCTGCTTTAGCCCACCTGCTTTAAGGTTATATGTGTTGTGTCTTCAGAGATGATATTCTACATTCCTTGGTCGTAACAAGTTATTTGACTTACTATTGCCTCTCTATTATCTCGTCTGCCCATTCTCCTCTGACTTCTGACATGAACTAAGGATTTTCATCCACACAACAGCCACACCCTGGCTGTTTCTCTTTTTCAGACTAATCTCTGTAAACCCAAAAGGTGGTCGTGCGTGAAAATCCTAGTAGATCAGCAGTTTCTGAAATATGAAGATCAACAACTACGCCACATTCAAAGTCACTTAAATCCCCTCTCTTCCCCATTCTGATCCTTGGTTCAGCAAGTCGTCTTGATCTTGTCTACACGCCTAAATGCACCAAGTTGCTGCTGTGTATTTGGCTGATTAGCTTTTTGTGTAAACAAGTAACTGAACAGGGGCCTATTCTATGAAGCAAGTTCAACCTAGTGAGGTAGCCTTGGAGCTACCTCGCTCAACTTAGCGCAGGAGCCAGCGGTCTCGCTAAACAGTCTTGGGTGATAATGGCATCAAAGATTTTTTGCGCATTATATTATGCATTGAGACTGTCGGCAATTTTCTGCCAGCAATTCTTCCGTGCTTTTGCAGCTGCGAAAATGTTGCTTTTGAGGTTTATGATAGATTTGAATTCTTCATACTTTCTCATGATCGTCTCCTGCTCCTCGTTTGTAAAGTCCGCGGTCCTTCGCTCTCCGGCCTGCTCTGACGCTCCAGACTGGTTCATGTTCGCGATTGGTCAGATGCGGCGGGCTCCGCTTTACATGCTTGCACGCGCTCATAGCAAAGCTGGATCCACTTACGAGGTTGATTACCAGCGTCGTAAGACTGTTTAGCGAGACCAATGGCTACCTTGCTAGGTTGAATTGCTTCGTAGAATAGGCCCCAGATTAGCCGTTCAGCGTACGTTGCCATGGAGACTCGCCTCGCTAAGAAGTGAACCCACATCGTGGAACAGGAAACCCCGAACTTTCCCTCGGAGTTACCTCGCTAAGCAGTAATCCTGCTTCGTAGAACAGGCCCCAGGTGTGCTTAAGTTGGCAGTGAGTGTATGTTGTGTATGCATGATCATATTTTGATTACCAAAAACTTGCTCGGCAATGAGATACACTTTACCTTTAGTTTTTCTCTTCATCTTAGTGGTCCACTTAGAGACAATGAACATTAGGACGTTTTCATCCCTTTATATAAAAAAAACAACAACCAGGACAGGGTGTGAAAAATAGGACGATTGGTCACTCTATGTCTATGAAATCACTAAAAAAGATAAAATATGGCAACTATCTTCAAATAAGGATGTAACTTTAATTAGTTCAGTTAAGAATATCTGCTTAGTGTCATTGCAACATTGCAAATGACATTACACAAATTTTTTTTTACCTTGGTCAACCACTGCTGAGACCCAAAACACAAAAGGTTCATGAAATGATACAACACGACATGACATCCTCTCTGTGGTTTTGAAATGACAGTTTAGTGTGTTTATTCTGTGTGACAGTAGATATTTATTGATGAAGTGAACCATGTAATGTGAGCTATAATTAAAGGATCCTGTTGGCTCTTTGAAATATGTCAGACAGCATACCTGGTGTATCACTATTCAGCAGAATCAGTGACTGTGGATCAGAGGTGTCTATTGTGTTTCCTGTAACTCTGTGTTTCACATGCTACAAAACAACAAGGATGCTCATCATGCTGCAGAGCTTTATGTCATTTCAATTTAAACACTCATGAACAAGTGACCCAGGTAGAGGGCGAAATGATAAAAGTACAATGATAAGATTTTGCAGGATCAAAGAGTTGATTTCTGTTGGTCATGAACTCCATGTAAAGAGGCTGTAGCCCTCTTTGTGCTTGTTGAAAGATCTTTTCCCTCTTCAAATAGAAATCAAAAATGAACTGGTTATAACTATATATTATAATTATTCAAATTCTGAAAAGGCTTGTTATAAAAAAAATTACACTAAATTATCCTGTCTCCAAAGAAGCAGCTCTTAGGCTGAACAGCTGACTTTGACAGTGAAGCAAAAGGGAGGCAAAAAAAAATACCTCAATCAGGTACCCTACAGAGTGATGTTGTGCCAGTTATATTCAATGATACAGTGGTCAGTGTTAGACTGGATTGGACATGTACCAAACAAAGCAGGTATCTTGGCCCTAAAAAGCTTGGTCATCTCCTGTTAGTCACTTTTTGTCATTACCAAAGCATTTGAGGTTGGGATCATTTACACTGTGCCACATAAAATATATTTTCTCTGAAAGAAATCTGTGGACCAGTAAAAGCTCTTTATAAAAACAAGGGTCATAATCGTCCACATGTTCAGAGCGAAAGTGCACTCCAAATGTTTTCACCCCGCCATGTAAACTGGGACTAAGTCCTGCTTTGTTTAGACACATTCCCATGTAAGCATCATCAATAGGAATAAGAGGGATGGACTTGGACATGTTGTATATGACTGAAGCAGTGTAACCAGACATTATGAAGCCCCCACCACTACAATAGGGGGGGTACTCATTTGACTCATACAACTGAACTGGAACAAAATACTTGTTCCCTGAGTCTCTAACAGGCCCAGTCCATACCTGACAGCCAGCAAAGAGGTGCTTGCTTCCATCGTTGTCCTTAAGGCTTTGGAGATACTTGACCACATTATTTGTGTTCACAAATACATCATCGTCACCATCTAACAGGAAGCGTGCCTTTGGACAGTTTCTTTCAAACCACTCCAGGAAGATTACCTGCTTCAAGGTGAGGTTGCAGAATGTGTCGGTAAAGTCCCATTGAAGTATGTCTTTGTACTGACTGTGTTCCAGCTCAACAACTTTGTTCAGTCTTTTCCTCTCAAAACCAGAGCCTGTCGTTCCTATGAGGAAAATCAGTCTGATCCACACTCCACTCTGTATCCTCTCTTTGGCCCAGGTCTTACGAAGCATTTCTCGGCGTTCGTGGTTTTCTGGGCCACTTTTGATGACCAGCAGAAGGAAGACTTCAGAGGATTGATCAGCTCCTCCACATTTGTTTGGAAGGTCCAGGAGCAAGGGAAAATGTCGACAGTGTTGATAGTACAGGAAGTCTTGCATATGTTCAGGAAGTGAGCTGAAGCTTTGGATGCTGGCAGCAGACATGTTTCGTTCACAACTTGACAAGGAGACCTTTTGAGGGGTATTTTGGGCAAGTGTTGATGCTCCACTGTTACTTAGTCCTTTATATGGATGAACTATTTCATGGTCAATGAGCTCTAAGTAGACGTAAAAACCCATGAGAAAAACTGCCACCAGCAGCAGAGTCCCAATACTGACTCCTTTCTCTAGTAACCTGTGGTGACAAAACAGAAAAGTTTAACTACCAACTTACCTCAATTGAACAATTGGAATTCCAAACATCTCAATCACTCATTGGACCCACACAGTTTGAGCACATAAATAGCAAGCTTTGGTCATGCATCTCACATGATTATTAGAGTGTGACTTACATTTGCACCACAACGTTTTAAAGTTTGTAGTGTTTGACTGCACGCTGCACTTACCCCTAATACTTCATTTTAAAAAGCAGGTGAGAGGACAAAGGCAAGAACTTGTCAAGAGGTGTTACAAAGAGTACAGGGAGGGCTAAGCCAGGCCAAGACCCTGTTAAGGCTGGAGCCCACTAATGTCCAGTTCTGGGTTGTAGGGTTTGGCTGTGCACACCACCCTGCCCCCCTTTCCCTATTCAAATGACAAGTTTGAGCTTCTACTTCTCCCCTGTGAATTTTAGTTTAAAAATCATGTTTGATTAATCAATATTATTCCAAAGTAATTGATAAGATGTTACGCTTCACTGACCTAATTAAAAACATTTTTGTTAACATCCAGTTGGTCAATACTCTAATAATCATAATAATATAATACTAATCATGATAATAATTATAATAATAAGAACTTCCCCGAGGGAAAATTCAATGATAATGATTATCAATAATAGTAATTATCAGTAACAATAACAATCAATAATAATGATTATTATTACCTGGCCATATTAGCAGATCATTTCAAGCTCTTGATGAATCCCTTTGGTAGTCAGCAGTCTATGCATGCACATTGCAGCAGGACACAGGATGCCTCTGTGTGAGCCAAAAACTCACACAGGAACTTATCTAAACAGACTGACATTATACCTTCCACTGCAACATCAGACTATTTAACTGTCATGTGACTATCATAATTATAGCCTTTGTATTTAGTCTGCGTCAACCCTAGACTTAACTGGATAACCATAAATGTGAACAAACTCAAAAATTCAAATGCCTCTGAATTCTGCTCTGAATGTTCAAACACTTTTCAACACACAGCTCACGTATGTTTTTTAACTGTTAGTGTATGACACCAGTTGTCATAATCTGAACCTAAAAGCAGAACTGGAAGCAGATGAAGCATCAAAGTGAATTTATTGATCAGGGGAAGAAGGGGGGAAGGGATCCAGTGTTGGTGGCAGAAGTAGGTGAGTGAATCCGGAGAGAGTGTGGCAGCATGGCAGAGATTGGGCAAGTGCACTGGGGCTAGCAGAGGCACTGGAAAAGAAGAGGAACAAATAGTGAGTCACAGGTAAAACACAGAAGCTTGCAATGTTCAACTTGTGGCAAAAGTCAAGAAAAATACAGCAGAGCTGGCCAATGTACCACATGAGGTGCAGGGATAATTTGGCACTGGAGAGGCATCAGGGCAAAGCTAAAGAGCTGCTGGTGATTGTAGAGATTTGGCGCAGAAGAAGCCATTGCTGGAGGGAACCGCCCAATCTCAGTGAAGAGAAAACACACAGGCTCCACACTTGTAACAAATCCAGAGTTTCACCGAAATGGAAACCACATATGTTACAATCACCACATTAATGTCAGTTACAGGTGTTATTTGTCAGTTTTTAGTGACTGTGAAGCAAATAAAACTACATATTAAACATGTAAGCAGGCTGAAGTTAACAAAGGCTAAACGTGAAGAATCATTCCTTCAATTTTGGTCGTTTTAGGAATATAATGCTTATCCTGCATTCATTGGTCTTACAATGTGACATGTTTATTATCAAATTGTACTTTGATCAAAGTTAAGGTGAAACAGTTGCGCTTGTCAATACAACTTGATGGCAGTTGACATGACCAGAGATAAATAAGACCTCAAATACAATACATACATTCTCATAAATATATACTTTTGGTCCAACTTTGAGACTTTAATGGGAAAATTTAATATTTTTTGTTAAGAAACATATTTAGTCAACAAAACTTGGTATAATTGTCAGAGAAACTTTTTATTTTTTTGCTTGGTAGTCATTGGAGGGACTAGTGAGCTTTGTATCCTGAACTAGTAGCTTTGACATTACTAAACTACAATAATGGTCATAACTCAAAATATTCCAGGAAACTACTTTCTATTTAAAGTTTAAGTTTATCATTTTTGCCAGTGATATTTATGAAAATAAACAACAGAATCGTGTACATGCTGACCAGATTTGAGTTGGACTATTTTTTTGTGTTTGTTGGAGATCAGAAAGGGTCAGAATTTTGGCAACACATTCAAACAAAACATCACTCATTGTAAATATCATCCTCTCAAAGCAGGTTTATTGATATGAAAACACAAATAAACACAAATCACATTAACGTTTAGAAATTAAAAACAGGTGTGATATAGTCCCCATCCTCATATAAGGTTGTAAGTTTAATTGATTCAATTGAAAAAATAAGAAAATAAAATTATAACACATTAACTAGACTTCTTTTAGCACACTAATCACCAAGGTGTCAGTACTCTTGTTTGATGTAACAAGAGTTCTTAGTAATGGTAATTTACTCATATCAGCAATCCTAGAATGGCTAAAGTGATTTTTCAGTCTTGTATTTTACACAGCAGCTAGATGATGCTAGTAATTAATTAAATGGCTATAATGAATACTTAATTCTGATTGGTTACAGGACATGGCTGTTAGTGACAATGAGGACGCAGAAACCCTCAATCAGGTACCCTGCAGAGTGATGTTATGTTATGTGAGTTATATTCAATGATACAGTGGTCAATGTTAGATTGGATTGGACATGTAACAAACAAAGCAGGTATCTTGGCCCTAAAAAGCTTGGTCATCTCCTGTTAGTCACTTTTTGTCATTACCAAAGCATTTGAGGTTGGGATCATTTACACTGTGCCACATAAAATATGTTTTCTCTGAAAGAAATCTGTGGACCAGTAAAAGCTCTTTATAAAAACAAGGGTCATAATCGTCCACACGTTCAGAGGGAAAGTGCAGTCCAAATGTTTTCACCCCGCCATGTAAACTGGTAGTAAGTCCTGCTTTTTTTAGACACATTCCCATGTAAACATCATCAATAGGAATCAGAGGGATGGACTTGGACATGTTGTATATGACCGAAGCAGTGTAACCAGACATTATGAAGCCCCCACCACTACAATAGGGGGGGTACACGTTTGACTCATACAACTGAACTGGAACAAAATACTTGCTCCATGAGTCTCTAGAAGGCCCACCCCCTGTCTGACAGCCAGCAAAAAGGTGCTTGCTTCCATCGTTGTCCTTCAGGCTTTGGAGATACTTGACCACATTATTTGTGTTCACAAAAACATCATCGTCACCATCTAACAGGAAGCGTGCCTTTGGACAGTTTCTTTCAAACCACTCCAGGAAGATTACCTGCTTCAAGGTGAGGTTGCAGAATGTGTCGGTAAAGTCCCATTGAAGTATGTCCTTGTACTGACTGTGTTCCAGCTCAACAACTTTGTTCAGTCTTTTCCTCTCAAAACCAGAGCCTGTCGTTCCTATGAGGAAAATCAGTCTGATCCACACTCCACTCTGTATCCTCTCTTTGGCCCAGGTCTTACGAAGCATTTCTCGGCGTTCGTGGTTTTCTGGGCCACTTTTGATGACCAGCAGAAGGAAGACTTCAGAGGATTGATCAGCTCCTCCACATTTGTTTGGAAGGTCCAGGAGCAAGGGAAAATGTCGACAGTGTTGATAGTACAGGTAGTCTTGCATATGTTCAGGAAGTGAGCTGAAGCTTTGGATGCTGGCAGCAGACATGTTTCGTTCACAACTTGACAAGGAGACCTTTTGAGGGGTATTTTGGGCAAGTGTTGATGCTCCACTGTCACTTAGTCCTTTATATGGATGAACTATTTCATGGTCAATGAGCTCTAAGTAGACGTAAGAACCCATGAGAAAAACTGCCACCAGCAGCAGAGTCCCAATACTGACTCCTTTCTCTAATAACCTGTGGTGACAAAACAGAAAAGTTTAACTACCAACTTACCTCAATTGAACAATTGGAATTCCAAACATCTCAATCACTCATTGGACCCACACAGTTTGAGCACATAAATAGCAAGCTTTGGTCATGCATCTCACATGATTATTAGAGTGTGACTTACATTTGCACCACAACGTTTTAAAATCTGTACAGTGTTTGACTGCACGCTGCACTTTCCCGTAATACTTCATTTTAAGAAGCAGGAGAGTGGACAAAGGCAAGAATTTGTCAAGAGGTGTTACAAAGAGTACAGGGAGGGCTGAGCCAGGCCAAGACCCTGTTAAGGCTGGAGCCCACTAATGTCCAGTTCTGGGTTGTAGGGTTTGGCAGTGCACACTACCCTGCCCCCCTTCCCTATTCAAATGACAAGCTTGGTTCCTCTTGAGGAGACAAATCCTTCAGATGTCTTGGTGCGCCTAGGTTACCACTACCATTTCTTCCCACCCCTCCACCAGTGACAACAGAGTCAAAGATTGCAATAGCATACTCATGCTGGTAAAGACTCTGGTTCCTGCTCCAGACAGACTTCTTAGGTCATTTTCATTCAATCAGTGATTCAAAAAGTGAGCTCCTACTGCTTCCCTTTCAATTTTAGTTAAGATATAATGTTTGATTAAGCATTATTATTTCAGAGTAATTTATAAAATATTAAGCTCCATTGACTTAATAAAAACGTTTTTTTAACATCCAGTTGATCAGTACTATAATCCTAATAATAATACTGATCACGAAAATAATGAGAATAATGATTATTATTACCTGGCCATAGTAGCAGATCAATTCAAGCTCTTGATGAATCCCTTTGGTAGTCAGCAGTCAATGTATGCACACTGCAGCAGCACACAGGATGCCTCTGTGTGAGCCAAAAACTCACATAGGAACTTATCTAAACAGACTGACATTATATCTTCCACGGCAACATCAGACTATTTAACAGTCATGTGACTATCATAATTATAGCCTTTGTATTGCATCAACCCTAGACTTAACCGGATAACCATAAATGTGAACAAACTCAGTTATATTTATATATATTTATATATATATATATAGTTTATTAAAAATTCAAATGCCTGTGAGTTCTGCTCTAAATGTTTTGTATTTAGTGGTAATAATGTGGTGCTGTGTCAGTGTCCCACAAACCCATATTCCAATGAAATTAAGACATTGTGTACAATGTGAATACAAACAGAACACAAGGCTTTTTAGATTCCCCTTTCCCTCATACAGTTGAATACACTACGAAGTCAAAATATTTAACGTTCAAACTTATAAACTTTTTTATTTTTTTTAAATATTTGCTCATTCCCAGTTGTTATCCAGATATTCAATGAATTTGGGAGGTTCTCTGGAAATGAAATTATTATAATTACTTATTGACCCGCTCAGAGGTTGGGTTTGATGTAATGACATTAGCAATTTTAAAATTTGAGATCTCTTTGCAGGTGGCTGTAGATATCCGGTTACACCTCCACCATTACCTCTAAAATTCCTTGGAGGAAAGATTTAGGGTCTCACCCTAAAGACAAGACTTGGAGAAAGATCTTTTTTAATGCAAAAAAACAAAACAAAAAAACATGTTCTAATAAATCCTGTGATTTCTTCTCACTATAAGATCATTTATCGGCTGCATGTGACTCCGCCACTAGATGTAAATATGATCCTTTGTGCTCACTGTTACGTCAAAAATGTAGAAATATTTGTGGCTCGTATGCCCATCTTTTAAGGATATGTCCTAAAAATAATATTTTCTGGGGATCAGTCCAAAGTAAGTGAAAGAAAGTTTTTGGCTTTGATATACCTCTAACTCCTTACCACTTTGTTTTAGGACTGAATATAAATTGTGAACTTAAGTGCAAGTACATTTTCCATTATATGCTGGACGCCTTGTAATATTACATAAATGGTTAGAAGAAGAGCCCCCAGGTATTTCTTTATGGTACGATTAACTTATGTCTGTCTTGCCATTGGAAAGATTATAACATAAAAAGAGAAAAACATGGACACAACCCATGGTGTGGGAAAACTTTACCAAGACTGAAAAGGAAGGCGTTCAGTGCAACATTTGCAAAGACCGTTTTGCATGGCACGGGAATAAATCGATGATGCGTGAGCACAGGGCTCTCAAGTCTCACGCATTCAGCGTATGACACACGCATTCCCACTCGTTCACACGCTCACACACCACACATTGTATTTCTCACGCATTTAAATGAACATGGTGATGTCCACCAAGTTGCACTTCTTTAACTATGGAACAGGGGGAAATCAACTGAGTTTCTCTGAGAGTTCAGAAGCTGCGTGCCACGCGCAAGCCAATCAAATAAAGTATATCTACTGAACAGCCAATCAAAAAGCAGCATTGCTGTATCCGGGTAGATTTTGACATCTTGCGGTTTGACTACAGAAGAAGACAGACACTCGCCGAAATAGAGCAGGTTTTTATAAGGACGAGATAGACCCAATGATTACAGCAAGTCAGTAACCTACACACGCAGAGACCTCTACACCTCATGGCAGATAAACTCATATGAAAAACTAAAGCCCTATGCTATTGCTATTAACAGCTGCATTGATGAATTTAGCCTGTTTATCCGATTAATCGATTAGTTATTAAAATAGTCGACAGATTAATCGATTATCAAAATAATCGTTAGTTGCAGCCCTACTGTATAGTGTAGGAGATTACAGAACATTCTAACAAAACATTAACTAATTACTTAAAACACTAACAGCAGAGACGCTACACTGCCCCCCCCCCCCCCCTTTACTGAATCCCTCACCTTGAGGGATTACACAAAAAGTCTCTGAGGTAACGGGGGGGGTCTTTTCTGTCTCTGGGGCCTCCTTATAGTGGACACAACGGGCTGTGTCTGCAGTCCTGCAGTACCTTGTGGCTGAGCAGGGGATGGGTTTAGGGGTGAGGGGGAATGTGGGGAGTTAGAAGGGGAAACAGTCCATGGGTCTGGGGGTGTGGCTGCTCTGTTTCTCTGGGGGGATTCCAGGGGTCCAGGGTGTTGAAATGGGTGTGCATCGCCTCTGTATGGAGCAAGCCTATTTCTGTGAAGGGCCAGCTGTCTTCCCCGAGGTGGTAGCTGGCCCTGTACACCACTTACCCCAGCTTTTCCAACACTTCACACGGCCCCACCCAGTTGCAATCCAGCTTAGGGCACTGACCCTTCTTCTTCTTTGGGCTGTACACCCAAACTAGGTGACCAGCCCCAAAGTCTTTCCCTTTGGCCCTCATGTCATAGTTCTGCCTCTGTCTTATCCCTGCTTTTTTTAGCTGATCATGGGCAAATGCATGGGCTGACTCCATCCTGTCTTGAAGCTGCCTGGCATATTCTGGTCCTGGCAGAATCGTCTGTGCATCGGGGGTTTCCCAAAGGCCATTTCTGCCAGGGTCCGCAGTTCTCGTCCAAACATAAGCAGGGCAGGTGTACGTGATATGAGGTCCTGTACAGCAGACCTGTAGGCCAACAAGACAAGTGGGAGGTGCATGTCCCAGTCCTGCTGGTGCTCTGCAGTGAGGATGGCAAGTTGTTTTGCTAGGGTTCAACTCATTGAACTGCTCAATGAGTCCATCACTCTGAGGATGTAAAGGTGTAGTCCATGTTTTTGCATTCCTAGGCGCTCACACATGGCAGCAAAAACAGCTGACTCAAAGTTCCTTCCCTGATCACTATGAATCATCTCAGCTGCCCCAAATCTAGAAAACATGCCCTCGACCAGCATATCAGCAACAGTCTCTGCCTCCTGGTCTTGTGTCGTGTACACCTCAGGCCATTTTGTATAGTAGTCCATAGCAACCAGAACATTGTGGTCCATTTGTCTGTGCAAGGGATTGAACCCATAATGTCGACTGCTACTCTCTCCATCAGGGCCCCTACTGCCATCTGCTGGAGCTGGGCATGATCTGGAGGACCTTTGTGCACTATGCAGGGGTCACAACAGTAGCAAAAGTCCTCATCATCTCTCCTGAGCGGACCTCAGTAAAAGCTCTGTCTGAGGGTCTTGGAGACTCCAAAATGCCCCACTCCTGGGGCCTCATGTATCAACACTTGCGTGGAACTCATACCAGAAACGAGCGCCGAAATTCACGTGTGTTTCCTTGATAAATCCCAATCAGCGTGGAATTGAGCGCAGATGTCGGAGTGACTGGGCCTGTCCCCGTTACGCCCTCCTATAAATATGCAGATTTATTTAAATAGGGTCTCCCTGTCCTCGCACGCAGACAAAATGACAAGAAAAACTAAATTTACGGCGTGCGAGGTGGAGGTGCTGGTGGCGGAGGTGGAGGAGCGACAGCGTGTTTTGTTTGGCAGCCTGTCCAGTGGCGTCAGTGCAAAACAAAAACGCTTGGAGTGGGAGAAAGTTTGCGAGAGGGTGAATGCGGTGGGTTCCGAGACACGCACCCCCGCGGAGATTAAAAAAGGGGTCGGACCTCAAGGTGGAGGTCAAGCGGCGTACAGCTGCCCTCCGGAGGAGTACTGGACAGACAGGTGGGGGTCCGGGGGAGGAGACCCTCACGCCGTTTGAGCAGCGGGTGGTGGTGATTATTATTATAGGGTAAGTGGCGTGTCACACAAATGTCCACATGCTTTGCCATCCCACTGAGCAAAAGACGTATATTAGACGTCTAGTCTAAGTTTATACTTCATTTTAACGTCGGGATTCAGTCTATTTTTAGACGTGATTTATACTTCGCCCTTAACTTCATTTTTCGATAACTTTTTATGCAATAAACAACTGTAATGTGCATAACTGACCTCGAAATACTGGATTACATTACCTATGATACCGTGGAGAGAGATGTAAACGCAACAGATACACAGAAGCAGGAATTGAAATGAACAAATATTTTTATTGTGTCACAGAAATCAGTATGTCGGCCGTGTCGCCGGCTTGCGGAACCCCGGCCCGCGGCAGCCCGTCCGCCGGCTCGGAGTCGTCGGCCAGGACCAGCGGCATTCGGGCCACCCCGGCCCCCGGCCCCAGCACCAGCACCAGCATCAGCACCAGCACGCCGACAAGCGGTGGAGCGTCCACCAGCCGCGGCGTTTCCGCTGGACCACCCGGACGCAGTGGAAGGGTCCTCGCGGAGGGGGTCCTGCAATCGCAGGAAGAAATCATCAGGGGGATCGCGGGGATCAACGAGCGGCTGGACCGGCTCGTCAATGTCCTCGAGCGTCTGGTGGCGAAAATAAATTCATTTGGCTCATTGAACTGTGTATTCACTTCTTACCCATTCACACTGTGGCGATGAGATTCTCCCGCGCGAGGACGGCGGCCCGGCAGGGATCAGCTGGCATCCCTCCGTCTGCTGCTGGTTCGTCATGTGGGGCGACGTGCTGCTCGGCCACGGGGATGTGGTGCACGCTTGTCACATAGTGAGTCACCAAACACCGCCACACAGCGTCGCCAAAGTGCGAATCACAGTCAACGCAAGTATCAGCTCAACGCCAATTTCTACACCACCTCCTGACTTTGCGTTGATTAGCGCTGGAACCGACGGTTGTTTCGCGATGATAAATCTGGACGTGTGCGCCGATTTTGGGGTACGCAAGGTTTTCTTGCGCCGCAAGCGTTGATACATGAGGCCCCTGGTGTTCTGTTACAGGCTTTCAACACTCTCTCTCAGGGCTCTGGGGACCACCACTTGCCACTTATCCTCACTTACCCGTAGCTTGCTCTTTCCAGGTTCTCTGAAGCACCCCACCCTTCACTCTGAGTGCATTAAACTTTTCGAACAGTCTTTTAGTGGCATGTAAGAACCTAGAGACCTTGTACCATTGAGGTTTTCACCCAGACTCCACCCACTATAGCACTGATTGGAGGTCGGCGTCCTGCTCCTGTTGCACTCTCCATTCATCTGCATTGACAACCTGCGCTACTTTGCAGACTGGCCGCTCTCGGTTCTACATGGGGTCCAGCCCCTCGTTGGTGCAAAGTTCCTCCTCCCGAACCTCCCTTTTCTCACAGCACTGACAGCCGCCAGGAGCACAGGGGTGCGGGGGTATGGTGCCAGTTCTTCCAGCCAGTGTGCGATCTGCCCCTCCGGCTCCTTAAAAGATAATTACCACTGGAGGGTGGTATGGTCAGTTCAGACAGTGAAGGGCAGGCCACACAAGTAGTACTTGAAATGGCTTATTGCTCTCACTATACACAGTATCGCTGTTCAGCCTTGTTGAACGTTCTACTGAAGTAAGCCACCACCTTCTCCCCCTCCAACTGGCTTAACACTGCTCCCATCCCAACATTGCTGGCATCTGTGTCCTGGGGGAACAGCAGGTTGGGGTCTGGCGGTGTGAGGATGGGAGATTCTGTCGAGGCTTTCTTAAGACTGTTGAAAGCTTGCTCACAGTCAGGGGTCCAGGCAAAGTCTCTGTCTCTGTGCTGCAGGCGAAACAGGGGTGCAGCAATAGAGAAGTTGTGCACAAACCGCCTGTAATAGGATGCCAGTCCAATTAAGCTCTACAGTTCTACAGGTTGGAGGGGGGTTGGCCAGTCCTTCACTGCCTGCACTTTTTCAACCAGTGTGCTGATACCTTCACCCCTGATCTTGTGCCCCAAGCACTCCAGCTCCCTTCTCATGAAGTAGCACTTCTCCGGTTGGAATTTCAGCCCTGCCGCCGCTATCCATTGTAGAGTCCTGTTCAGGGACACCAAAGCTGCCACAAAGGAGCTTGCGTGGACCAGGAGATCATCCAAATAGACCAAAAATTCCTGTCGGGAATGCAGTGATTTGGCACAGAAGAAGCCATTGCAGAAGGGGACCACCCAATCTCAATGAAGGGAAAACACACAGGCTGCACACAAGTAACAAATCCAGAGTTTCACCGAAATAGAAACCACATATGTCACAATCACCAGATTAATGTCAGTTACAGGTGTTATTTGTCAGTTTTTAGTGACTGTGAAGCAAATATAACTACATATTAAAACATGTAAGCAGTTAACAAAGGCTAAATGTGAAGAATGATTCCTTCAATTTTGTTTTTTGATAATGCTTATCCTGAATTCATTGGTCTTACAATGTGACATGTTTATTATCAAATTGTACTTTGATCAAAGTTAAGGTGAAACAGTTGCGCTTCTCAATACAACTTGATGGCAGTTGACATGACCAGAGATAAATAAGAGCTCAAATACAGTATATACATTCTCATAAATGCATACTTTTGGTCCAACTTTGAGACTTTGTTGGGAAAATATAATATTTTTTGTCAAGAAACATATTTAGTCAACAAAACTTTGTATAATTGTCAGAGAAACTTTTTCTTTTTTTGCTTGGTAGTCATTGGAGGGACTAGTGAGCTTTGTATCCTGAACTAGTATCTTTGACACTACTAAACTACAATAGTGGTCATAACTCAAAATATTCCAGAAAACTACTTTCTATTTAAAGTTTAAGTTTATCACTTTTGCCAGTGATATTTATGAAAATAAACAAAAGGAATCGTGTACATGCTCACCAAATTTGAGTCAGACTATTTTTGTGTGTGTTGGAGATCAGAAAGGGTCAGAATTTTTGCAACACATTCAAACAAAACATCACTCATTGTAAATATCATCCTCTCAAAGCAGGTTTATTGATATGAAAACACAAATAAACACAAATGACAATAACGTTTAGAAACTTAAAACAGGTGTGCTATAGTCCCCATCCTCATATAAAGGTTTTAAGTTTTTATTGATATGAAAACACAAATAAACACACATCACATTAACGTTTAGATCCTCATATAAGGTTGTAAGTTTAATTGATTCAATTGAAAAAATAAAGATTTTTTTTTTATCCTGATCAACTACTGCTGAGAACCAAAACAGAAAAAAAAATAGTAAAATGATGCAACACAAAACAGTATTTAATAGTTTATAGTGTTCAAAGACTTCAAGAAATGAACCGAAACATGACATCAACTTTGTGGTTTTGAAATGAAAGTTTTTTGTGTTTATTCTGTGTGACAGTAGATATTTATTGATGAAGTGAACCATGTAATATGAGCTATAATTAAAGGATCCTGTTGGCTCTTTGAAATATGTCAGACAGCATACCTGGTGTATCATTACTCAGCAGTATCTCTGACTCCACTGTGTTTCCAATGTTACTACGCAACAAGCACTGAACTAAGGATTTTAGTTTAATCCAAACTGCTGGCTCAAACAGTTGTATCTGTATCTCCTTAAACAATCAAGATAAGGACAGATGATGACGGATACACCTGTTTTTAATCTGCAAACATTGGTAGTTGACAGTACAAGAGGAAACATAAGTAAAGAACACTCAGGAATGTTACACCTAGGCCACGCCATCAAACTGGTATACTTGGCTGCTGTATTTAAGATTTAACAGGTGATAATGAAAAAGCCCAAAGTGACATGTTCTCCAGAATCAAGCAACAAAACTGAGTTTTATTTTTGTGTCACTGTGGAAATGGGAAAGTTTTTTTGTTATGTTATTTTTATTTTTTTGTATTTTAACAAATTTTAAAAATGCTTTTTATCATTGCTTTGATCTCTTGTTGTTTTATTTTCATAAAGAAAAGAAAATTATAACACATTAACCAGACTTCTTTTAGCAGACTAATCACCAAGGTGTCAGTACTCTTGTTTGATGAAACAAGAGTTCTTAGTAATGGTTATTTACTCATATCAGCAATCCAAAGAATGGCTAAAGTGATCGTTCAGTCTTGTATTTTACACAGCAGTTTGATTATGCTAGTAATTAAGTGAATGGCTATAATGAATACTTGATTCTGATTGGTTACAGGACATGGCTGTTAGTGAAAATGAGGATGCAGAAACCCTCAATCAGGTACCCTGTAGAGTGATGTTACGCGAGTTATATTCAATCATACAGTGGTCAATGTTAGACTGGATTGGACATGTACCAAACGAATCAGGTATCTTGGCCCCAAAAAGCTTGGTCATCTCCTGTTAGTCACTTTTTGTCATTACCAAAGCATTTGAGGTTGGGATCATTTACACTGTGCCACATAAAATATATTTTCTCTGAAAGAAATCTGTGGACCAGTAAAAGCTCTTTATAAAAACAAGGGTCATATTCATCCACATGTTCAGAGCGAAAGTGCACTCCAAATGTTTTCACCCCTCGATGAAAACTGGGACTAAGTCCTGCTTTGTTTAGACACATTCCCATGTAAGCATCATCAATAGGAATAAGAGGGATGGACTTGGACATGTTGTATATGACCGAAGCAGTGTAACCAGACAGTATGTAGCCCCCACCACTACAATAGGGGGGGTACTCATTTGACTCAAACAACTGAACTGGAACAAAATACTTGCTCCATGAGTCTCTAACAGGCCCACCCCCTGTCTCACAGCCAGCAAAAAGGTGCTTGCTTCCATCGTTGTCCTTAAGGCTTTGGAGATACTTGACCACATTATTTGTGTTCACAAAAACATCATCGTCACCATCTAACAGGAAGCGTGCCTTTGGACAGTTTCTTTTAAACCACTCCAGAAAGATTACCTGCTTCAAGGTGAGGTTGTAGAATGTGTCGGTAAAGTCCCATTGAAGTATGTCTTTGTACTGACTGTGCTCCAGCTCAACAACTTTGTTCAGTCTTTTCCTCTCAAAACCAGAGCCTGTTGTTCCAACAAGGAAAATCAGTCTGATCCACACTCCACTCTGTAACCTCTCTTTGGCCCAGGTCTTACGAAGCATTTCTCGGCGTTCGTGGTTTTCTGGGCCGCTTTTGATGACCAGCAGCAGGAAGACTTCAGAAGATCGATCAGCTCCTCCACATTTGTTTGGAAGGTCAAGGAGCAAGGGAAAATGTCGACAGTGTTGATAGTACAGGAAGTCTTGCATATGTTCAGGAAGTGAGCTGAAGCTTTGGATGCTGGCAGCAGACATGTTTTGTTTACAACCGTGTAGGGCAATCAACGGAGAGGTATTTTGGGCAGGTGTTGATACTCCACTGTCACCCAGTTTTACAAATAGGTGAAGGATTTCATGGTCAACAAAGTCCAAGTAGACGTAAAAACCCATGAGAAAAACTGCCACCAGCAGAAGAGTCCCAACAATGACTTCTTTTTTTCTGTAGTGACAAAACAGAAAAATTCCTAGCTTATCACAGTTCAACAATTGAATTTTCAAAAACCTCTATTAAGGGTTAAGGGTAATTAAACCTTTCTTTCTGCCACTGCTATGGGACAGATTTGCCCTTACAGATTTTTTTCTGTAAAGGGCAGACTCCAAAATTAAACAGTCTATAAATATGAGATAATTCTGTTTTCAGATGAAATGCTTTTTATTACTATAGTGCCCAGCAACAGGTTCAATCACTGCTCATTTATTTTGACTCTTCCCTCTATTACATTTCCCATGAACCTCAGCTTTTAGTTGCACAGACAGTCGCACCTGCTCACACTTAAGAAAACACTTTAGAAAAGAAAACAGAACACTCCTGTTCACCTTTATATGCTGAAGTTTAGATATAATGATCAATAAATTAAACAGCAATTTAAATTAATAACTTTACAAGCCTGAATCAGGCTAATTAAATTTACTTTAGACCCCGTAGATCAATACTCCTTTTCGCTACTATATACTTGTTTAAAGGTAAAATAGTTACAAGATTTGAACATGAATTTATCATAAACATTTCAAAATTAAATTACATGGATCATTTTTTCTGTCATTGAAATCCAGTTAATCTGACCAAATTATAATTACTGAATTGAAAAGAAAAGTATGTAACAAACAGTATCTTAAATCATGAGATCTTACGCTAACTGTAAAGCATTACCTTTACATAAACATCTGGCATGCAACAAATTTACCTTTATCCCACGGATTTTACCTGGTCATGTTAGCAGATCAGCTTGAGCTCGGTCTTTGCGCACTAGAGCAGGTACAGATGAAATACAGGATGCCTCTGAGTGAGCCTAAAACCCTTCCTTAATTTAATAGCCTGATGTAGTTAACTTTAATATTCATGTGGCCACCACAATGATAGCCTTTGTATTTAGTCTTCATCAATATTGGACTCAACTGGATACCCTTAATTGTGAGCAAACCCAGTTTTAACCACACCCTGAGCCTTGTCCTGAGCTATGGTTTGGAAATTGAACATTAATAGGCCTTTGGTAGAATGATCAGTACCCTGTCAGCAGGGCAGCAAGTATGATCAAAATGTTATGTTTCCAAATGACTTGCTTTTATTCCACAGTCAGTATGTTGACATGCATGGATAAGTTGTGTTACGGCAGTGGCTTGATTAGGAAATTTACCTGAACCACAGTCCTTGTACCAGTTTAGGTGCATAGGGACAAGGACAGAGACAGAGGACAAGACACAGTTATTGACAGAGGCAGCTACAGTAGATGGCAATATACTCAGCCCGTTTATCCAGAAATCTGGCCGATTTTATTAGTTCAAACCACTGACAATTCAGAACAGAGATCAGGGAGCAGAGCTGCAGTCCTACATGCCCCTCTGCGCCTCCTTTAGAGAAGCTTCCCAGCCACTATCACTTATATACACAGACAAGGGAGCAGAGCTGTAGTCTTACACACACCTCTGCACTCCCTTCAGAGCAGCTTCCTAGCTACAATCAGTTTGATATAGAGATCAGGGAGCATAGCCGCAGTTCTACACGTTCCTCTGCACTTTTGTTAGAGCAGCCTCCTAGCTACTGTCACTTTAATATAGAGACTGTGTCTGTCCCTCGTCCTCGGCTCTTTTATTCTAACCGATCGATTTACAAAGGAATAAATAACAAGAAACTTACTAGAATTAAAACTGCTAAAATAGCTAAACCGAGTAGTAGTAAGATAAAATGTGGTCTACTGAACATAAAATCTCTAGATTCCAAAAGACCAAAAGTGGATTATAACCCTTTTGAAAGTCTTGTTCTCAGTCTTCCACATCCAGCCTCAAAGACCATGAGACCACTGGTATTTGCTATAGTTTATCGCCCTCCCAGCCCATACTCTGAGTTTTTGTCAGAATTCTCAGAGTTTTTATCTGACCTAGTCCTTAGTACAGACAAAGTCATTGTCATTGGTGACTTTCATACTCATGTGGATGTGGAAAATGATAGCCTAAGCATTTCTTTCTTGTCCTTGCTAGACCCAATTGGGTTTGCACAGTGTGTACATGGACCTAAGCACTGCTTTAACCACACCCACGATTTTGTCCTGGCTTATGGCCTTGAAGCTGAAGCCTTGTCAGTCAGCTCATTAAATCCTCTTTTATCAGATCACTTTCTAGTAACTTTTGAGTTTGTGCTCTCAGGCTACTCTCCTCATAACAAAACCGTGCTAACTAGAAGGTTGTCTGAAAATGCTGTGACTAAGTTCAAGGAGGCAATTCCGTCTGCTCTTAATTCTGTGCTTGAGAAAAACTTCATTGATAGCTCACACTTGAACATCAGTCCTTTGCAACTTGATCAGTTCATCCATGATACCTCAGGCACATTGCGATCAATTCTTGACTCAGTTGCTCCTCTTCAACAGAAAACTCTTACACGCGAGAGGCTGGCTCCGTGGTATAATGCTGAAACCCGTGAGCTGAAACAGTTATTAAGAAGACTAGAAAGGATATGGGGATATCTGCCAGCACCTTTTCCATCAGCCATTCAAATGTGGCAGGGGCGTTGCACAGGCCGAAGGAGAAGACCTGAAACTGCCACAACCCCCTGCCAGTGCAGAAAGCAGTCTTAGGTCTGGCCTCTGGGCTGAGGGGCACCTGCCAGTACCCACTGTGCAGTTCCAGGGAGGATAACCAGGATGAGCTAGAGACCAAGCCCAGGCAACACAACCTGTTGTGAGCATGTTGTTTTCTCTATACTTCGCCTAGCTGACCGGGGCTGCACTACGCTGCTGCCACACTCCAAATACACATCCTGTATGCGATACACATTGATGAGCAAATACGGAACGCGTTCATTACGGATCCTGTATGTTTTCTGCTTCATGCCTATGTTTTTTAATTGTTAGTGTATGACACCAGTTGTCATAATCTGAACCTAAAAGCAGAACTGAAGGCAGATGAAGCATCAAAGTGAATTTATTGATAAGGGGAAGAAGGGGGGAAGGGATCCAGTGTTGGTGGCAGAAGTAGGTGAGTGAATCCGGAGAGAGTGTGGCAGCATGGCAGAGACTGGGCAAGTGCACTGGGGCTAGAAGAGGCACTGGAAAAGAACAACAACAAATAGTGAGTCACAGGTAAAACACAGAAGCTGGCAATGTTCAACTTGTGGCAAAAGTCAAGAAAAATACAGCAGAGCTGGCCAATGTACCACATGAGGTGCAGGGATAATTTGGCACTGTAGAGACATCAGGGCAAAGCTAAAGAGCTGCTGGTGATTGTAGAGATTTGGCGCAGAAGAAGCCATTGCTTGAGGGAACCGCCCAATCTCAGTGAAGAGAAAACACACAGGCTCCACACAAGTAACAAATCCAGAGTTTCACCGAAATGGAAACCACATATGTTACAATCACCACATTAATGTCAGTTACAGGTGTTATTTGTCAGTTTTTAGTGACTGTGAAGCAAATATAACTACATATTAAAACATGTAAGCAGGCTGAAGTTAACAAAGGCTAAACGTGAAGAATGATTCCTTCAATTTTGGTCATTTTAGGAATATAATGCTTATCCTGCATTCATTGGTCTTTCAATGTGACATGTTTATTATTAAATTGTACTTTGATCAAAGTTAAGGTGAAACAGTTGCGCTTGTCAATACAACTTGATGGCAGTTGACATGACCAGAGATAAATAAGACCTCAAATACAGTACATACATTCTCATAAATATATGCTTTTGGTCCAACTTTGACACTTTGTTGGAAAAACATATTCTTTGTTAAGAAACATATTTAGTCAACAAAACTTGGTATAATTGTCAGAGAAACTTTTTCTTTTTTTGCTTGGTAGTCATTGGAGGGACTAGTGAGCTTTGTATCCTGAACTAGTAGCTTTGACATTACTAAACTACAATAGTGGTCATAACTCCAAATATTCCAGGAAACTACCTTCTATTTAAAGTTTAAGTTTATCACTTTTGCCAGTGATATTTATGAAAATAAACAAAAGGAATCGTGTACATGCTCACCAAATTTGAGTCAGACTATTTTTGTGTGTGTTGGAGATCAGAAAGGGTCAGAATTTTTGCAACACATTCAAACAAAACATCACTCATTGTAAATATCATCCTCTCAAAGCAGGTTTATTGATATGAAAACACAAATAAACACACATCACATTAACGTTTAGATCCTCATATAAGGTTGTAAGTTTAATTGATTCAGTTGAAAAAATAAAGATTTTTTTTTATCCTGATCAACTACTGCTGAGAACCAAAACAGAAAAAAATAGTAAAATGATGCATCACAAAACAGTATTTAATAGTTTATAGTGTTCAAAGACTTCAAGAAATGAACCGAAACATGACATCAACTTTGTGGTTTTGAAATGAAAGTTTTTTGTGTTTATTCTGTGTGACAGTAGATATTTATTGATGAAGTGAACCATGTAACATGAGCTATAATTAAAGGATCCTGTTGGCTCTTTGAAATATGTCAGACAGCATACCTGGTGTATCATTACTCAGCAGTATCTCTGACTCCACTGTGTTTCAAATGCTACTACCCAACAAGCACTAAACTAAGGATTTTTGTTTAATCCAAACTGCTGGCTAAAACAGTTGTATCTGTATCTCCTTAAACAATCAAGATAAGGACAGATGACGACGGACACACCTGTTTTTAATCTGAAAACATTGGTAGTTGACAGTGTAAGACAGTGTTGTTTTCGTCAGGCAGGACGAAAACTTAAATGACGACGTCAGACCCCTTTTTTCCTTGACGAAAATGAGACTAAGACGAACGTCACCAAAGCTCTGTAAAGACTAAAATGTGACGAAAATTACATTCATTTTCGTCAGACGAGAACGAGACGAGACTTAATTGTTATTAGGTGGACGAACAAAGTTTCAAAACATGCTTTTTTTTGTCCTAACAGTCACGCCCCCATCACAAACGCACCAAAAGCCTCGCTCACGGACAGCTGCGCGCACACACTCATACACATACACAGAGCGGCAGGTGGACAAGGCGCGCACACACTCATACACATACACAGAGCGGCAGCGGCAGGTGGACGAGGCGCGCACACACACACACACCGTGGCGGCAGGCACAGCAGCGGTGCCCGGTGGCCGAAAAAAGAGGGATGATTTTTGGCCTTCTTCAGATACAGTTCAAGTGACAATAAAACACAATGTCTTGTACGGGGACGGGGAGACAGGCGACAGTTGTGGAGCCACAGCTTCCTCATGCTGCGGCTTCAAACTGTCGGGAAAGAACACCACGAACCTCAAAAGGCACCTTTTTGTTGACTAAAACTAGACTAAAACCTTTTGAGTTTTCGTCGGACTAAAACTAGACGAAAAATATCAAGGATAGAAATGACTAAAATGGGACTAAAACGAAGAAGCATTTCGTCAAAATGACTAAGACGAAAACTAAATCTAAAATGCCTGCCAAAAACAACACTGGTGTAAGAGGAAACATAAATAAAGCACACTCAGAAATGTTACACCTAGGCCACACCATTAAACTGTTATACTTGGCTGCTGTATTTAAGATTTAATGGGTGATGATGAAAAAGCCCAAAGTGACATGTTCTCAAGAATCAAGCAACAAAACTGAGTTTTATTTTTCTGTCACTGTGGAAATGGGAAAGTTTTTGTTATTATTATTTGTATTTTAACAAATTTTAAAAAATGCTTTTTATCATTGCTTTTATCTCTTGTTGTTTTATTTTCATAAAGAAAAGAAAGTTTTAACACATTAACCAGACTTCTTTTAGCAGACTAATAACCAAGGTGTCAGTAGTCTTATTTGATGAAACAAGAGTTCTTAGTAATGGTAATTTACTCATATCAGCAATCCTAGAATGGCTACAGTGATCGTTCAGTCTTGTATTTTACACAGCAGCTAGATTATGCTAGTAATTAATTGAATGGCTATAATGAATACTTGATTCTGATTGGTTACAGGACATGGCTGTTAGTGAAAATGAGGACGCAGAAACCCTCAATCAGGTACCCTGCAGAGTGATGTTATGTGAGTTATATTCAATGATACAGTGGTCAATGTTAGATTGGATTGGACATGTACCAAACAAAGCAGGTATCTTGACCCCAACAAGCTTGGTCATCTCTTGTTAGTCACTTTTTGTCATTACCAAAGCATTTGAGGTTGGGATCATTTACACTGTGCCACATAAAATATATTTTCTCTGAAAGAAATCTGTGGACCAGTAAAAGCTCTTTATAAAAACAAGGGTCATAATCGTCCACATGTTCAGAGCGAAAGTGCAGTCCGGATGTTTTCACCCCTCGATGAAAACTGGGACTAATGCCTGCTTTGTTTAGACACATTCCCATGTAAGCATCATCAATAGGAATAAGAGGGATGGACTTGGACATGTTGTATATGACCGAAGCAGTGTAACCAGACATTATGAAGCCCCCACCACTACAATAGGGGGGGTACATGTTTGACTCATACAACTGAACTGGAACAAAATACTTGCTCCATGACTCTCTAACAGGCCCACCCCATACCTGACGGCCAGCAAAGAGGTGCTTGCTTCCATCCTTGTCCTTAAGGCTTTGGAGATACTTGACCACATTATTTGTGTTCACAAAAACATCATCGTCACCATCTAACAGGAAGCGTGCCTTTGGACAGTTTCTTTCAAACCACTCCAGAAAGATTACCTGCTTCAAGGTGAGGTTGCAGAATGTGTCGGTAAAGTCCCATTGAAGTATGTCTTTGTACTGACTGTGCTCCAGCTCAACAACTTTGTTCAGTCTTTTCCTCTCAAAACCAGAGCCTGTTGTTCCAACAAGGAAAATCAGTCTGATCCACACTCCACTCTGTAACCTCTCTTTGGCCCAGGTCTTACGAAGCATTTCTCGGTGTTCGTGGTTTTCTGGGCCGCTTTTGATGACCAGCAGCAGGAAGACTTCAGAGGATCGATCAGCTCCTCCACATTTGTTTGGAAGGTCCAGGAGCAAGGGAAAATGTCGACAGTGTTGATAGTACAGGAAGTCTTGCATATGTTCAGGAAGTGAGCTGAAGCTTTGGATGCTGGCAGCAGACATGTTTTGTTTACAACCGTGCAGGGCAATCAACGGAGAGGTATTTTGGGCAGGTGTTGATACTCCACTGTCACCCAGTTTTACAAATAGGTGAAGGATTTCATGGTCAACAAAGTCCAAGTAGACGTAAAAACCCATGAGAAAAACTGCCACCAGCAGAAGAGTCCCAATACTGACTTCTTTTTTTCTGTAGTGACAAAACAGAAAAATGTAATTCCTAGCTTATCACAGTTCAACAATTGAATTTTCAAAAACCTCTATTAAGGGTTAAGGGTAATTAAACCTTTCTTTCTGCCACTGCTATGGGACAGATTTGCCCTTACAGATTTTTTTCTGTAAAGGGCAGACTCCAAAATTAAACAGTCTATTAATATGAGATAATTCTGTTTTCAGATGAAATGCTTTTTATTACTATAGTGCCCAGCAACAGGTTCAATCACTGCTCATTTATTTTGACTCTTCCCTCTATTACATTTCCCATGAACCTCAGCTTTTAGTTGCACAGACAGTCGCACCTGCTCACACTTAAGAAAACACTTTAGAAAAGAAAACAGAACACTCCTGTTCACCTTTATATGCTGAAGTTTAGATATAATGATCAATAAATTAAACAGCAATTTAAATTAATAACTTTACAAGCCTGAATCAGGCTAATTAAATTTACTTTAGACCCCGTAGATCAATACTCCTTTTCGCTACTATATACTTGTTTAAAGGTAAAATAGTTACAAGATTTGAACATGAATTTATCATAAACATTTCAAAATTAAATTACATGGATCATTTTTTCTGTCATGGAAATCCAGTTAATCTGACCAAATTATAATTACTGAATTGAAAAGAAAAGTATTTGATAAACAGTATCTTAAATCATGAGATCTTATGCTAACTGTAAAGCATTACCTTTACATAAACATCTGGCATGCAACAAATTTACCTTTATCCCACGGATTTTACCTGGTCATGTTAGCAGATCAGCTTGAGCTTGGTCTTTGCACACTAGAGCAGGTACAGATGAAATACAGGATGCCTCTGAGTGAGCCTAAAACCCTTTCTTAGTTTAAGCCTGATGTAGTTAACTTTAATATTCATGTGTCCATCATAATGATAGCCTTTGTATTTAGTCTTTATCAATATTGGACTCAACTGGATACCCTTAATTGTGAGCAAACCCAGTTTTAACCACACCCTGAGCCTTGTCCTGAGCTATGGTTTGGAAATTGAACATTAATAGGCCTTTGGTAGAATGATCAGTACCCTGTCAGCAGGGCAGCAAGTGTGATCAAAATGTTATGTTTCCAAATGACTTGCTTTTTTTCCATAGTCAGTATGTTGACATGCATGGATAAGTTGTGTTACGGCAGTGGCTTGATTAGGAAATTTACCTGAACCACAGTCCTTGTACCAGTTTAGGTGCATAGGGACAAGGACAGAGACAGAGGACAAGACACAGTTATTGACAGAGGCAGCTACAGTAGATGGCAATATACTCAGCCCGTTTATCCAGAAATCTGGCCGATTTTATTAGTCCGAACCACTGACAATTCAGAACAGAGATCAGGGAGCAGAGCTGCAGTCCTACATGCCCCTCTGCGCCTCCTTTAGAGAAGCTTCCCAGCCACTATCACTTATATACACAGACAAGGGAGCAGAGCTGCAGTCTTACACGCACCTCTGCACTCCCTTCAGAGCAGCTTCCTAGCTACAATCAGTTTGATATAGAGATCAGGGAGCATAGCCGCAGTTCTACACGTTCCTCTGCACTTTTGTTAGAGCAGCCTCCTAGCTACTGTCACTTTAATATAGAGACTGTGTCTGTCCCTTGTCCTCGGCTCTTTTATTCTAACTGATCGATTTACAAAGGAGTAAATAACAAGAACTGAATAGTAGTAAGATAAAATGTGGTCTACTGAACATAAGGTCTCTAGATTCCAAATCTGTGTTAATAAATGAACTGTTCTCTGATCATCGCAATCATTTACTCTCCCTAACTGAAACTTGGCTGCGTCAGGATGAATATGTCAGTTTAAATGAATCCACTCCTCCTAGCCACCTAAGCTTTCACATTCCTCGGGACTCTGGCCGAGGTGGTGGAGTTGCAGCTATTTACAATTCCAGTCTTGGAATTAACCGAAGACCAAAAGTGGATTATAACCCTTTTGAAAGTCTTGTTCTCAGTCTTCCGCATCCAGCCTCAAAGACCATGAGACCACTGGTATTTGCTATAGTTTATCGCCCTCCCAGCCCATACTCTGAGTTTTTGTCAGAATTCTCAGAGTTTTTATCTGACCTAGTCCTTAGTACAGACAAAGTCATTGTCATTGGTGACTTTCATACTCATGTGGATGTGGAAAATGATAGCCTAAGCATTTCTTTCTTGTCCTTGCTAGACCCAATTGGGTTTGCACAGTGTGTACATGGACCTAAGCACTGCTTTAACCACACCCACGATTTTGTCCTGGCTTATGGCCTTGAAGCTGAAGCCTTGTCAGTCAGCTCATTAAATCCTCTTTTATCAGATCACTTTCTAGTAACTTTTGAGTTTGTGCTCTCAGGCTACTCTCATAACAAAACCGTGCTAACTAGAAGGTTGTCTGAAAATGCTGTGACTAAGTTCAAGGAGGCAATTCCGTCTGCTCTTAATTCTGTGCTTGAGAAAAACTTCATTGATAGCTCATACTTGAACATCAGTCCCTTGCAACTTGATCAGTTCATCCATGATACCTCAGGCACATTGCGATCAATTCTTGACTCAGTTGCTCCTCTTCAACAGAAAACTCTTACACCCGAGAGGCTGGCTCCGTGGTATAATGCTGAAACCCGTGAGCTGAAACAGTTATTAAGAAGACTAGAAAGGATATGGGGATATCTGCCAGCACCTTTTCCATCAACCATTCAAATGTGGCAGGGGCGTTGCACAGGCCGAAGGAGAAGACCTGAAACTGCCACAACCCCCTGCCAGTGCAGAAAGCAGTCTTAGGTCTGGCCTCTGGGCTGAGGGGCACCTGCCAGTACCCACTGTGCAGTTCCAGGGAGGATAACCAGGATGAGCTAGAGACCAAGCCCAGGGACTCATTGATACGGGGCAGCAGGTATCAGTCCTTCTCTGTAACACTGTTCAGCTATCTGTAGCTGACACAAAATCTCATCTTCAGGCTCCTTTTTTTGTTCACCATCACAACCCCAGAGGCCCAAGGGCTGTCAGAGGGCTTGATGATACCTGCCCTGAGCATCTCATCAATGGCACCGTCAGCAGCAGCCTAATGTGCCAAGGGGAGGTGGCAAGGGCATCTTTTAATGGGCTGTGCATCCCCTGTGTCGATATCATGCTGCACCAAGTGAGTCAGACCCACTTCATTCTCAGTCAGAGCAATTATGTCTTTAAACTTCTGTAATACCTGCCACAGTTCCTCCTGGGTCCAAGTTGTGGCAGCTGCTTTTTTATACCTCCCTTATCATTGACAGTCTATCATGGTCCCCGGTACCATGGGCTGATGGTCCAGGGCACAAGGAAGTTCATGTCACTGAATTATATCCAAATTCAATCAATCAATCAATCAATCAATCAATCAAATTTTATTTATATAGCGCCAATTCACAACAGTCGTCGTCTCAAGACGCTTTTCAAGGAACAAGAGCAGGTCTGGACCACGCTCATTGTTTGATGATCAAGAACCAACCTAAGATGGGTTTTGGCCCATCTCAACTAACATGAGTTACAGTGGCAAGGAAAAACTTCCTTTTAACAGGCAGAAACCTTGGGCAGGACCAGCCTCATGCTAGACAGCCACCATGCCGCTGCTGGGTTGGGGAGGAATGTAGAGAGAAGAGGGGAGAGGGGGAGAGGACAGGAGGAGGGAGAGAGACAACAAGATGGGGGAAAGGCGAGAGAGAATGAGTATGGAGAGGGAGGGGGAGGGAGAGAGAGTAGGGAACGAGGGTGAGAGAGAGACAGGAGGCAGCAGGAACAACAGCAACAACAACAACAGCTCATGTAATGGTGAAACAAAAAGAAGTTCAGTTTACAGGTTTAGGATATGAGTGATAATGGACAATGTTGAATTAATTGAGTGCGATTACAGTTAGCAGGCTTAATCGTAGTCAGTTCTATTTTGTATTATTAATGTCAATAATGACAGTGAGGCTGATGTCCATGTCTGCAGTAACACTAACAGTCCAGAGGAATCAGAGAGAAGAAGGAGCTCAGGGCCGGGGGGGGGTCTGCGGCAACGGTCCAGAGGAGCCAAAGAGCCAAAGAGTTGGAGGAGCTCAGGGCCCAGGGTGGATGCAGCTGGGGTCAGGCAGTTCCGCAGCAGACCTGTTTGCAGCATTAGTCCAGTGGCAGCTAAAAGACTCAGAGACACTCAGAGAGACAGAAAACTGGTCAGTGACTTATATGGGACATAAAGATCTAAAGAGGAGATAGAGACAGACTCTAGCTCAGTGTGCCAGATAGCCCCGGCAGTCTAGGCCTGTAGCAGCATAACTAAGAGCTGGTTCAAATCAGCCCTGACTATAGGCTTTATCAAAGAGGAACGTTTTAAGTCTACTCTTGAAAGTTGAGAGTGTGTCTGCCCCCCGAACCTCGAGCGGTAAATGATTCCAGAGGAGAGGTGCCTGGTAGCTGAAAGCTCTTCCTCCAATACTACTTTTAGAGACATTTGGTACAACGAGCAGACCTGCAGACTGTGAGCGTAACGGTCTAGATGGAAAGTACGGTATAACTAGCTCGTTGAGATATGATGGCGCCTGGCCATTAAGCGCTTTATATGTCACAAGGAGGATTTTAAACTCAATTCTATATTTAATAGGGAGCCAGTGAAGAGAGGCTAAAACAGGAGAGATGTGCTCCCTCCTTCTAGTTCTAGTCAATACCCGAGCTGCTGCATTTTGGACCAGCTGAAGAGTCCTTAATGACTTACTAGAGCAGCCTGATAGGAGAGAATTACAGTAATCCAGCCTAGAGGTAACAAAGGCATGGACTAGTTAAATTAGCAGGAAATATCCCACAGAAAGGCAACACAACCTGTTGTGAGCATGTTGTTTTCTCTATACTTTGCCTAGCTGACCGGGGCTGCACTACGCTGCTGCCACACTCTAAATACACATACTGTATCCGATACCCAATGATGAACAAATACGGAACACGTTCATTACGGATCCTGTATGTCTTCTGCTTCATGCCTATGTTTTTTAACTGTTAGTGTATGACACCAGTTGTTATAAGCTGAACCTAAAAGCAGAACTGAAGGCAGATGAAGCATCAAAGTGAATTTATTGATAAGGGGGGAAGGGATCCAGTTTTGGTGGCTGAAGCAGGTGAGTGAATCCGGAGAGAATGTGGCTGCATGGCAGAAATTATGCAAGTGCACTGGGGCTAGCAGAGGCACTGGAAAAGAACAACAACAAATAGTGAGTCACAGGTAAAACACAGAAGCTTGCAATGTTCAACTTGTGGCAAAAGTCAAGAAAAATACAGCAGAGCTGGCCAATGTACCACATGAGGTGCAGGGATAATTTGGCACTGGAGAGGCATCAGAGCAAAGCTAAAGAGCTGCTGATGATTGCAGTGATTTGGCGCAGAAGAAGCCATTGCTGGAGGGAACTGCTCAATCTCAGTGAAGGGAAAACACACAGGCTCAACACTAGTCACAAATCCAGAGTTTCACCAAAATAGAAACCACATATGTCACAATCACAACATTGTCAGTTACAGGTGTTATTTGTCAGCTTTTAGTGACTGTGAAGCAAATAAAACTACATATTAAAACATGTAAGCAGGCTGAAGTTAACAAATTGAAATTAAAAACAGGTGTGATATAGTCCTCATATAAAGTTGTAAGTTTAATTGATTCAATTGAAAAAATAAAGATTTTTTTTTATCCTGATCAACTACTGCGGAGAACCAAAACAGAAAAAAATAGTAAAATGATGCAACACAAAACCTTATTTAATAGTTTATAGTGTTCAAAGACTTCAAGAAATGAACCGAAACATGACATCCTCTCTGTGGTTTTGAAATTACAGTTTTTTGTGTTTATTCTGTGTGACAGTAGATATTTATTGATGAAGTGAACCATGTAATATGAGCTATAATTAAAGGATCCTGTTGGCTCTTTGAAATATGTCAGACAGCATACCTGGTGTATCATTACTCAGCAGTATCTCTGACTCCACTGTGTTTCAAATGCTACTACCCAACAAGCACTAAACTAAGGATTTTTGTTTAATCCAAACTGCTGGCTAAAACAGTTGTATCTGTATCTCCTTAAACAATCAAGATAAGGACAGATGACGACGGACACACCTGTTTTTAATCTGAAAACATTGGTAGTTGACAGTGTAAGACAGTGTTGTTTTCGTCAGGCAGGACGAAAACTTAAATGACGACGTCAGACCCCTTTTTTCCTTGACGAAAATGAGACTAAGACGAACGTCACCAAAGCTCTGTAAAGACTAAAATGTGACGAAAATTACATTCATTTTCGTCAGACGAGAACGAGACGAGACTTAATTGTTATTAGGTGGACGAACAAAGTTTCAAAACATGCTTTTTTTTGTCCTAACAGTCACGCCCCCATCACAAACGCACCAAAAGCCTCGCTCGCGGACAGCTGCGCGCACACACTCATACACATACACAGAGCGGCAGGTGGACGAGGCGCGCACACACTCATACACATACACAGAGCGGCAGCGGCAGGTGGACGAGGCGCGCACACACACACACACACCGTGGCGGCAGGCACAGCAGCGGTGCCCGGTGGCCGAAAAAAGAGGGATGATTTTTGGCCTTCTTCAGATACAGTTCAAGTGACAATAAAACACAATGTCTTGTACGGGGACGGGGAGACAGGCGACAGTTGTGGAGCCACAGCTTCCTCATGCTGCGGCTTCAAACTGTCGGGAAAGAACACCACGAACCTCAAAAGGCACCTTTTTGTTGACTAAAACTAGACTAAAACCTTTTGAGTTTTCGTCGGACTAAAACTAGACGAAAAATATCAAGGATAGAAATGACTAAAATGGGACTAAAACGAAGAAGCATTTCGTCAAAATGACTAAGACGAAATCTCCTTTCGTTGGCTCTTTGAAATATGTCAGACAGCATACCTGGTGTATCATTACTCAGCAGTATCTCTCACTCTACTGTGTTTCAAATGCTACTACCCAACAAGCACTAAACTAAGGATTTTTGTTTAATCCAAACTGCTGGCTCAAACAGTTGTATCTGTATCTCCTTAAACAATCAAGATAAGGACAGATGACGACGGACACACCTGTTTTTAATCTGCAAACATTGGTAGTTGACAGTACATGAGGAAACATAAGTAAAGAACACTCAGAAATGTTACACCTAGACCACACCAATAAACTGTTATACTTGGCTGCTGTATTTAAGATTCAACGGTGATAATGAAAAAGCCCAAAGTGACATGTTCTCAAGAATCAAGCAACAAAACTGAGTTTTATTTTTGTGTCACTGTGAAAAATGGGAAAGTTTTTATTAGTTTTTTTTTGTTTTGTTTGTTTGTTTGTTTTTTGTATTTTAACAAATTTTAAAAAATGCTTTTTATCATTGCTTTTATCTCTTGTTGTTTTATTTTCATAAAGAAAAGAAAGTTATAACACATTAACCAGACTTCTTTTAGCAGACTAATAACCAAGGTGTCAGTAGTCTTATTTGATGAAACAAGAGTTCTTAGTAATGGTAATTTACTCATATCAGCAATCCTAGAATGGCTACAGTGATCGTTCAGTCTTGTATTTTACACAGCAGCTAGATTATGCAAGTAATTAATTGAATGGCTATAATGAATACTTGATTCTGATTGGTCCGTTAAAGTGTTACAGGACATGGCTGTTAGTGAAAATGAGGACGCAGAAACCCTCAATCAGGTACCCTGCAGAGTGATGTTACGTGAGTTATTTTCAATCATACAGTGGTCAATGTTAGATTGGATTGGACATGTACCAAACAAAGCAGGTATCTTGGCCCTAAAAAGCTTGGTCATCTCCTGTTAGTCACTTTTTGTCATTACCAAAGCATTTGAGGTTGGGATCATTTACACTGTGCCACATAAAATATATTTTCTCTGAAAGAAATCTGTGGACCAGTAAAAGCTCTTTATAAAAACAAGGGTCATAATCGTCCACACGTTCAGAGGGAAAGTGCACTCCAAATGTTTTCACCCCGCTATGTAAACTGGGACTAAGTCCTGCTTTGTTTAGACACATTCCCATGTAAGCATCATCAATAGGAATAAGAGGGATGGACTTGGACATGTTGTATATGACCGAAGCAGTGTAACCAGACATTATGAAGCCCCCACCACTACAATAGGGGGGGAACTCATTTGACTCATACAACTGAACTGGAACAAAATACTTGCTCCATGACTCTCTCACAGGTGGCATACCCACTATGTGACAGCCAGCAAAGAGGTGCTTGCTTCCATCGTTGTCCTTAAGGCTTTGGAGATACTTGACCACATTATTTGTGTTCACAAAAACATCATCATCACCATTTAACAGGAAGCGTGCCTTTGGACAGTTTCTTTCAAACCACTCCAGGAAGATTACCTGCTTCAAGGTGAGGTTGTAGAATGTGTCGGTAAAGTCCCATTGAAGTATGTCTTTGTACTGACTGTGCTCCAGCTCAAGAACTTTGTTCAGTCTTTTCCTCTCAAAACCAGAGCTTGTTGTTCCTACGAGGAAAATCAGTCTGATCCACACCCCGCTCTGTAACCTCTCTTTGGCCCAGGTCTTGCGAAGCATTTCTCGGCGTTCGTGGTTTTCTGGGCCGCTTTTGATGACCAGCAGGAGGAAGACTTCAGAGGATCGATCAGCTCCTCCACATTTGTTTGGAAGGTCCAGGAGCAAGGGAAAATGTCGACAGTGTTGATAGTACAGGAAGTCTTGCATACATTCAGGAAATGAGCTGAAGCTTTGGATGCTGGCAGCAGACATGTTTCGTTCACATAATGAGGGGAGTACATGGTTGGTATTTTGGACAGGCGGTAAAAATGGACTGTCATCAAGTCTTTCATACAGATGATGGATTTTGTCGTCAGCAGAGTTTATAAGGACATAAAAAAACATCACAACTCCAACCAACAGCATTAGAGTCATTGTAGGGATGTTTCTCTGTAAGGATCTGTTGTGACAAAACAGAAAAGTGTTGTTACCCATATATATCAGTCTAACTAATTTTCAAAGATCTATATAAAGTAACAATGGTTTTTGGTTCATAAACCTTTCATTTCCCACTCCTTTAGAACAGGTTTTTCATTATTTACTTTTCATGAGAGTCTTCAAAACATTACAAAGACAATAAATGTCCTAGCCTGGCTGGCCCATCCAGTTGCATGAATCACTTGCCGTTCCTTCCCACAACAGTCTGGACTTTGGCCAATTGGGAGCCCTAAAAGTGGGCGGGGGTACTTTCCTTGATACCCAGACTACTGTAACCAATCACCATAACCAAACATCTGACGTCATCACAGTGCGCAACTGTGTTCCCTGCTGGGCTCTCAAGCATCAAGTAAAGGTTTGGTAATATTTCAATGTGTGCGAGCAAACAATGTCTTTTACGTCTTCTTCTGCGGATATAAACGATTTCTGCCGACTTTGCAAAGTCAACTGCAGAATTAACAGCATTCTGAAAGAACGGCGCTTTGAAAAGTCCCGCAGCATGCATTAGACGTCACCATCTACACATGGACCAATCAGGGGCTGCCTTTCACTGTTGTCCGGGGAACAGTGGAAACACAGTCACTGATTGGCCCAGTTATTTTCTGATTTCTAATACACGCTCCCAATTGGCCGAAGTCCAGACTGTTGTGGGAAGGAACGGCAAGTGATTCACGCAACTGGATGGCCCAGCCAGGCTATAAATGTCCAAATTTTTAAAAAAAATGTCCAATGAACATCAGACTCATTCTAAATTTGATGTGGGGGACAAGGATACAATAAGTTGTGTACTG